CATATAATATAATATAATATATTTAATTATTTAATTATTTAATTATTTAATTAGTAATTTTCAAGTATTGAGAAAACTTTTTCATAAACATTTTATCTGGGTTCTTTTCTAAAAGGTTAATATATAAAAAACTATGCGGTTCATCAGTGGCAGTCTCATATATTTTATAAATTAGTTTCTTGCTTTCATGTAAATTATCGCTTCTAACAATTGCTGATAATTCATCTTGCAATATTTCTATCTCTTTAAAATTTCTAACTTTATAATAAAACAAATGACTTATATTTACCCTAATAATTGGTGGTACGGTTGACGATTTTTGAAGACTGACAAGTGTCGATATTCCACTATGACGACCTCTACAGAAAAGTGAATTCAGTAGCTTATTGTTTCTTGTTATTGCTGGATTATCAGATACATCATCCAAAATTACCAAAATATTAAATAATTTCTTCGTTCCTTGTTTTTTCTGATATTCAATTATTTTATTTTGAGTTTCTATAACTCTTTCTAAATCTTCAACATTGAACTCATCCCACCAACACGGTTCTTTATCATTATCTACTTTCAAACCTTCCTTAATGTATTTTTTAACTGGCAACCAAATACTATCCAAATTTACAGATGGAGACCAGATAATAATTCTTTCAAATGCTCCTCTATAAATATCAAGTATCATTGATACAAGTAGCGTCGATTTTCCAGAGCCTGACGGGCCCACAATCATCGCTCTCATCGGCAATTTAGGGACGACCTCGTGCTTGCTTTGCTTAAAGTCATATTTGATTTCATCAATTGGTTTTACATCAGGCATAATAAAAATAATATTATAAATACTTATAAAAAAAAAAAAAAAAACATATAATATAATTATATCATAATGGCAATAGAATCTATTAATTTAAGTGAAGTGGCTAGTATTCGGAGGATATATAAATTTGGTGATATCTTAGTGCCCGACACTGAACAAATATATTATGATACAATGTTATACTTTTTGTCAGCAATTAAAAAACAAAATATCGTAGTATCCAAGTCCTCAATTGAAAATGACAGTAACCTAGATTTTAATTTTAGAAAGTTAGTAAATTTTATGAAAGATTATCCCGATATGTATACAAATGAAATGATAAATAGTGTACAAGAGGTTATTGATATTAATATTAGAGATGTTAGTCTATCAACTGCAATGAAACTTAGTAAAGAAAATAGTTTAAATACATATTCTATTTAATATTAAATGGACGCGAGGAACGAGCCTCGCGTGCTAACGCGACCATCTTTTTTTATGATATGCTGGCAGTGAATATCATAAAAATGGAACAGGCTTTCCATTGTTTTCAATCAATAAGCATTGAAGCTAATTAGTTTTGTGTCTTGCTCGCGTGTGCAATGAAAACCCCAAGTGCTGTGCCCCACCAATATTCTATTATGCATGAAAATAATAAGATTAAATAACTATTTTATCTTATTATTTATATGAATATGAGTTATTCGGATTATATTGATATAATAAATGAAGTAGAACATATAGAACGGGTTGTCATAACTGATAATAGATGTAAACAAATATGTTATTTTATTTTAGAATTAATTAAGTTTTTGATACAATATATTAAAAATATAAATATTAATATAAATGCCAAAAAAGAAAACCAAAAAGAATAAGATAGGTTTAAGTGTTTCTTCAACAGATGAAGATAGCGGAGAAATTGTTAAAGAAACATCAGTAATTGAGTTTTCTTGTCCGATGTGTAAAAGGGTGTTAGAGATGAAAAATGAATTAGAAATAAAAAATAATAAAAAATGTAAATGTTCATGTATTCCAACAAGTTTCAAAATAAGTAAAAATGATAAGAAAATGAGTATTGATAAAACTAAAGACAGTATCAACTTAGAAACTGATGTCCATAATATAACTTTTAAATGGGGTAAGGATGCATCACTCTCGGGAAATGGTGATAAGGAAACTCAGGAAACTATTAAACAAATCATGAAAAATTAGTATTTAAAGAGTAGATTTAACATAATTGCACTTTATAAATATATATAATTAAATAAATAAATAAATATCTAATTATTTCTATAATCATAATGCCAACTATGAATGGGCAAGATCATAGAATTATAACTTTTGATGATGAAGAAATTAATGATATATTCGATGGTGATAAAAACTTTGCTAGACAATTGAGTATAGAATATTTTTATTGGTTAGATGCTAAATTTAATAATATTATTTTATGAAAGGTATAACTAAACCGGATAAATTTGATAAAATGTTGAAGTTTTTTGAAATTACAGGTAACGATGAAGGTTTAATAAAATTGAAAAATAAAATTGATGAAAAACTGTTAGAATACAATTTATTTACATATATAAAATTATATTATCCAGGTAAATTGTATAATTAAATAAATAATTATCTAAATAAATATATAGTAATGTCTGAAAATGAGAATTATACTATTAATGATTTAATGAAGAAGATAACATTAATTGGTAAAAATATCAAAACCTTAAATGATATGATTAAATCCATTGATGACAAAATGAAACCAGTTGAACGCAATGAAGATAAAGAAAAAATCGAAAAGATATTTCAAGCAAAATCTATAGGAAGACCAACGGGTGATTATCCTACAAAGCAAAAGAAATACTGTGATATGTTGAATACAGGAAAAATCAAACAACCTAAAAGCACCACTTTAGAATTTTACAAAATTTCAAAAAATGATGATGGAGTATATGTATTATTTGAATAATTAATTATCTAAATAATTCTAATAAATAAATTTATTAGAATTATTTAGTGGAACAAAAAGCGTCGGAACCATAGCAAAGTCGCTTGGATTTAATGTAATATCATTAGACTTGAAAAATGCTGATATCAACACTGATATTTTGGAGTGGGATTACAAACAGTTTGACAGAAACCATTTTGATTTTATTTGGAGTAGTCCCCATGCACTGAATACAGCATAGCAAAAACTAGGGGAATTAGGAATATCGAATATGCAAATAGTATTGTCTTAAAAACTATTGAGATTATCAAATATTTCAATCCTAAATATTTTGTAATCGAAAATCCACAAACTGGATTATTAAACCATCAGGAGTTTATGGATGAGTTTGATTTTAAAGATGTTGATTATTGTAAATATGGATTTAATTATAGAAAGAGGACTAGGCTATGGAATAACATTACAACTTGGAAACCTAGAGAATTATGTAAAAAGGATTGTTGTAACATCAGGAATAATAAACATATTGAAACAGCACAACGGCTACCATCGGGCACCAAGGAAAATTGGGGAGACAATCCAACAATACATAAACAGGAAGACCTATATAAAATACCTAGCGAATTAATTTGTGAAATCTTGGTTAGTCTGGTGGATTAAGGATTTGGGTTTGGGTTTCACGGGCTTCGTGATAAATGTTTCACAGGTGTTGTGATAAATGTTTCACGGGCTTCGTGATACATGTTTCACGGGTTTTGTGAAATGCTTTGACCACATATTATGGATGTTGTTATATCGTAGAAGAGAGAAGGGTTTGATGTAAGAAGACATAAATTTATTTATTGAAAGTAAACGGTTTAATATTAAAAATACAGTTAGAGATACAAATATAATTATTAAAATGATGTATGAAGAAGTAAGATGTATCAATTTTGTGATACATGTTTCACGGGCTTCGTGATAAATGTTTCACGGATTTTGTGGAAATATTATGCGGGCTTTGCAGAATTATTATACGGCCTATTGCAATGATTAAAACCATACTATAATAATAACATTTATACCCTTATATGTTATAATTGTAATATATTTATCGTTTGTAAAGATTGAAATATTATATTTTTATTAGTTTTTGAGTATGTCCTAAAACTGTATAAAGACTTAGAACTATACATTAATAAGAATCATGGAAAACCCAAGTGAAAGGCAGTGCTCCAAGTGTTGTAGAATGTTAGGAGTTGAAGAGTTTGAAGGTGAAAACAAAAACTGTAATAGGTGTTTAGAACACAGAAGAATATGTTATGAAAAGCATAAGGAAGAATATAGGGCAGAAGCGAATAGAAGGTGGAAGGAAGATGAAGAGTATAGAGAAAAGAAAATGGAAAGGAATAAACAGTGGAACAATAAGTTGTATTTTTGTAGTGAGTGTGATTTGTCTATGTATTTGAGAAATAAAGCAAGGCATGAGAAAACAAGTAAGCATCAAAGAAATGTAGTTGTACAGCTGAATAATGAAATGTGAAAGGTGGAACTATTAGGTGAAATGTGTTTTAGTCATATTTTTAAGTCTGAGTGAAAAATTCGCGAACAATGAATAAGGTAAAAAGAAAAAATGAAGAACAACTGGAGTTTCTGAGAATTGGAAAAAGACTTAAACTATAAAATGAATAAGGGTAAACAAATAGTAAAATGAAATAGGTTAAGTAGTGAAAAAATAATGGATAAGGTGTGTATCTTTTCTAGGAATTACTTAGAATGAATAAGGTTGTGATTTATTAACCTTATCTATTATTTGATACTTGGTTTTTCAATGTGTTCTTCATTGGTTGATAGAAAAAATAGTAAAAATATTTTCAGTTCCTTCAAATCCCCTTTTACTATTTTTCCCCCAACACAAAATGGTGGTTTTCCTGTTGATGTCCCTTCAACCAACCATAAAAAGAGTACTGTCACAAAGCACAAACACATCCAAACCTCAAGGGAAATGTGTGTTTCTTGGGGCCATGAAGCCTCGATGAAAATTTTCACAGGCGAAGGGAAGCCAAGTGTTGGAGTGCAAAAAGGACACCAAAAGAATGCATTCAAAAGTTGAGCGGTAAAAGGCTTAAACAAATAAATAAAGAATCTGGAAAGTGCCGACATGAGAAGTCTTGGCATGAAAAGTGTGAAGCGTGTTCAATCTCTGAAAAGACGAGCCCCACCGTTCCCGGGGTTCCCTTTGACCCATGCCGAAGCCGCCCTGCCGATCTTCGGCAGGGCGGCCCCACGGAGCCCCGGTGGAGTCGGCCGAGGTGGTGGTGGAAGCTTAGCCTAGCGTGGGGCAAAATGTTCCTCTTTCAGCTTGGTTCAAACCTTACCTTTTGGGCAGTTTTAAGGTGTTTGGTTTTTGGCCACATCACCTTTTGGGCAGCTTTCAGGAGCTTGTTTTTGTACGTCACCTTTGGCTTCTGATTCTTGCTAGGAGTGGAGAATCGGGGAAGGTCCTGAGCGTAAACTGAGGGTAGCACTTTGAACTTTAAACCTTAAAGGGTGATGCCCCCTATGAAGATCCCCGTTGCGCCTCCACATGGGTGTTTCTTTTTTGGGGTACCTTTTTATTGGTGGGTCTAAAGGGAAACCAAGAGGAAACCAACAAATTTGGAGGGGTCCCTCGCGTCTCAAGGTGGGACGCGGAGTTTTTTCCAAGGAAGGAGGTTCGCCCTGCCAATTTCTTGGGGTACGACTTCTCCCAGATTCCCTCGGCAATCGAGGCTCGGAACAAGCTCCTCTTCCAACCAGAAACACTGCCGGAGCCGAACGAGCAGTGCCCTGGCTGTGGTCTTAAGCCCCCCCTATTCTTCTGGGGTCACCGGGTAGATGAAGGTTAGTAGCCATAAATGGGTGCAGCCGGCAGCCGCCTTTTGAATTCTTTACATGGGTCTGGGTAGACCATTTTAATACCAGGTTTTGAGCAAGGGTGCACTTGAATAATCCCAAGGCGGTCAAAGGCCAATCTTGATGCACGTTGAAACCTGGAGAGGAGGCTTGCTGAACTCCGCCAGTGGCTGCAACTGGAATTTTCCTGGGCACGGTTTCAGTGATGGGAAGGGACTCTTCTAGGAACTTTGATCAGCCTTTCCAAGGCTTTTGCCCTTTTTCCTCTTCTTCCAACTTGAATTTCTCTCCCTCTTCTCGTCCATGGTTCATCCTTGTCTTACGTTGTCTTCAGGTTCCTCCGGTCTTAGGGAGGCGCGCTTTTTTGCCAGGTACAGCATCGTGGCGTCCAACGCGTCCACCATCACGAGCTGGGCGGGTGTGGCCATGGCTCACGCCTTGGACACCGGAAAAGCGGGCCACTGGCTGACCGTGCAGGCGGGGGGAATGAAAGGTCATGCGCGACAGGCGCATGAGGATGCCCATGGAATGGGATTGCTTTCAAGGGGAACCAACGGTTCTTTCGTTTTTCCAGACAGACCCATATAAAAGAAGGCCTTTCCGTGGCGCTTTGAACGCTTTCCCGTAAGGAAGTCTGCTGATTGGTTCATGACTCGCTTTGGCAGTTGCTGAAATCGCCTTAGACGGTGATCTTTCGAGAGTTTACAGAGATTTTGGTCTGTCGGTTTTTTAGGGTACCCGGGTACCCTTTTTGGTTGGTTTTAAAGGGAAGCCAAAAGGGAACCAACCATGTATGTCTTTGTTTTGGAGGGGGCCCTAAAAAGACAGACCCACTTGTGACATGTCCGACTCCATGCTTCACTTCACCATTCTCCAGGGAATACCCGGAAGCGACATCACCATGTGGAACACTACACCGGGCCCAGGGTGCTACAGCTTGACTCAAGATCCCAGGATCCGAGGATTGATCAGCCCTTTGCTCCATGCTCGAGACTGGGAGTACGAAACCAGGGAAATGCTCTCCCAACCCACCAGCAAGGGCCCAAAAGTCCCAAGGGACGCAGAAGTTTCACTTCCATGTTACTTGGTTCCCGCCATCCCCTTAGGCTTTCAAGCCTCTTTATGGTTTAATTGCCGTGTCCACTTAACCAGCAAAAGTTGGCTTTTCCCAGATCTGTGCCCACCAGACCTTTTCCACTCTTCTTGAGCCCGACTTGTAGATCCGTTTCCATTCGCTGGAGTCTTCAGGCTGGGCTGTTCAATTGGTTTCCCTTGGTGTGTAGTGGGGTTGCCCCCCATCGGAACAACCCAGTTGCGGAGACTCCTGGTAGATCTCTCCGCTGAATTTGTGATGAACACGGGGGTTCCTTTTTGCAGGACGAGGCTCGCGCGCGAGCTGTCTGGAGCACTCTGGACGACTATCATTGCCTCTCGGTGGGAAAGTTGTGCGGGAGTCTCTCACCTCCGAACCGAGGTTCGCTGGGGCTTTCCTGTCCATCCGTTTTCATTTGCGGGTCCCATGATTCCTACCTTTGGGCCTTTGGGCACATTTTTTCTATTGACCCACATAACTCCTTTTGCCCCAACAATCCTGTAGCAAAGTCTCCTGTCATAGAAGGGTATGGCATGACAATTTTCCAACCCGCATTCCCTGGACCATCATGGAAGTGCACAGCCTCCTGTCCACTTCCGTTGTTGGCGTGGCGTTGACTTTTTCGAGGCCTGCCCAGCAACGGGATCCTGCCAAGTATCGACCTCCTCTGGACCGAGGCGGGGAATGTCATATGTGTATACATATATACATATATATGTATATACATATATATATATATCTTTATACATATACACATAATGTATTTATTGCCACGTAAGCCCACATACAAATATGTGTGTGTGTGTGTGTGAGTGTGCTGTATGTACGTTTCATATCTGATGTGGCCTCTGTGGCTGTGGTGCCTTGTTTGGTGTCATGTCACGGTGCTATACCTTGCCCAGGATCATGATCATGCCTGAATCCCTGAATGATGAGTACATTTGCCTTGGTTCTTCAGGGTTTGGAGGCTCAGGGTGCTGGGTTTGGTGCATGTGCAGCTTGGTGTGACCGAAGGAGCTCCTGGAGGTGGGCGACATGGAGATCAGGCGCGAGATGCGAAGCAAGCTTTGGCACCTGCGACCTCAAGCGAAACACCTGGCTCATAGGTGGCCTTTTTTGGTTGTTTTGCCAGAAAAATAGATGGCCCTGGTTTACCTGGTGGTTTAATCATCTACCAGGGCCATCTATTTCCCCTAAAAGGACACCTGTGACCTGGCTGTTCAACTAGAGGGACACGCCCCGCCATGGTTCATCATCGAACCATTGTGCCTTCAAGAGAGATACACATATACATGCACAATGTTGACCCTTCCTCGGTAGCCCCTGGAGGGGGAGGGGGGGTGATACATAGTATGTGTATACATATATATATATATATATATACATATTCTCGCTTCCTGAGTTCATGAACTTTAAGCTTCTTGGGAAGACCATTTTAGTGGTAAATATAGAGCTTGGACTTGTTTTGGGCCATCCATTCAGCAAGCGAGTCTTGCATATGGCGGGTTCCGATGAACGAACCTGGCGGATTCCAGTGGGCTTCCGGTTCCCATCTTTGGTCATGGGGTTCATGTGCCATTTTTGGTCATGGGCACAGGGGAGGTTCCCACCAAGCAATTTTGATTTCCCGAAAGCCCGGAAAATGGGTGGGCTCAACGCCTTTGTGTGGAGGTTGTATAGATGCGGCCAGCAGTGTGGACAGCTACCGCCTGAGCCTTCACTCCTTAGCGGACGCCTGGAGAGCATTTGAAGTCCGCAGTCCGCGGCAAAACTCTATGTGTGTGTGCGGGTGTGTTTGGAGAGTTGGTGCCCTGAAATCAGGCTGGCTGAAAAAGCGAAAACCAGAAGCCATTTTCGGTGTCCCCGTATTTTGACACACACACACACATCCAATGTGGTGTTGTCCAAAACTGGGGGAATCCCATTTGTTTTCGTGGTGGGGTGAGGGGGGGGGGGGTGGGTTGGTTAAATTTGGTTCTCTCTATCTAATGCAACCCAAAAGTAGCTACTTCCATCAGATCCCATTGTCCGGTTGTAATGGGGCCTACTGGATGTTCCAAATCTCAAGAGGCTGAAACGGTGTTGAAATGGAATCTGCACATTTTATCCCTGTGATTCCTGTTTTGGAAGCACTCATCAGTTTGTGACGATTTGTGGGGAGTAACGTATCAGGTGATCAGCTTCTTTTTCAATTTGAAAGGGCAGGTGAGGACATGGCGATGATTTGCGCTTTCCTTTGGGCAAATCTGCGGAGCTTTGGGCGCTTTTCGGAAGCTTTCAGAGTTGACCTCTTCTTGCCTTGCAGCTAGCGGTAATCCAACTCGAAGCCCAACTGCGTCTTGAGAAGTCGGGTTGATTCCCCATCTTTTTCACCAATGCTTTTCAGAAGCCACCACTTTTCTTTGTGCCAGTTTCTGCCAACCATCACAACATTTCTGAAGAGAACTCTGGGGAGGCGACTAATGAGACCACATCCAAGGAGATGGCCACGTTGACAAGGGCGACGTCTTGGAGTGGAAGGTTGCGGCTGGGGCTCAGACGCTGGCGCAGCCCTTGCGAACCTTGGCTTCAGCTACGCCGCATGAGCCTGGCACAAAAAGTACCAGGGAACACGTTCCCCTTCAACTTGGTTGGCTTGCTAGCACAGTTGTGTGGGGCGGCTGTGAGGTTCCCTGGCTATTTCAGGTATAGGTGTTGCACTGCGTCCATCCCTACTTCAACGGGTTCCCACCGCAAAATAGATAAGCACATTTGTGTGGGGAGTGAACGTCTATGCCAGAGGGTCACTTCATTCTGCCAAGGACCAGCCAGATCATAACGAGCCAACCTGGCTTGGACGCTTGCCAACTGGTACTGCGTCGGGTTTGGAGTAGGTGGCTTGTACGCCGGCATATCTGAAAGTACGAAGTCCAGCCAAACCCAATCCGTGGCTTCCATGTTGGGATTTTGTTTGGGGAAGCCTTCAGAGGCCAACTTTGCAAGCTCTCTCCCTTCTTCCCGGCTCCCAGCCATCCCTTGAGCTCTTTAGCCTTTTAGGGTTCAGTGGGGATTTCCATTTCACCCACAAAAAGTCAAGCTTTTCGCCGGGGATCTGAGGGGAGCCCAGTTCCAATTCACATAGGAAGTGAGTACTGGACGGCGCCCAGTGAGTTTTGCACTGAGGCCTCAAGGCCGTCGCCCAGGGCTTCCGCCTGTCCTTGGACCTCGGCAATTTGCCGCACCTGGGATGCAAGGACTAGGGTAAAGAGCCCAATCTGTGCGACACCTCGGGTAGATGTGTGAACTTGTTGTTGTAGTTAAGTCAAGGCTGATTTGCTCATCTAGTTGTCTTTGAGTTCATTCTATCAGTTGTTAACTGTCTGGCTGGCTGTCTGTCCTGGCCTGTCCTGTCCTGTCTGGTGCTGTCCTATTGGTCTGTCTTTCCGTCTATCGATTTGCCCGCTTGCCTCACCATCCGCTTGTTTACCTGCCTGTGTGTGAATTGCTTTTGTTGTTATTCTGTGCGCCTTTCTGGCGGTTTGCCTTTGTCCACCCATCCGTCCGTCTCTTTGTACATCTTCCTTCTCCTTCAATTTGTCCGCCTGTCTGTACACGGTTGCAGGCTCATGGGCATGTTTGTCTTCTTTGTGAGGCGTCAACAAGTATTTGAAGCGTAACATTGTCCGTGTGAGCAACGGGCAACATTTAGCGTCATGTACGGTACAGAGAGTGACATGGGGCATACTCACCAGCTACCGTAAGAAACCGAGGTTTGCTCACCGAAGCGTGCCTCATGTGCAACCAATTGTGAAGTGAGGCAGCTTCGCAGAGTCCAAAACGCCCGCCAGCTGGTCGCCTCGAGACTCATTCAATGCCCGCAGCTTCGGCACTCGAGCTGTTCTTCAGACGCGTAAACGTGCACCCTGCCCCTCTGAACTCCCACTGCACACCTCACCACTTAACACAACCCCCCTGGTCTCGCACCCCTGCAGGCATATACATGTTGCAATTTGTGCTGGTGTGGTTCAATTATAGCACGTGCAACTGACAAAGGAGCTTGTTCTCAGCCATACCGCTTTCACTGATGTTCGCCAGACGTTGCCTGCAACCCATACAGGTTCTACATCTTCATTTTGGTATGAAACAATAGCACTAACAATACTATACAACAACAATAATGACACTATGGTCAAGACTGATAGTCATTAAACAAGCAAAACAAGATCGTGCCGGGTGCAAAGGTGATGGTTCAGCCATTTCAGCCTCTGACCACTGAGGTCAATGTTGGCACCTCGGCTTGCAACTTGCGGACAACCGATTGGTCGGGATGTAACGGGGATCTATTGTTGCCAACAATGGGAGTGGACAGGCGGCTTCCGCAAACAGAAAAAAATCATCTTTCAAAATGCTCCTGTCAATGTCCATATTCTTTTTGGAAAGGAGGCTAGAGGAATCCTGCAAATCGCCGCTGATTTGTACTCTGTGACTTAAGGCAAAGGTCCACCACCCCACAAACATAAGCTATTTAGGTTAGCACGTCTGGGTATGAATGACTTTCGCATGGCGGTTGCCAGGTCGGAAGCCGGCCGATTTATTGGCAAGCTTCTAAAAGTTCTCCCCCGCGCAAGCGGCAACTCATGCATTCATGTTTTTCAGGTGTTGGAGCATAGGTTCAAGCGGCTTGGCTCCACACCCGAAGCGGCCCCCCCCCCCCCAAGGCTGGGTCCGCCGCTTTGCCGCTGCAGCAGTCCTGGTACCTACTGCAACTCTCCGGGGGCTGGCGGAGCGTCTCTTACCTCAGCTCGGAGGCGGGTCGGGTTTCGCTGGGGTTCAGATACCACCCGCCGGAGATCTGATGGCAGTGGGCGACAGTTGAATGGTGGCCACATAGACGTTGATGTTGGAAATAGTTGAATTTCTTGCACAGGGATGGAGGTCCTTTGCCCTTTTCGCCGAGACATGGATTCACTTGAGGTCCTGTGCCTAAAGTGAAAAGCCATTTTGCAGCTCTAAACCCTTCAATCAAGAAGCAGCCCAGTATCCCCGCCAGTGTTTCTCGCAACCTGCTTTGAGCCGTGCCTTCCTGGGCAGGCGGCAGCTCTGCAGTTTACAGTCTGCCCGGAGCTGAGAAATCGGAGGCGATGCCCAAAACGGGGTTGGCAACTGTTGACTGGTGTACCTGGTTTACCTGTGCTCAAGGGGAGTCAAAGGCACCTGGAAAGGCCAAGTCTGGGTTTCCCAGCTAGGCGCCCTTTTACCTTTTCTTTTGCGGGAGGGTTCCGCTACAAAAATAGACTAGAGAAAGAAGTTGGTACCCTTATTCTAACCTCTCTACTGGAGGACCTAGTAGTAGAAGGGGCTCAGTGAGACTTACAAAAGGTGCACCCCAAGAAAAACTTTTGAAGTACCCCATGCTCATTCTGCTTATTTAGGATCTAGTAAAAGCCCGGTTTCCCCCAAGGGCGGACGGTCCATTCGTTCGGGCTGTTTTGAAGGGAAACGTAGGAGAAGCCAAAGCCATTCTTTTCGCGGTTTTGCCACTTTTATGAGACAAGGCCACAAAGGTGTGTCGTGTGTCTTAATGGATGGAACCCCGAAATAGTGGCTTTCCTTCTGGTTTCCCTTCAAAACCTCACCCCAAAAAGGGTACCCACAACAAAAGACTCAACCACATGAGCCACGGACAAAATTACTTGCCCCAAGAGGACATGGAATGCTATGAATCCCCTAGGATATGTAGCGAGTGCCCCATGGACCATACACTATGGTGGTTTTGGCCGAACCTCATAACATACATAAAATATGAGAGATCGCAGATTCAGGTCGCTTCATCTTAGTCACCAAGAACATGGGTGTGCTTTAAAATAGGGGACCAGCCGAAAATGGCAACTGTTTCCGTTGGATTTCCCAATAACAACAGCCTCCACAAGGTATCAAACAAGCACCAAACACACCGGGAACCCACGATTCTTGCAACCAGTAGTGCATTCATGGGTGTGTTTAACAAAAGCCCCCAAACAAGCAAACAGTGGCTGGTTTCGTTTCTCTTCGGTTTCCCCTCAAAAAACATACATATTATTTATATGATCTTATATGGGAAATAAGCCTTTATTAAACAAAATAATATTTAAGTTCATAACCAAAAAAACAATTTCATGTTTGTAACTAATTGTTTTTTACCTCCAAAAGGGTACCATCGCTGAGGCAGTGCCTCCGGCAGCGGCTCTTCGCTGCGCCTCGGGGCGGCTCAGGGCTTCAGGGCGGCGCGGGTGGTGCTGCCGCAGGGAGCGGCGACTCGGCTGAGGGGCCAGGCGTCCGGCGGTGGGCGTCGGATTTTACTTTGGTGCCATAGGTGTCCTGTTTGGTTGATTTGGTAGAAAAATTGATGGCGATCCCTGGTTTACCTGGTGGTTCAATCATCTACCAGGGCCATCTATTTCCCTCAAAAGGATGCCTATGATTGGTGCATTTTGCTTGGATGTTGAGACTTTTAACTTTCTGCCAACTAATGAGTTTTCCATTAAACCAGTAAAAGTTAAGCACTTTTAGCAGGGGAGCAGAAAGCAACCGAGTTTATATTCTTTTTCGATCAAGTCAACTGGAGATTTTGCCTGGGGAGTCAGGCGGTTGGAATTTTGATTTTTGAGGAGAAACGAGGAGGGGTGGACACAGACTGGGGGTCTCCTTTGAAATTTTATATTTGAATCTTGACTAAACGTGAAGCAGAGTTTGAACCAAGGGAATATTATGTTTAGTGCTCCCTGGGATAAAACTACGTTTAGTTTCGGCCGCATGTTTTTCGTGTAATACACACACGAAATGCATCTGACAGGGTCGTAGCTCGGTGTGCCAGTGGCGTTGGGTTCAGCATGTTTTCAAGAGAGAGTTGCCGCCGTGATATTGAGGTCATTTTGGTAGAGAAATACATGCTGAACGTGGTCCCCTGAGATGGTTTCATCGATCAAGTTGAGGTCTTTTGGGTATGCCGAGCGCATTGGCATACATGGAAAACATCTTACCTCAACAGCACCCTGCAGCAGCACCCTGCAGCAGCACCCTGCAACAGCACCCTGCGCAACTCTTTTTGCAGCAGTACCCTGCAACTGTACCATGTCACCCTGCAGCAGCACCCTTTTTAGGCTAAGGCTTAGGTGGGCTGTTTTTCTTTCTTTTTGGAGTCGTTTTAGACTCGCTGTTGGACTCATTCTTTCCAGCGAAAACTTGACAGACATTTCCACCTTTTTCAGCTCTTTAGCTGTTAATAAGTGGCTTGTCATATGCGATGTGCCATGGGGATTGCGTCCGTAGTGACACTCAAACGAAGCAGTTTTAGGAGACACGTTGCGGTTGATTATGCAATGTGCCATGGGAGTTGCCTTCATGTGTGTGCTTCGACAAGATGTTTCGAGGTGTGTTTGTTGCCTTTGGCTATGAAGGTGCCACGGGGATTGCCTTCTTACTAGCACGCGAACTTGTGTTTGCAAGACTTGTTTCGATGTTGTTGGGCATGCGATGTGCCATCGGGATTGCCTCCTTATTGGCGCGCAAACGCACATAGTCAAGCAACATCTTGGTCCTAACTGGCATGTGATGCATGGGGGTTGCCTTCTTACTCGTACTTAAACATGTATGCTTAAGTGCCTTGTAGCATGCGATGTGCCATGGTGTTGCGTTCGTAGTGGTACACAAACAAAGCAATTTTAGGTCGTTGCTAGGCTTTCAAGAAAAACTCGAAAATGCAAGGACTTTGTCGTTTGGGGGTAAAAGGTCACCTGCCAGGTGGTCCCTTTAAGGGGATGCCATGTTTGTGGGAGGGAGGGCAATAGATGTTGCATGTCGGCGCGGATGTTCCGCATCTTGAATGGTCTCTCGCGTGTGACCGTAGCCCCGACCATTTGTATACAAATGGCTTTCAGGGGGGAAGCCCAAATATGGCGTGTCTAGTATGCAGGCTTGGTGCAGTGAATGCCTTGAAGAGGTTTATACTCTCCACCGCCGTGAGTCGAAGAACTCCGAGGTGACGACTGACGGAAAGCCGAGCCCCGAAATCAGCTTCTGGCATGGCAGGTCGGGGGCCCAGGGCACACAGCGATTGGTCCACTGAGCCGATGGGGTTCAATCCCAAACACTCGGATTGCCATCTAACTTCCTGGCACTCCGCCGGGTTAATTTTTCCAGGGCAAGCATTTTGGACCAGGCGCAAAACTATGTTTGGAGTCTTAGGGTCTTTCTTCGACCCTTGAACCATGTTGATCAGGCACACTTCTGCTTCAGTTCATGGCGCCAATCTCTCTAGAACACAGTTTGGATGCACGTTTTGTTGATTTCACCCGTTTCCCCCCCCCCGTTGGTCCAGAATTTTAGTGGTCTTTTCGTACTCTTTTCATATTCTACAGGGGTGAATCCAAACCGGTATCTAGAATTTCAGGAGTCTGGAGACGTCAGGTGAATCCCTGTAAAGAATGGGGAAGGCCACAGATGTGTAGATGCCCAGGAACACGTGAAACGCAGAAAACGAAGCTAATGTCCTGGCTTGAGTGTTAGAGCTTTCTGAGCATGGACCTTCAAGGTGTTGCGTTGAATTTTCATGAGTGCTCTCTACGTGAGCAGACACAGGTGTTGTGTTCAGAGGGGTTTGACTTCGGTTTTGACTTCGGCCCGCTGGACAAACACTCTAGCTGAGTTTTGCTCGCACTCCCATGCCGCTATTGTTTCAGAGATGTTCTTTCACTTTGTATGTTGGGGAGCAACCTCGACTCGCCGAGATGCTGTCAGTGACCGGGAGAGCACGCCAAGTTTTTGGCATTTTTGGGTTGGGCTTGTCAGTCTTGATTCTTCTCATTGTCTATCTCAGCAGCTGCCGCTGTATAAAGAGGACCTTGCCAACGGCGTAGGTTTTATGTTGAGCTTTGCCAACCACGAACCGGTGTTGACCTCGATTTTACCTTTTGGTTCATGCGCCCCAAAGACAGGATGTGGGTCAGAGAAACAGGGTTATCCTGCATGCCTTTGCTGAGGCCACAGCAGCAGGCTGGGCAGTCGGGTGTGATAGCCGAAAACATCGAGGTCTTTGCGAAGTTGCAAAATTCGACCAAAAAAGCTGCAGCATTGGAATACACGAGGGTTAGTTCTTTTCGGCTTTGATCCGTGATGGAGCCTTGAGGCACTAAACTCTTGCAAGCCGTCCTTTTGAACTTTGGGTTTGCCATGTTGGCAAACATTTTTAGCCAAGGTCCCAAGCGGTGAACCCTTTCTTTCAGGTCGTTTGAACTTTCTGAGCAGATGGGATAACTTTTTGAACCCTCAACCTTCGTTCAGCATGGGCATGGAAACTTGTGAGCAAGGATGTTCAGCGGCAGAAATCCAATGTCATGTCAGAATGTAAACGATTGGATACTTACTTGGAAGGGATGTTTGGTCCGTGTTTGTCTGTTTTTGTGTTTGTTTGTTTGTTTGTCTGTCCGTCTGCCTGCCTGCCTGCCTGCCTGCCCGTCTGCTTGTTTGTTTATTTGTTCGTTCAATGTTGAGAGGCGGCTGCAAAGAAGTCAGTGGAACTGCTTGTAGGATTTTCTTAGGAGTTGTGTTTTTCAGTTTGAGAGAGGTTTTTTGAGCTATGAGGAGCTGATCAGTTACTAAAATTTGGCTCCTTTGGACATGCCTCAAGTTGGTGTTGAATTACTCCACAATTTTGTTCTATGTTTTTTGGCGCCGGGTTTGTGTCTTTGCTTGTTGTGCCAATCTTGCTCTTGGCGCTGGCATCATCCAGTTGTTCTGACGGCGCTACCTCCGTAGTAATGCCCGATCTGAGTGCTGCAGCGCAGAGCTCCCTGAGCCACGGGTTTTGCGGACTTCCATTTTGCGACAAAACCGGTGTCTCTTCGTTGTCGTTAGATTTGTGGAGCGCGGTGCCCAGAACTCGCGCGTATATGGTGTTTCACCTGAATTTGAACCGATGGAAGTCATGACCCCTTTGGTTCCCTTCTGAAGCTTGCAGGGATGCGCCACGGCTACCAAGGATGCGTGAGGTAGCTGGATCCTTTGGGAACACATTGAATGATCAATGGAACGGGTTTAGCGATCTCAGCTTTGACTTTGGCTGAAAACGACACGACTCCCCCACAAAACTGCAGAAGTCCTGCGCGATCCGACTCATCACGTAAAAACAAGGGATAGGAATCCAACTGATTGACTTTCTGGTGCTCAGCAGGGAATGAGAAATAGAATGACCCCAATTTAAGCCATCCATCTGGTGGTTTCCTTCTTAACGGAATCTCCAGGTTCATTCCCTCATTCCCTACCTATCGCACCAGCAAGTAGATCCTTAAATGACCATGGCTTGTCCCATGTGGGACAATCATGTTTTTAATGATTTTCCAACCAATGGTCATCCCATGTATCACGGACCTTTTGATCAACCCCCAAGTGAGAAATCCTCTGGTGGCTTGGGATTTGCGTCGATTCGACGCTCAGGCGGCGGAGTCGTGTTGGAGCGTCTCCGCAGCTGTCAGCCTGTGCATCTCGGCGGCTTTTTTTTGTTTTTCTCATTTTTTCCGCTGGTGCCCGGGAGTATTTTGGTTTGGGGTGGGTCAAGGGTTGATTTTGGGGTTTAGGCATGAGTTTGGTTGGGGTCAGGTTTGTGGACTTGACTCTTTTTGTGAAGATCGTCTTCCCGCATTTTTCGCGGACGTGAGGGCTGGGCGCTGAATGGGCCTGTTCTGCCTTCTTTGTTTTTGTTTTGGATGAAGATCCTTGCAGCCATACTCACGCTCAACCCACCTAAATCAGTTCCGCATCGCTACGTGCAGTCACTCAAAATCAGGCAATGAACTCAGCAACAGCAGCACCAGGCATGCTCCTGGACTCCTGCGTCACCCGGGATGTTATGGTAATTGTAAACGCTGCGCGTTGCCCGCCTCGGCCCAGCCGAGCGCGCAGCGTCTGTGGTTCGACTGCAAGCACCAGAGCTGGTCAAGTGGCGATTCAGGAATGGACGGGTTCTGGCTGCCTCTGTTGGGGAATGGTGCAAACCAGAACGTTGGCTGGGGCGAGCAAGTTTCACGAGAGACCGGCGAAAGCCCATGGAGCTTAAGGTTCCGCGCATCCCCGGCAAGCGCAAGTCGCACGCCTGCTTTCACTTGGCGCTTTGGTCAACTGCCAAGTAGAGCCATTACATAAATATTCAGGTGCTTGGCTCCTTGGTGGTTCAAGCTGCTCAGGCCACGCAGAAGCCACAGACCAGACTTAGGGACTCGCAGCATGTATGGCGTGGTTGTAATTGTAAACGCTTCGCGTTGCCCGCCTCGGCCCAGCCTAGTTTGAGGGAAGGGTCAGGAACACCGAAATCCAGTGTTGGGAAGGTCCGAATCCTACTGAAAGCTTGTGACCGCACCAGTTCGCCCGTGCTAGTTCGATGTTCGGAAGCCGTCCTGCTCGGAAGGTTTGAAATCCAAACCCAAGACTGTCAGCCTGGGCTGAGCTGCTTGGGCAGCCGGACTGGGGGGCTGGGGCACGTCAGACAGGCTTAGTAGCTGGCGTAGCTTGAGACCAGTCTCAGACACATGAGACTGGTTGTTGGCCTGAGGCCAGTCTCAGACACGTTAGACAAACCTGACCTTGGCACGCTGGGCTGAGCCTGCTGGTGCCAGCTGGGAGCTGGGGGCCGGCCTAGAACTCAGCCACGAGGCTGCGAAGCCATGGGTGGGTTGCTGGCTGCCGGGCAGCCGGACTACGCTGCTGGTTGCGCCTGGAACTTGGGCCGGGTTGCTGGATGGAAGGCCTGTTTCATACACACTTGGGCCTGAGGCTGGGTGGCGAGTTGCTGGCTGGGCTGGGCCCGAGGCCAGTCGTCTCAGACTGCGCCGAAAAGGCTGGGCCTGCTGGAGGACTTGGGGCCAGACGCGAGCAGGAGGCCAAGGCCTGGCGCAGCCGGACTGAGGGGCTGGGGCACGTCAGACAGGCTTAGTAGCTGGAGACCAGTCTCAGACACGTGAGACTGGTCGTTGGCCTGAGGCCAGTCTCAGACACGTTAGACAAACATGACCTTGGCACGGGCTGGGAGCGGCCTAGTGGCTGGCATGCCCTGAGATGCGCCGGGGCCTGGGCTGGGCAGGCTGGGCTGGGCTTGCTGGGATGACTTGGGGCCGTGGTTGCTGGTTGGGCTGGGCCTGTGTCAGGCAAGCTTGGGCCTGAGGCTGGGTGGCTGGGCTGACAGGCCTGGCCAGCAGGCGGGTTGCTGGTTGGGCTGGGCCTGAGCCTAGTCTCAGACACGTCAGACAGGCCTGGCCAGCAGGAGATCATGCTTTTCAGGACAAAAAAGCAATTTTTAGTTTTTCGCAATTGTCAGCAATTTTCGACAAAAATAGACCCATGGAGCTGGACGCCGACGAACCCCGAAAATTTCAAGGCCCGCCGGACAGGATTTTGGGCCAGCCGACATGGGTGAGGGGAAAAGCGAAGATTCTCTTTGGAGAAGAGATTCGAGGCGAATCTTTGGAAATGAAGAAGCACGGTAAGAATATTGCAGAAACAATTGAACTCAACGAGCGCCCCCCCTCCCCCCCCGTTGTCCTTGATTTGTCATCGGATTAATGTTTGCGACTCCTGGGTTGAACGGTTGAGTATCCAAGTGTGCAGATACCTTGGCAGACTTGCTTGGCTGCCGGTATGCTGAAGACAGCGGCGTCACAAAGGGATTTGTGGGTTTGCGGGATCAAAATAAAGCAGAGACTGCGCAGGAGGTCCTGGAAGACCATCTTCCTTTTAAGGGGGACCTCTGTGGGGGTTCTATGTTTGGTTTTGGGAGGGCATTGTAATTCACCAAGTGTAACTGGGAGGACCCTAACCCCACCCCCAAAAGCCCCCACGTCACGACAGCTTGGTTGTCTGCCTTGCCAAGGCCGGGAGGACGCAAGCGCAACTTGGCTTGAGCGGGCGGACGGGTGTTCTGGTTTTGGAGGTGTGTTTTAATGAGAAAACCAGTTGTTTGAAAGAGAAATGAAAAGGACTTGATTGCTATTTGGTTGGATCCTTAGACTTGAGCTCTTGAGGAAATCAGGGGTTTGCCATCAACCCACAAAAAGTTAACCTTTTGCGGAGGGGTCAACAGCAACCAAGAGAACACGACCCATTTTGGAGGCTTCCCTGTCCTTATTTGGGGCTGTCATTTTGGAGGGTATCACATCCGTTTTGGGTGTTCTGATCTTGAGCACCAGATTCGTCAAGCGCGGCATGGCTTCTCGAGATGACAGCGGCCATGTCGCAAGTTGAGCCAAGCCAACAGCAAGACCGGATTTAGTACGAGAGCGACCTAACCAGAAACAAAGAGGGCCACGCTTGTGATTCCTTACAGCCGGGCTTTGGTGGCTGAATTGTGGCCTGTTCAGCCAAGCGGTGAGGGCAGTGGAGCATTCGCTGAAAGAAACACACGAGCCTATGAGCAGGGGACAGCCGTGCCGCAACAAGGTTGCCATGCCTTTGCCTAACATGTTCAGGCTTGGCACTATCCCGAGATGGTATTTGTGTTGGGGGCTCCTTGATTCAGGTTGGCAAAAGAAAGGTGACTACAGTTATATACATGCAGGAGTGCCTCAAAATAGGGCAACCCTTTCATGCAAGCCCGCAAATCAAATAGCAACAGCGCCTTGCCTTCGCCAGAGGCTGGCTTGCCCTCTGCAGAGAGCCTGTTTGCTGTAAACGCGGCTCACCAATGAAGACATGTCCTTTTGTGGGCATTCCTTGTTTGCGGTTTGGCAAATGATTTCGTCCGAATTTAACATTGAGGCCCTCCTGAAAATGATTGATTGTGATGTTCTGCGCGAAGCCGCAGAGTATTTATTGTCATTGACATATGGGTGTGGGTCAAAAATAGGTACCCAAAGTGGAACCTTGGTAAATGGACACATTGGTTCAAACACTCGCCGTCCCCTGGTTTCATGTTGACCATACCCAGGCTGTGTGATAGGTGAAGAATCAGTGAGTTGAGGATCCGCCGGGTGCTACAGAAGTCCAGGGTCATCATTCGGCTCTGAGGCGGCTGAGCCCCGCTACCAGATCTTCTTTGGCCCGGGAGCCTAGTCCTGCGCCTTCAGAGGCAGAGATGCCATGGGGAACTCCCCCCCCCCCCCCCAGAGGAAATCCGACTCAAAAGGGGTTTCAAGAGGGGTGCCAAAACGGACCAACAGGGGCCTTCTTCACATAAAGTGGTCACCCTCGTGGAATGTTCAAGGGTGGTCCTTCATTTTTGGGAACGCCAGCCCTATGTAGGGGAAACGGGTCCCTTTCCCTTAGAGCCAGGAGAGGCAGATAGCAGAGAATTTTGCTTGGCACCAGAGCGCAACTCCGCTTTCACCGTTGCCATGCCGTGGGTGGTTTTGTCTTTGGCCTCGCAAGGTATGTTTCTCCGGTTCCTTTGGTTTTTTCAGTGACGTTCCTTTTCACGTGTTGCTCAGGTACCCAGGTACCTGTTGCTTGGGAAGCTTAACGACTGACCCCTTCGCAGATCGGCGGAAACATCAAGTGGCATCAGAAAGGATTCGACCCTGGGCCCCGACGCATTGATTTTTCGTTTGGTGCGACATGTCACAGAACTGGGTCTCACCAGAGGTCCCGATTTGCAGGATGCGAAGCATCGGGTTGGGCTGTCACGGCTAGGTCTTGTCCATGTCCAAAAGAGCTCATATCAGTGCAAGGCCGGGGACATAATCTTGGACCCTCTTTTACTGTGCTCCCCCCACCTCCCTTGGAACAGTGGTTACTTTAGTATTGCCAAGACAACAGTTAGTATTTCCAAGACTAACTCTCAGATTCCCCTTACTTACAATAGTATTGCCAAGTCTAAGTTTAGTATCGCCGAGACTAACTCTCAGATTCCCCGTGCTTACTTTAGCACTGCCAATTCTATATAATTTAGCTTGGAAGCGCCCGTTTTTGTCACCACCCCCCAAACAAGTTGGACACTAAATGGGGACCCCAAAACAGTCACATTAAAGAGGATGAGGTCCTCTTCCCCCCCTGTGTGTGATTGTTTGCCCGACTTCTTCGTAAAGAAATCTTCTTAACATTGATGGTTTGGGTACCACTTGCAAAATGGATTTGCTAGATCTAAGGCCTTTACCCTTTGAGCTGGGAAGAGCTCTGTTTGGTGAACCACCCTTTAAACGTAAAAGGCTTTGGCTTTAATTAATGAATTTCAGCAACCACACAACAAGTTGGACACTCAAGAGGCCTCTTGTGGGCAACCCCATTTGTGTGACTGTTTGCCCCTGCTTTTCTGTACATAAGATAGCTTACCACTTCAAAAAAACGAACTCCTAGTGTGTGCCCGGCTTTGTTTGCCTTTTTTTGCCCGACTTTTTTGGCCAGTTTGTTTTGGCCGGGGTTGCTTCCCGCATTTTTTCCCGCAAACACACTTGCCCCAATAGAGGACCCCTTATCGACGACTTGGGCTGGGACCGATCATACAAATCAGCAGAGGGGCCATGTTTGGAACCAAGCTTTTTGAGAGTCGGTTATGCAGCACGCATATTGGTTGTTGTATGTTCAGTGACTTGTACGAATATGGGTGTGGGTGTGTTTTTCGAGGGCTTATTTTTGGGATGGATTGAACGGGAAACCAAATGGACACCATCTATTTGTGCGGGGACCCAGAAACATCCTATCTCTGCCCCAGCATCCTTGCTTTCTGAAACGAGGGGCAGAGCGAGTGGGCTGCTGTAGAAAAGAGGGTTGTGCCCTTTGAGCGATTGGGTTGCTACCTCCTTTTGGATGAGACCGTTCCAACCCGGAGAGGGTCCACCAACAAATCGACGCAACAAAACCATCACCCAGTTTCTCAGTGGCTTCCACTCTCAAAAATCCCCCGTGTGTGTGGTGTTTTTCCTCCCTCGAATTCGGCTTCCGAGCCAAAAAAGGTTCCACAGGTGTCCTTTTTGGTTAATTTAATTGAAAAATAGAGGGCGATCCCTGGTCTACCTGGCGGTTCAATCATCTACAGGGAAATCCATCTATTTGCCCAAAGGGACACCTATGAAAAAGGGTCCTTTTCCCCCCTTTCAGCGTTTCAGCGAAGCGCCCACCGGGCAGCCTTCCGAGGCCCTCCGCGTGGCACCCGAACGGCCCGGGTCTCCCGGCGCCTGGCCTTCGTGTCCCCGGTGCTCTCGGTGTACCCGGACTTCGTGGCGCTCGCCCCCGAGATCTTCGCGGAGAACATGGGGAGCAACGCCTCCGACTGGGCGGCCTCCCAGGTCCGGGACTCCGGGACTCGAGAGACGGAGAGGCAAGAAGCGGCGGAGAGCCGAGGGGTTGAGTCCTGGTCCATTCTTTGCAACAACCAGCCATTGATTCCATCGTTCTTTTCAACCACCAGCCGTTTTCCCTGGGTTTAGGGAGGTTTTCTAGAGAAAGAAGGATCCCTGGAAAGAATGGGGAAGGTATCCCCAGAGAAAGGGGGGGATAGGCGCCTTCCTGTCTTGAGGGGGCTGCACGGGTTTCTGGTTATGACTTGGTTGTGCAAGACCGACCTTTTGACCTCGTGAGTACCCTTCACGAGACTGGCCCTGCCACGCAGAAACTCCAAGTGAGCCTCATGAAAAGGGTAAATTGAGGGCTCTCCTATCGAGGCCTCGCGAAAGCCAAATCGCAGGGCGTGAAAGCCGGCGAAAGCTTGCAGCGAATGTGGTTGATGAGAGCCCGCTGTGAAAGCATCGCAAACGTGCATGTTTGCAGGGACGTTTTGAGCTGAGCCTTTTGTGGCTTTAAAGGGAACCAAGGAACCCGATGCCATTGTGCCATTTGGAGTTTCACCTTGTAAGAGCACCCTCACTTTAAACCATTGGGGTGTTTGAGCCAGACCCTCAATTTCACCATCACCTCAAAACCAAGCCTCAATTTACACAGACCCTCATTCAAACCACCAACCCCCCGCAACCCCACCCAACCAACCGCCTGAGAACAGACCCCCCCCACCACCGCCCAGGAGCTGATGCCGCCGCTGCGCCGAACCAACTTCACAGTGGGCTGCGAGGTGGGCAGCTGCAGCATCGCCACCCAGGCGACCGACGCGGGAATGCCACGGGATTTTTGGTTTTCCCTGGTGGCTCCCAGCCATCCGGTTCCTTGGCTTTTTAGCCTTTCAGTGTCTAGTGGTAGTTTCCGTTTACCCCAAAAGTTAAACTTTTAGCGGGGGATCCGAGGGCAGCCCTGTTTCCACCAGATATTGGGGTGCATCAAAAGGTCAGTAATACATGGGATGCCCATTGGTTGGAAAACCCACTGAACAGAGGATATGTCTCACTGAATGGCAAAAGTTACCCGTGCTCATTTGTTTCGGGGGCAGGAACATTGATCAACCCCCATATGGGGCTACGCCTGTACAAGTGTGACTTAATCTTGTTGTATGGTGCCCCAAACATCATGACTTGCATGTTTCTCTGTGGAAAACACACAAACCCATTCGGCTCAGAATTGTTGGCTTCGCAGCGCCTTCAAACATGGGTAAACATAACCCCCCCATGTAAATGGTGTCCACCAACGAACCCCAACTGTGTGGTTGTTTTGTTTCCATGTTTTAGTTTACATAACGGAGCCCTGCTAGAGTTTCCGATGATCCACTGCTCAGTTTATGTCCATCCACCTTCTAAGCGTTAGGTTTTCTTTCATAATTGGTTTTACAATATCACTTGTGTCGATCTGGTACGTAAAGGGGGAAGTATAGGATCCCCTTCAAATGCCGGGTTTGCTCTCTTGCAAAGGAGATTTCTTATCTTTCCGCGCTTGCAAGAAAGCCCCTTGTGCTCAAATATCCTTTGTGTTTCTAGTCATTTGGGTGTGCATTTGGGGCGGCATCGAGAATCAGGGCCCCTGTTGGGCAGGGTCACGCCCAAGACTTTGCCACTTTCCGTTGCCACTGCCATGCTGTTTCCCAGTCGAAGGCTTGGCTTGGGCATTGTGCGCCTTGCACTGCTTCTTGGCTTTCGGCTTGCAGCCATCAATATCAATCAATAATTGGGCTGAGATTCCAGTTCTGGGACTCTACTCGTAGGATGGCTCGCGTACTCTTTGTTCTGCTGGCAGCTGCCGTGGCTGATGAGTGCCCTTTGGAAGGCGAGGAGACCCTTCTGATGCAGCTCCAGGGAAAAAAGGAGAGCGTGGAGTATGAGGCTGACCAGGACGGTCCACGTCGTGATCGACGAGATAGCCGCTACTCGTACAACAGTTATCGCCACTACAGCCCATCCCCGCCAGCATCGACAACTGAACCATCCGACCCCTCGACAACAACTGCAGCACCAGCGCCCCCGCCGGTGCTGAAATGCGAGGATGCTGAGCCCCAAGCTCCGCGCAATGTCACGTGCGGCTTTGTTGGAGAGAAGAAGGCCAGAGTCAAACCTTTGGATACCGATGCCGTTTTCAAGTTCATCCAGGCCAACCTCCACTTTCACTTGGGGGCGGAGCACCTCAGTGCTGGTGAATATGATCTTGACTCTCCACCACCAGGTGTTGAAAAGGCCTCAAGCGTTGCGCTTGGAAAGTTCTGCGGCCTTTGCGACATCCCGGCCCAGCAGCTTCAGCCTTTTGACTTCGAGCACTGCAAGAATGTCTCCGTGGGCAACACCTATGAATTCCACTGGGTCTTCTCGACCGGTGCTCCGCTGGTCGGTTTGCGTGACGATGGTGAGGAGGGCCAGCTCGGCATCACCGATGGCTTGGGCGGCGCCCTCAACCGCACTATCAACCCAAAGGTCATCGTGCGTGGCCAGGCTTGCCGCATCATCAACAATGCCTCACTCGACACAGAGGAAAAGATCGGCGCAGACTATGCAGACTTCCTCACGCAGTGGCGCCAGCCACCTTTGGGGCAGGGAGTTCGATACATGGGCTCCACAACTGGCAACAGCCTCGATGACGAAGTTTGTTCACCGATCGAAGTGAATTGGCATGTGGACACCAAGTGCTGCACGTTGTCGGCTCAGGCATTCGATCGAACTTGCAAAGCAATGTACGATGAGGGCTTGCGCGAGGACCTCAAGCCGAAAGGTTCTCGGGCCCCAGTGTCCGCAGCAAATTCGGCAACGGTGATCTACCCCCTCAGTGAGCCAGCCTGCAGCTGAGAGACCACTTCTGATGTCAGCCTGGTCCTCCCAATTTTCCCAGGTTGGCCGCATTGAGCACCGTGCGTTCTGATCGCTGCATGCTTTCCACTTGACGTGAGGACACGTCAGGCTTGCAGCGGCTCGATTGATTTTGATATTTTATTCTCATTTGTTTGTTTTAAATAGTATAGCCTTGACGTTTTCAGACTTCGCCCGTGTCATAGATAGACTGTGAGACTGGTGATTGCAAGGAGACTGAGCCAGCTGAAAAGTTGCTTGAACAAATGAGAAGTGGTCTAGTAATATGGAGCGTCCTGTCTGCCAAAGGCGTGACCGTTACCCTTTGTAGGCTACAAGTTTCTCGGTGCATTTGACCTGGGCTCGGCTCCTCAGTTCGGCGCATTCAGGGGTTCAGGCGCCAACCAGCACCCGCAAAATCCCAATTTTTGTTGGGTGGCTTGGTGCTTTAAACGGTCAACCCCACAACTCGCTCCCTTCTGCCAGACCTTGGCGCGTTGTGCCGCCTTTTTGAGGGGATTTCAAAAAGATCCAAAAAGGGCCCTAGTTTTGACCACTCTGGTCTAGTTCACAAGGATTTCACAGGTTTTTTTTCCTTCTACAGGGGGGGCTTCTTACAATAGAATTCGGACGCCTTTTTGGATGGGTTCAAGGGATTGGTACCCAATTGTGAGAAGCACGCATATATCAATACAAAGGGGCTATATCCCTATAATTTTGACTACATTTAGTTTTATGGCGCCCCTTAACATGATACATGTGTATATATATATACACATATGGTTGGGAAACTTTAGCTTTTTCCATAAAGGGTCTGCCCTTCATCCTATAGTTGTTCCTTCTTCTTTTTATGGGTCCCTATACGGGGGGTTTGGATGGTTTTGAAGGGGAAACAACAGAAAGCAACAGATGGGATGTGGTCAAACTTACTGGGGGTCGAATGTACCCCCAAACATGGCGGGTATCCTTTTGGTTTCCCTTTAAGCCAACCATTACAAGGGTACGCCAATAGAAATTCCCCTGGTGTACTCCAACAATTGTGACTAAATTGAGTTTTATGGTACCCCAAACCACCCATTCTACTTGAAAAGCCCTGTATATTGCCTCTTCAAACATCACAAGGCAACCTCGATTAAATTATCAGATGCCTGAGGAAAAAATCCTTTTGTCCCAAAAGGAGCGAAAAGGGGATTGGTTGAGTTAGGCCAAACGCTTGTGGCCAAGGTGTTTGCTACCTATTGAAAGCACCTTCATGTCAAGCAACTGTAAGCAAGGGTCCAAGGTAGGGTGAAGAGGATCCACGCCAGTCTGCCCTTTTTAGGCGGAGTCATCGGCAGATGTGTTGAGCTTCGAGCAGTCATTCGAAGGGAAGGAGTTCAATCCTTTGAGTGTTGCTTCGGTGTTAAAACCCACAAACTGTCGAACAAAGGACTCGGTATGATTAGAGCTGACAGTAATTTCACAGCCAATGTGCTAAAGGGGCGAGGGATATTTGACACATTGTGGCTCCCAAAACCAGGAGCCCAAAAGAAAGTGTAGCCCAGAATGTTCAATTGCCACAAAAGAGAACTGCCAGGTGACATATGTCTAACCCTTCCGGATTAGCAACCCCCCTGGCTTATCAATAGGCGGGCGTCCAAACTGAGGGGATCTTTCACTTTTGGGATGGTAAGCCTCCTTTATTTGGCAGGTGCTTTCACCTGGGTTTGACATTTCCAGAAAGAGAAGCTCCGCTTCCCCCCCTTTACCCCTCCAAACGGGCGAACCTTGGGCCGGCGGCCAAGGGAGCGCTCGACCCAAGAGGACTCCACAGTGACCGCGCATCGGTTGTCTTCGTTCAGATAGCTAGTTCCCCCATTGCGTGCTGAAATCACTCCCAAGTTCAGAAGTAATCCAGAAAATCGATCTTTTGAACCCCTGCACCTTGACGTGGTTGCCAACATGTTGGAGACCTCTGCACAAGCAAACGCACATGTCAGCCCAGAAGTTCAGCTTTTGGTTCAAAGGCGACATGTCAGGAGAACGGTTTGGTGGCTGGCCAAGAGGCGAAAGCTGGTCGCCTAAACAGTGCTGCAGTCTCAACGTGCAACCAAACACCACGACCAGAGTTTCAGGAACCCGTTTGGCACACATTTCCCCGAATTGGTTTGCTGAAACAGGTGCTGAAATTCAAGCGCAGAACATCGGGAGCATAGGTGTCCTTTTAGGGGAAATAGATGGATTTCCCTGGTAGATGATTAACCCACCAGGTAAACCAGGGATCGCCATCTATTTTTCTACCAAATCAACCAAACAGGACACCTATGGGTGTTGGTTGAATGAGCCGTGTTTGGTTGGATTTCCGAAAAATTCAAAGGATTCCCAAACAGGACACCTATCAGGAGACCAACCACCCGCCCCAGAGACTCTCCGCGCGCTCCAAGCGCCCAGCGCCCGCTCGAGGTGCGCTTGGCTCTGGACTGCGCAGCGGTGTCGGCGGTGCACCACCGGAGCTCCGGGCCCGGCTACAGCCAGGCTGGACGGAGTCGATGGGAGGTGGGCGGCTCGTCGTCCCCTCTGGGTTGTGCTTTGGGGTCGTGGCAATCATCCTAGAGAAGTGAAGACAAGCCAGGCAATAGTCGGTGGCTTGGGTTTGGCTGGGTGCTTTGGGGAGTTTGACCCCGTTCTTGCTGAGGGTAAATGGGAAACCACCTGAAGCTCCAAACCGTCCAAACCGCCAATCCAAATCACCCATTGGTTTTGTCTTTTTCAATCGGCACCCCAAAGATGAAAAAGAATCCTTTGGAGGGTTCCCCTACTAAAATAGACTACCGCAACAGAAAGTTGGTACCCGTATTCTAACCTCTCTACTGGAGGACCCAGTCCCTTACCAAGCCAAAAAGGCCCTCAAAACTTGGCGGCCCCCAGCCATCTTATTAGCCTTCTAGCCTTTTAGTGTTTAGTGGTAGTTTCCATTTCACCCACTAAAAGTTCGTCACTTTTAGCGGGGGATCTGCAAACGTGCAGCCCTCAAAACCAAAAAACAACAAACCGCTGGAGGGAGCTGACGGCGCTCACGGCGCTCACGTCGCTCACGCCGCGCGCAACCGCGAGGCGATTGGCCTGGCGCCGGTGGATGCCTTCCCCCCGAGCAGCGCCGCAGGGCACGATGCGGAAGCCTTCCAGGCCGTTTGCCGCCGCCTGTTGCCGCGGGGGGGGGGGGGGGGAATCGGAGAGTGGTGGGGGAAGTTGCATTGCCAGTGGCCAGGAATGGTTGTTTTCTTTGTTTGCTTGTTTCCTTATTGTTTGTACCGGTTGCCAGGCATTGGTTTCTTCCTTTGGTTTGCTCCCCTTTTGCCTTTGCCTTTGGGACCCAGAGAAATGGGCCTTGTGGTTCTTCTCCCTGGCTGGAGTCACAGGGGAGGTGCTGACCGTGGAAGTCAGAGGGCTCCGACCCAAAATTTGTGAGGCATGCCATATTCTGGTGGGTGAGATTCCTGGACATGCGTGTTTTTCTAGGTTGCGAGCGCCATGTGGTTAGCCTTTTCAGCTGGCTTAAAGGGACACCAAAGGGGGACTGACCCATTTTGGGGGGGATTTGGGACCTCACTTGGACGCATACCCATGCGGATGTGTCTTTTTTGAGGGCACCCCTTTTATTAATTGTGGTTTTAAAAGGACCATTTTGGGGGTGCACCCTAACAAAACGACACACCCATGTTAATCTTCACGAGAGTCACGTTTTTGTTGTTGTTGTTGTTTTTTCTCCCGCGTGCGACGCAGGCAAACCTGGAGGTGTCAAGCCTGCTGCCAGGCTTGGCGGGCCGATTGTGTGCTAGAGTGACCCTTAACAAAAAGTGTTAAAACTGGAAAAGGTTTCAGGACGTCTTTGAAAGGACCCCAACATGACACCCACCATCTAACATCTCGGTTCTGGCAAGCAGCCAATCCTTCGCAAGGGCTCTTAACCATTGACTGTTTTGCCACCGTTCTGGGTGTGGCCTGCCCATGGTTGACTGTCGTTTCAGCAAGTCATGCTGTTTGAAGATGTTGCAAACATTGGATCGCCCCGCCCTTGGGGGCAACTGCTTGTGTGTTGAGGAGTCCACCACTGTGCCTAACCCAGTTGAGCGCTGAATGCCCAAGCAAAGTTCACTTGCGGCTCCCTGTCCAAAGGTCGGATACTTTTCTGGGTTCTGACCATGAAACACCCGCGATCCCACTTCCCGAACCGAGAGACCCCCCATGTCCAGATGGCTGGGATTCGTCCCCCTGAAATGCTCTTAACCGGCGGCGCTGCGTATCACCTGCCGCAAGCAAGGGAACAGCAGACGTGCCTTTTGCGACAACCTCTCATCACTTGCCATGCGGAATCCACCATAATTATGGCGCTAAGGAATACCCAGCAGTGATTCTTGAGGAAGCGGTGATTCTTTTGGAAGCCCTGGCCAAAAATGTGTTTTGGTTTCAATGGCACTTCTGCGCGCCAGTAACTCTGTTTCCAGTCAATATGGGGCAACCGAGGGCGTGGCTCAGCCTCACCACTTGCCTCACCTGGTCACCTTCGGTTTTTTTCCCGAACCACGACAACTCGCAGCACGAGTGTTCACATCCAGGTTCTTTGGCAGACAGCAACTGTCTGCTTTTTGAGGGTACTTGTTTGGCCTTTTTCGACCAAAGAGGGAACCTTCGACTTCTGGGCAAAGGTGTGGGAAAGAGCATTGTTTAATTGGGCTTTGCCAGTTTTCCATGATACCAAGCAAATCCCCTTTAAATTGATCAAGTATTCCTGGGAATCAACCAGTTTTGAGACAGGGGGCACTTTCCACAACCCACCCTCTGTTCGACCATGGGAAGGCTTCCACTACCACCTCTGCGTGGACACGGACGGGTTCTACGGCACGGAAGCACCGGGGGAGTCGGGGTTCACGGTGTACGGTACCGGCGTCAGTGCCTTGGAGTTCGACCCACTCCGATTCGGGCCGCGCGGTCAGGGTGCCCTAAATGTCCTCTTCACAGGTGTTCTTTTTGGTTGATTTGGTTGAAAGATTATCCATCTATTTTCAACCAAAAAGGACACCTGTGGTCCTCTTGTTGTGGTGTCAAGCATCACCTTGTGGGCCCAGTCCAGATTTTGCTTTTGGTGCGGGGGCACATGAGTAGGGAGCCCTTTGGCACCGCCGAGCCCTCCCAGAGGGCCCCGCCGTACTAGATGTGTTCCGACGACGGAGACGAAGTACTTGACATGCGCCAAAAAGTCCGCAAATGCGAAGTTCCAAGCGGCCCTTGGGTAAGGGCTTCTACTCTCCAGTGTAGTGGCGAACCGGTACAATGAACCAACTTAGTAGTATCGAATGTCCAGGGGCTTGGAGTGGTTCAAAAGTGAGTTTGCATCCCTTTGCCTCATCCTTTGTGGAGACAACTTTTGTAGGCTTGCAACAGGTGATCCTATTCGATTTTGGTTCAGGAGGGAAGTCCCTCTGTTCCCCAGCATGGGCGCCTCACAAGAAAGAAAGAAGGTTCCAATCAAACGCGCAGTGCAGCGGATGTCAGCATGAAAGCCCTTCTGTGCCAGCAGGAGATGGGTGACGGCTTTCCATATGCTGCTACGATCCTCTTTCTGGGGACTCGGGAGAACCTTCGCTGGAACACATGCGCCATTCCTAGGTTTAAGACTTAGGGATATAGCTGTACATGGCATATCATGAGCTTGTCCGGTCTTTGTTTTTGTGGGGGGGGGGGTGAAGGGGTGAAGGGGGGTGGGGGGGTGGGGGGCCTTGTATTTGATGAAGGGAAACACACGGGAACCTGCCCATTTGGGGAAACCAATTTGTTGAGAACCGAAAGGGGGTGGGGGGCCTTGTATTTGATGAAGGGAAACACACGGGAACCTGCCCATTTGGGGAAACCAATTTGTTGAGAACCGAAAGGGGGTGGGGGGCCTTGTATTTGATGAAGGGAAACACACGGGAACCTGCCCATTTGGGGAAACCAATTTGTTGAGAACCGAAAGGGGGTGGGGGGCCTTGTATTTGATGAAGGGAAACACACGGGAACCTGCCCATTTGGGGAAACCAATTTGTTGAGAACCGAAAGAAGTAGAACGGCAGGGTTGCCTCGAGATCCTTGAGGTGCAATTTCGCCCGTCACCATCGGCCAGAACACCACCCAGCGGATGATCCTCAACTGCTCTGCCACAGGAGGCCGATGGACCAGACATGAGATCTCTGGGTGCTAAATGCCTAGCATGTATTATTATAGTTATTACATAAATGTTCCAAAAGGAAACCAACATTGGATGATCGGCACATTTTGCAGTTTTTGCTGACCCCCCTATTAACACCCGGCTTGGCCTACCAGCTACCAGTGGTGCTCCTGTTTCCTTGCAGTAAAAGTTAGGGTGTCCTTTTTGATGCCGTGGCAGATCCCGATTTTTCTGCACTCGCAAGGCTCATGACATTTCTATGGATTTTCACTGGTGTTTTCCTTGACTGGACAGTCACAGCAGGTCTGGTCTGGTCAGGGACTTCCGGCGCCCCCCTGAAAGAGGGCCATCCACTCCAAACTTTACTGGGGAGCCCCTACCCCCACCCTTTTTAGAGCCCAATCGGCCGGTTGGAAAGTTCCCAGACCTTGCTTCAACGGAGGAGATGCACATTGTTCGGGCAAAACTCGCTTGGGCTCAAACAAGTCCTCAAGACTACGGCGCTTCTGCTCGCCGGGTTTGAACTTTCAGAATTCGAACGCCAACACTTTTTGGAAAGGGCCCCCGTTTTTTTCTTCCAATCATCGAACATGGAACCCGAGGAAGCGGTCCTTGCCGACGGAGCCGCGCGTCTCGCAGGCTGCTCCACCGACATGCGGGGCTACGTGGCTCTGGGGACCTGCGCGGATCGGGGCGACGGCCTCCAGGCGCTCGCTCGTTTCGGCGATGCGGATCCGGCGTCCCGGGGGGGGGGGTTGATCAGGTCCGTGATACGTGGGATGGCCATTCAGAGAATCCCCACCAAAAAGATGCCCATGGTCACGACCGAGGGCCAAAAGAATTGATCAACCCTTATCTGGTTGTCTTAAAGGGAGACCAAAGTGAAAGTTGACATCACCCATCGTGCATGGAGAAACCCCTCTATCCCAGTTAGGCTTCGTTTTTGAGGGGACCTCAACAGGACGTCCGTTTCGGTTTGCCGCGCAGGCCGCGGGGCTGGAGAACTCCGCGTCGGCAAAGGTGTCCGCGGCCATGGGCGGCAACAGCCGCTCGGGAGGAAGCGATAATCTAGGGGTTCCTTTGACTTCGGGTGCTCCGGATCAATCCGAAGCTTACATTGCTGGTTTTTTGCATAACTCATTGTTTCAATTTACTTCATCCTTATGAAAGTGGCCCCCGTTAGATTGGCCAATCCTCCCTGTTGAACTGCAGGTATTTATGGGCTTCACGCTCGATCCGCGGGTAAACGGAGCGAGCCATGTCGGTGCTTTTATTTGGGGATCCAATTCTCATTGCAGGTTTTGGAGTTCAACTAGAATTGCAGAAACAATGGGACACCCTCAGCCAGGGTGTCAAATGTCGACCCATGGGTTAAAGTTGTTTCCCCTCAAGCAGCGAAGGGTTCCTAAAAAGGACACCCCTATGAATCAATGGTTTCTGTCAACCCAAGTTCGAAAGATGAACAACAATGGAGCAATGCCCAGTGGCAAAATGGGTGGTTTTTTGTGGCTTCCCCTTCAAGCAGTATCCAATAGGGGTTCAATGTTTGGACGCCAGGGTGGCCGCTTTTGGTTGGAGGCGAGGTTGATTGTGAATGGGAACCAAAAGGCAAGCGATGCATCCTGTTCGATGTCAATTCTGAGTTGAAGCTTTCCCAGATGAGTCGGCCGTGTAAGCTCATCAGTGGCACTGCAGAGTTTAATCCTTCCAGCAATCAAGACCCTCCTTCCGTAAATGGATCCGTGGGACTGGTTGGCGTGGCTATTCTCGTCTTGACCACGACAGTAATGAAAGCATGAAACCAACCCAAAACCTCAATTCCCATGTTTCCTCTTTGAGGCCTTCACCACATGGAACATCTCGTGTTTTACACCCGAGTCCTTGAGTAGGAGTTAAAAAAGGTCCCTGGTACACCACGGCACGTCCGCGCTTTCGCGCGTTCGAGGCTTTGAGCTGGTTCTGGACACCTCGTTCCTGGCCTACGGTCTGCATCTCCGGCTCTGCGTGGACCCGGACGGCGCTGGGCCGCTGCTCTTCGGCACCGCCGGGGTGGTCTACCTCAGCCCGGCCTCCAACGCCACGCCGGCGGTGCAGGCGGGAAACACGGCGAACCAAGTGGCGCTGATCTGCGAAGGCGCGGATCGAGAGGGATCGAAGGAAGGGTTGGCGAGTTCTGGGTTTGCTGTTTTTTTTTTTTGTTTCTTCGGTTTTGGCTGGGCGGGTTCATTTAGAGGTCCCTGCCGGGATCTGACCTTTCCAGCTACTTGAAACTTCAGGTCCCGTTTGAAGCGCGGCAGTTTGGGCCTTGGCCCACAGTTCCTGCAAAAGGGTGTCCTTCCGTTCCATGCGGACTTTGGCTGTTTGGATGTCTACAACCATGTTCCACTCCTGAAAATTGATATGGGACCTGCAAAGCCGCCGCTTCTAGACAAATCTACGTTTTGTTTTGGAGCCCTTTGTTTGGTTCCCTACGCTCATTTGCACCCGAGTAAATTCGTGTGGCCCTCGGTGGATAGCTCAAAATCCCAAGTCTGTGAGAGCCACAGCAATCTTTGGCTCACTTGCATGGACTTGGCTGATGGTTGCCAAAATGAACCGCCCTGGTTGACGTTGAAAATTGGGCAACGACCAGCTGTGCTCTGTCCAGCGACGCCCTTTGGTTGTTTTGCCTTAAAAATACCAGTCCTTTGTTAACGTGGCCACTGGGCAGGTAGGACACTGACTTCGGTTTTCGCTCTTTTCAGGCTCTACATGTCTGCCTTTCCAGGCAAAAGGACGTTTGTTTCGCTCAGGATTTTGTTTTTCCTGTGGGTTGCAAGCGAGCATGATCTTTCGGCCAATTTCGGGGGCAGTCAAGGGATCCAGTTTAAAATCCCTCTCTGGCAGCGCACTCAATTTGGGGTCAAAATGCAAACTCTGCCTTGAACCCCTCTCTCATACCTCAACAGCTCCACTTGCGGAACTACGGGGGTTCTCAAAGGAATCGGAACCCCACGGTTTGTTTCCTTTGGGCTTCCCCAGACCACGTGCCCGGGCGAAGCAAGCATCCATTTCCCCGAAAGCCTGACCGTGGATCTTTAGGATCGGACCCCTGTGGACATTGCATGTTGATACGGTTGATTCCCTCAATCTGCAAGTAGGTGGAAAGCTGCAATGAACGTACCGCAAGTTACCAGCTTTGTGTTCTATCTAGTTGGGATCCACAGCTGAAAGATGGGCTTCCGCCATCCCCAAGCCACCACCCTTCTAAGGGAAAAAGGTGGAGCCTAGTACTACCATTCAGATGACAACACGCGTGGGAATCGCGCACTTCACAGCCAGCCCTTCTTAATGTTTAACTGCTCCCTTCAAGAGAGGAAGGTTCCTAGGCGTTGCAGAGGTGGGGGAAAAAGCCTTGTTCCCACAGCCCTTCTATGAGGAATTCTTGGCGCGAGACCAATCGGACGTTGTTTACCGAGGGTGCGCCCAACAATCATACCCATCTCGCCATTTCATCAGCTGTCTAAGATCGCCCCCAGGGGAAGTCGGCAAGTACACACTTTGCATACTATCTATATAATGGTTGTGCATTCCGTTGACCCCGATGGTCCCGGTTCGGATGGAAATCATTTTAGCCGAGCCGAGTATCAGCTAGGCTGCTCTACGTCCTCCTCCTTGCTCCTGGCCTCTGACTGCGGGGACCGCGTGGATGCGGTCAATTTGTCCTGGGGAACGGCCGCGACGACATTGCCGCTTCGCATGGATGGATCAGATTTGTAGGTGTGACAGGTTTGCTTGCTTATTGATAGATCTGATTTGATCTGCTCTGATCTGATTTGATTCCTTGCTTTCTTGCTTCCGTGCTTTCTTTCTTGCGTCTTTTTGTGTGTTCGGGTTTTAGGGTGCGTGTGTGTTTGTGTATTTGCTGGCTGGCTGGCTGGCTGGCTTGCTGGCTTGCTGGCTTGCTTGCTTTCTTGCTTGCTGGCTGGCTAGCTCGCTCGCTTGCTTGCTTGCTTTCTTGCTTGTTTTGTTCGTTTGGTTGCCTGTCTGTTTATCTGCTTGTTTGTTTGTTTGTTTGTTTGTTTGTCTGTTTGTCTGTTTGTCTGTTTGTCTGTTTGTCTGTTTGTCTGTTTGTCTCTTTGTCTCTTTGTCTGTTTGTTTGTTTGTCTGTTTGTCTGTTTGTCTGTTTGCTTGCTTGCTTGTTTGTTTTGTGTCTTTTGTTTTGTTTTGCTTGGCTATGCTATGTTATGTTGTGTTTTGATTGTTCTGGTTCTTTGTTTGTGTTGCTGTTGTTTGGTGTGTCCTTCCCTGCCTGTTTGTTTGCCTGTTTGCTGTTTGTTTGTTTGCCTGCCTGCCTGCCTGCCTGTCTGTCTGTCTGTCTGTCTGTCTGTCTGTCTGTCTGTCTTTGTCTATCTGTTTTTGTTTGTGCTGTTTTAATTTGTGTCTTTCTTTCTTTTGTGTTTGTCTTGTTGTTTTTGTTTGTTTGTTTGTTTGGTTGTTTGGTTGGTTGCCTGTTTGGTTGTTGGTTTGTTTGGTAGTTTATGTTATTTTGCTCTGTTTATTTGTTTATTATTGGTTTGTTTGTTTTCTTGATTTGTGTTGTTTTGTTTGTTGGTTTGTTTGCTTGCTTGTTTGTTTGTTTGATTGATAGTTTGTTTGTTTGGTTGTTTGGTTTGTTTGGTTTGTTTGTTTGTGTGTGTTGTTTTGCTTGCTTGCTTGCTTGCTTGCTTGCTTGCTTGCTTGCTTGCTTGGCTTTGCTTTGCTTTGCTTCGCTTCGCTTCGCTTCGCTTCGCTTCGCCTCGCCTCGCTTCGCTTCGCTTCGCTTTGCTTTCTTGCTTGCTTGCTTGCTTGCTTGCTTGCATAGTTGCGGTTGTTGTCTTTTGGTTTTGTTTTTTTTGTTGGCTTTTGACTCTTGTTTTGGGTTCTCGTGTTGTTGTTTATTGTTTTGCTTGCTTGCTTGGTTGTTTCTTTGTTTGTTTGTTCGTTGGTTGGCGTGTTCGTTCGTTGGCTTGTGTGGTGTTTCATGTTTGTGTGTCCTAGCTTGTGTGTTTGTTTTGTTTGTGATCACTTTGTTCCTTTTGTTTTGTGTTGTTTTCGTTTCACGATTCTCTTGCTTGGTGTTTGCCGTGTTGTGGTTGGGAGGAACACGAACAGCTGCACCTTGGCCAAACTTGCTAGTGATCCTTTCCTTGAAATCCTGCATTGGCTTCACTGCGCGGGTGAGGTTTCATTCGTTTGGTGACAGATCAAGCGTATAGTTTGTTAAACTGTGGCTCCGGCACTTGAAGAAATGGAACGTTGGCTAATGGGAATCAGGAGTGCTCAGCCCCTGGTTGGTTAACGGGCATTGGGTTTAATAAAAAACCCAAAACCCCATGGTGTTCAGAAACACCCAACCCAATGCTTTTTTTCTTACCCAATGCGCGTCTCATCGAGGGAGCCTCGTTAAAGCCTCGGTGCCAGACTCGCAGGTCGCTGGACTCCGGCCTCACCTGGGCGGAGGTTGACGCCACCGGCTTGGCCGCGGGAGCTCACTATCGCATTTGCGGCTCGTCCGGCTGGGCCTTGGGCCATTCGACCCTTATGTGAGCCACAAATCCCGGGTAGATGAAGGTTAGTAAGGGACGATCCCCTTGCCATAAATAGCTGCGGATATCCGCCTTCTTAGTTCTTTACATGATTCTGGATTCACCATTTGTGTAACGGGTTTGATTATGACTCATGTGACGCGCCCAGGGACCATGCCAGGAATTCACCCAGGTCAATCCAGTCAAGGTTTTGAGTCGTACACCGTCGCCATACGTTGACGCGCCTGCGCTTTTTGATTGGCAGTTTTGGCAGCTCCCTGTGAGCTGATTTATCATCTTCCCGTAGGCTGAAGGCAGCTTCCCTCAGACCCAAAGTAGCGCCGTAGACTAAAGCTAGCTCACAGTAAATTCTGTGAAGCAACCAACTTCCCAAAGACTAAAGTCAGCTGCCCAAGCTTGACAGGCTGAAAGCAGCTTCTATTCAAGCATTCAGTTCCATAGGTTCCCAGCGCCAGCTTCCGTTCGACCAAAATGCGCCTCCAGATCGCTCCAAACCTGAGAAAGAATTGTCACACCTTGGAACAAACAACCTGCAAGAAGGAGTCTCATATATGTTTACGAGTTTTCATCAGAACCCCCTCAAAAACGCTTCTTGGACACAAAGCCTTAAATGATGCCCAACCAAGCGTGCCCAATTGGCATTCACACTGACGTGCAGAGGGCCCAAGTCTCAAGTAATTGCTTCACAATTCATGTTTACTGATTTTGGTTTGGTGAAGTGGGACTTGCCAATCAAGGCATTCCAAGCGAATATGAGGTACTTGGACCCTTTGGGATGTCAACAAACTACCAGCTCAAATCCAGCTCACATACAGCTCACATCCAGCTCACATCCAGCTCACATCCAGCTCACTAATTTTTCCCATGTCCTCTGTGTGGAACCAGTAATTTGCCAGTGGCTCATTTTTTTCTTTCTTTCTTGGTTGTTTAAAAGGGACACCACCGTTTGGGGCGTCCCGGGTATCCCAAACACCAGATGGATTCATTAATTTCAGCCAAGCCCTTGGGGGATTCACAGGTACAGACCTGGATGGGCCGGATGGCAGCATGCTGGCAGGGGACACGGCGCTTGAAGCCTATGCAGCTTGGAAGGTGTTTCGTGGAGCCGTGTGCTGGGTCGGTGGGAGGTTGGGCAGGAACATAAGATGTAGGTTCAGTGGGTGTAGGTAGGAGTATAATATGTAGCTTCCCGAAATACGCGGGGCCAGGATGAACCTTAAAAATGGTGAGGAGGAGCAGCTGAGGTAGCCAAGTGCTCTTCCAACTACTCGCCACCTTACCGTTTTGGCTGAGAGACATGCACGGCCGAAAGAGCTGCCTGCCCCAGGCAAGAACTTTCCTGTTGTTCAGTGGCACCCTTTCTGTTGCCCGGCTTCCTCACTTTCAATGGTCAACGAGAGAAGACCTGCGTCTCCTCTTTTTGCCAGCTTGAGTGGGCAACTGGGAACTGGGAGTCAGTGACTAGGCACGATGGCCTGGTGAGGGAATCCACTAGTCACCAGTCTTTCCGCAGGCCAAAAGTCGAAGAGCGTTGCCCAGGTGACCCCCGTCACTGAGTGCATCAAGCAGCTCGGAAGCTGCAGCGGTTTGTTGGGCCTGACGGGCTGCGCGGCACAGGTGGAGTAGGTTCATTCGGTGGTTTAAATGTTTGCAGGACTGCAAACCGTTCGTCCAATACACATCACGACGTACTCCTTGATCAAAGAACGGCAAGTGTAGGAGGTCAAACAGTCTCACATTTGGATAGGGGCTGGGGAACATTTTGGCAACGCCTAGGTGTGATCACACTGTCTCGTGTAAGCACGTGAGCATGAAAAGGGGCCAGAACTTGGGCTACAAAAAGAGCCCTTTTTTTTAAGGGGCATAAATGGCGATATTGATGAGCCCAACTTTACTTGCTGCTTTCAGATCTGACCTCTTTTGATTTGCCGGTTATCTACGAACTTTGGTCGGTGAGTTCTAGTAATTTGCCCAGAAAGCCTCTTCTTGAGAGGTTCCCAAGTGAATTTGCAGGGGAGTACCGGTCCCTTGAAGCTACTTCTGGGGTTGTTTGTCCTTCAAGCCTCCATTTCCAGGGTATTTTTTTTGAGGATGTACTCCAGCACTTGCATGTTTGAACACCTTGCCGGGTTTTCTGCAAGCATGTCTTGGGCGGCTTCTCCTCGCTCGGAAAGGACCCCCCCTCGTCGCTTTTCCCGCCCAACGGCGTTCGGCGTGAGGTGCGCCGTGCGGCCGCTGGCCGCTCAGCTGCTGGTTCTCAGCTGCCCCTCCTGCGAGGGGCCGTCCGCCACCATCGACGGCGCCTCGGCGCAAAAGGCGGTGGGTGGCGGTGCTTCACGCTTCGGCCCAGCTCGGAGGGTCCGGGGAATATGATTCAATGTGAAGATGGGAAATAAACATCTTGGAAGATTCCGGGGCCTTTGACCCTGGCTTTTACCCATTTGGCTTACAAAGGACATTTGGTGGCCCTTTTTACGCCATTGCAAAGGGGGCCCCAATTGTTAAGACACTGACACGAATCGCTGCTCGTTGCTTGCCGAGCTAAAGCTTGCATTCTTGCTCACTTGTGCTTATCGAATGCGGGATCTTCTTTGCACGCCTTTTTGCAGACTGATGGCCTCTCGGCGGGCAGCTCATGCAGTGGAATCACCGTTTTTTCTTGTACGTTTGGCCTGTGTGTAGCTGACAGCTTCAACACGTGCCAGTTTGAGACTCTCATGTTTTTGCTTACACATGATTCAGTCTTTGCAGTTGCGCCTTTTGGGGCACATCGTTCCCGCTAGTTTGCGACCCGCTAGATTGCGATGCCTGGGAGCGTTCCACAATGGCGATCAATCAAACAGATGACGAGCCCTGGTACTCCCACGTGTGAAAGTCGTTGTTTTCCTGTAATACGCACAGGAAATGCATCCTGTAGGGTCGCTTCAATCGTTGTGCCAGTGGCGTTTGGTTCAGCATGTTTTCAAGAAACACTTGCCGCCGTGAAATTGAGGTAGTTTTGGGAGGCTTCTCACATGGACACTGTCGGAAAGCAGATGCTGAACGTGGTCCCCTCAGATGGTTTCATCGATCAAGTTTGGGTAGGCCGAGCGCATTGGCACACGCCTGAAAACTACTTCTCTTCAACAAGATCTCCATAGCAGCTTGCATTGGAGAAGTTGAGTAGGGCTTCTGAACCTACTAGATCTTTGAATGCACGATGCTGCATAGCTGATGGGAGGCAGTGGCTTCTTGGCTTCCCAACATGGTGCCTGTTTGATCGGACTGGCATGTAGTCTAAGTGCGCGGGACGCGGAACCGTGTGATTGAGGGTGATCCCTAAGATCCTTCCCTTCAAATACACATTGTTTGGTCGCTTTGTGCTTTTCCAATATGGAACAGAGTAGAGACTGGGACAACACCGGGCCCAGTCGCCGAAGAACACTGCGCTCGTGTTTTCAAGGCTAAGCCGGTGAAAACCTGCGTTCATCCCAAACGTTTCCTGACGCACCGGGGCTTCCAAATTCAAATGTATGAAACCAGAACGAGGGGCCCTAGTTCCAGCCATGTCTTTTGCGGAGACCCTCTTTCAGGCTCCGGCTCCTTGCGTTTATTTTCTAGCACTACCTTAGACGAACCGGCTTGTGACATTTGTAAGGAAAAGAAGCAATCTCTTGCTGTCGCATGGTGATGATGGAGCAGGTACGCCTTGCCTAGGTTTATGATCTGTAAGTTAGTCCTGAGCAAGCTACCGGTTGAGCCAGAAGCAGGTTTCTTTGCAAATTGGATGTGAAGCCTGTCAGACAATATCTGAATGTAAACCAAAACCATGGAGTGTTCAAAACAGCTAAGCAGCAAAGGTCCGGTTTTCACTTGGTATTGGATATTGCATTCCGCAGAGCTATTCCCCTTGGTCTTGACGCTGCCTGCCCATCTCAGGCAGGAACAACAGCTGCTTGGACGAAATCGGAGGCGGCTTTTCTTGTGACTTTGCGTAGATTGCCTCTTGCACCCTCGACACCCATAGAAAACTTGGGGGTGCCAGCTAGAGCCTGGCCAGGGTGCACTCGGATTTTCAGCTTCCCACTTGGTGTTTCGGCGCTCGATGGTTTGGAGATCAGGGGGCGTGCTTTTTGCAAATTTTGTTGAGGGTTATTTCACGGAGAGGGCTGTATTTAGTGGGCCGAGATCCACTGCCGGTCAAACTTTGGGCCCCGCAGGCAGCGTGTGCGGTTGCAAGTCTGGGTTTACAATTGTGTCTGTCTCCAGGGCTTGTCTTTTGTAGAATCATGTGTCCTCCCTGGCTTCCCTTCATGCTCTCCAATGAGCGTTCTTCCAGCTACAAGATTGAGTCAGAGCCAGCCCGCACGGCTCTTGCCAATAGTCAACATGTCATTCGGTGGCGGGGATATGGACGGACCCGTCTTCGCCTACTTTCGAAAGGCAGCCCACATAAAGCAACCAGTCTGGCGTTTCTCAAAATAGGGGTCCGTTTCCCAAATGGTTGGTTTCCTTTTGGTTTTCCTTAAAATACCAACCCAAATGGGTCCACCCGTGTTGCAGAAGCTTCCATGTCCTTCGTGTGAAGTGACACTGTGCTTCTAGGTTTAGTTGACGCGCCACCTTGGCTCCTCGTCCTCTGGGTGGCCCCTTTTTGGATGGCAGCCCCCGGGGTCGTTACACGAAACAACCATGTGGCCCATGTGGGAAAGGTGACTGTTTAAGGGGTTCATCCGAGTTTTGCCGATCCCAAATAAACTCTAGCAAAGGGGTTCGAAATGGACGCTACGCACATGGTTGTCCTTTGGCGCAAGCGAGCGGAACCCATTTTTTAGAACTCACTAAACGGGTCCGCTGAATAATGTGTGTGGCCGCTTTAAGGTAATTATACCATCAACGGCACGGAAGAGCTTGAAGAAATGATGGAGTCGAATCTTTTGCCCTCCTACGTTGCTCGGCTCGCAAGCTCGCAAGTCTGTTGGTCGAGGGCGAAGCCGGTCCCAGCCCCATGTCTACTTTTTGCATGCCAATCAGGACTTGCTATTTGTTCCTTTGTGGAGCGGCGTTCAACAGCTTTTCAGCCAATCTCGATGGGGTGTGTGCTTTGAGTGCGGTTCTATTTCAAGGGGACAGATAGAGGAGCGCCATGAAGTGAGGGTCGGCAAAGATGATGTTTTAGCACATCCATTGGAGGGATTATGGGGCAATTACGGGAACACCCTGAGCAGCAACTTTCCACGCAAGCCCGACAAGGTCCATTGCACACATTTGCAATGGGTTTGTCTCCAACGCAAGGGAGGTTCCCACCCCAAAGAGGGCATGGTTTCCATTTGGTTTCCCTTTTTGAAGAAGCCAAATCAGGTGTCCCATACATGTGTGTGTGTGTGTGTCTCGCTCTCTGTGTGTGTGTGTCTCTCCTTCTCTCTGTGTTTGTGTGTTTCGAGGATGACCTCGCCAGGCTGGCGGCCAAAAAAGGCAACCACCTTTCGATCAACCAACATGTGAGCGCCCAAAGGTGGCCAACAGAGTGGACCAAATGGCGGGTCTGCACTTTGGGCCCGAACAGGGCGCAAGGCGGAGTGTTGGGGACTTCGGGGCTTAGAGTTAGGCTCTGGCAAATGGCGAAGATATCGATAAACGGGAACCCAAAGGGAACCGTTGCCGTTTGCGGGGTTCCCGTTTGTGACATACCAGTTGGGTGGCCCTTTTAAACAATCAAGACACCATATTGCAATTCCCCCCCCCCCCCCCCGCAAAAAACAAAAAGAGACAGTTTTCCCCAAAGGCATGATTTGGTTTCCCAGTCAAAGCACCGACAACTACAGGTTCTTGAAGCGGACAAAATCCTGCACCAGCTTGTAGGTGGTTTATCCCAGTATTCAAGGTGTTTCATCCATCCCAACCGGTGCAGCATTTATTGTTTGTTGGTATTTGCTAGGGAATCATCGTTCCAGGGGTTCTGAGCAGTGGCGCGAAATGAATTTCGCAACCATCCACTACGGATGAAGAGGGGTCTAGTTGGCCGCCTGCTTCTTTCAGGTTCCCCTTAATTGGTGGTTTTGCATTGGTTTGGAAAATTGAACCTGTGATTCTTGTGGAGGGTAGTTGGGAAACCCCTCCGTAACCACCAAACAACCAATCCCCTCTTAAACCACCAAACCACCAATCCCCCTTTCACCACCAAACAACCAATCCCTCTTTGACCACCAAACCACCAAACCACCAATCCCCCTTTCACCAGCAAACAACCAATCCCTCTTTGACCACCAAACCACCAAACCACCAATCCCCTTTCACCACCAAACAACCAATCCCTCTTTGACCACCAAACAACCAATCGCTCTTTCACCACCAAACAACCAATCCCTCTTTGACTTTCACCACCAAACAACCAATCCCTCTTACCACTAAACCACCAAACCACCAATCCCCCTTTCCCACCAAACAACCAATCCCTCTTTGACCACCAAACAACCAATCGCTCTTTCACCACCAAACAACCAATCCCTCTTTCACCACCAAACAACCAATCCCTCTTTGACCACCAAACCACCAAACCACCAATGCCCCTTTCACCACCAAACAACCAATCCCTCTTTGACCACCAAACAACCAATCGCTCTTTCACCACCAAACAACCAATCCCTCTTTGACCACCAAACAACCAAGCGCTCTTTCACCACCAAACAACCAATCCCTCTTTCACCACCAAACAACCAATCCCTCTTTGACCAACAAACAACCAAACCACCAATCCCCCTTTCCCACCAAACAACCAATCCCTCTTTCACCACCAAACAACCAATCCCTCTTTGACCACCAAACAACCAATCCCTCTCTCACCACCAATGCCTCTTTGACCACCAAACAACCAATCCCTCTTTGACCAAACAACCAATCCCTTTTTGACCAAACAACCAATCCCTCTTTGACCACCAAACAACCAATCGCTCTTTCACCACCAAACAACCAATCCCTCTTTGACCACCAAACCACCAATCGCTCTTTCACCACCAAACAACCAATCCCTCTTTGACCACCAAACAACCAATCCCTCTTTGACTTTCACCACCAAACAACCAATCCCTCTTTGACCACCAAACAACAAACCCCTCTCTCACCACCAAACAACCAATCTCTCTTTGACCACCAAACAACCAATCGCTCTTTCACCACCAAACAACCAATCCCTCTTTGACCACCAAACCACCAAACAACCAATCCCTCTCTCACCACCAAACAACCAATCCCTCTCCACCAAACAACCAATCCCCCTCCCACCACCAAACAACCAATCCCTCTTTGACCAAACAACCGATCGCTCTTTGACCACCAAACAACCAATCCCCCATTAACCACCAAACAACCAATCCCTCTTTCACCACCGAACAACAAATCGCTCTTTGACCAAACAACCAATCCCTCTTTGACCACAAAACAACCAATCCCCCTTTCACCACCAAACAACCAATCCCTCTTTCGCCACCAAACAACAAATCGCTCTTTGACCAAACAACCAATCGTTCTTTGACCACCAAACAACCAATCCCCCTTTCACCACCAAACAACCAATCCCTCTTTCACCACCAAACAACCAATCGCTCTTTGACCAAAACCAATCGCTCTTTGACCACCAAACAACCAATCCCCCTTTCACCACCAAACAACCAATCTCTCTTTCACCACCAAACAACCAATCGCTCTTTGACCAAAACCAATCGCTCTTTGACCACCAAACAACCAATCCCTCTTTGACCAAACAACCAATCTCTCTTTCACCACCAAACAACCAATCGCTCTTTGACCAAACAACCAATCGCTCTTTGACCACCAAACAACCAATCCCCCATTCACCACCAAACAACCAATCCCTCTTTGACCACCAAACAACCAATCGCTCTTTGACCAAACAACCAATCCCTCTTTGACCACAAAACAACCAATCGCCCTTTCACCACCAAACAACCAATCCCTCTTTCGCCACCAAACAACAAATCGCTCTTTGACCAAACAACCAATCGCTCTTTCACCACCAAACAACCAATCCCCCTTTCACCACCAAACAACCAATCCCTCTTTCGCCACCAAACAACCAATCGCTCTTTGACCAAACAACCAATCGCTCTTTGACCACCAAACAACCAATCCCCCTTTCACCACCAAACCACCAATCCCTCTTTGCTTTGACCACCAAACCACCAATCCAAACCACCAACTAAGAGGGAAGCTGATTAATCGAGGACTTCAAAGCGCGCCTCTTCCTGGCGGCGACCAGCTGTGCTTCGCGGCCCACGACGCGGCTGGCAGCGGCCCGAGTCAAAGGCGGCCGGTGGCGCTTCGCGGCTCGCGGTTCGCGGTTGGGGCGGAGCAACCGACGCGGTTGGGCACAAGGTCGCCCACCCTGGAAAAGGAAAAGAGAAGCCAAAAGCAGATGGGTTGACATTCTCCTTGGTGTTAAGAGGTGGTTGGCCCAACCCTGACCGCCCTGGGATGTTCAAGCTGCTAGCATTCTAGGGCTTACACGTGCAAGGGGCCAGGTGACCAAGGAGCCTTCAAAAGGTCGAAGGAGATATGGGTATGGTTCAAAATTCATCCACCAGGAATTGGACCGCAGGTTGTAGTCCTTGTTTCCATTTATCAGGGTTCCATTTTGGGCACCTATTTTTGACCCACAGCCAATATATGTTTTGGCGAGCCGTGCCCTGGACCAATTCAAGACTCCCACAGTGAGACGCGTGGTTTTTTTTTTCAAGCAACGCACAGTTGTCAGTGGACAACTTGATGACGAGCTTGGTAGAAGCGTTGAGGTGCTATGTTTGGAAACCGCCACGAACTTAAGTAACTCACCAATGAAAGCAGGAACCTCTTACATGGGTATGGCTCTCATGACGGTTGACACGCAGAACAAACTCGTGCCAGCCTTGACAGATACCGTATTATACATATGATATTCGTTCAGATTATCCCGTACTGTTTGGCTTATTTAGAAGGCACAGGAGGGACTCACTAAATCTCCCACAAAGTCGTCCGTTTCCGCATGTCCTTTTCGACAAGCGCACAGTTCGACCATGACTCATATCACTCAACCCGGGCACAACGCGCTCGCATGCACTTCTGGCTATCGGTGCAGGATGCGGGACGGGTGGCGCTGGCATGGAGGACATCTGCAACAGCTCAGCGATTCCTGGGACACCCATGGCAGGAGTGCCTGTGGGAAGAGCTGCGAATCGGAAGAGTCGCTTTGAAAGGGTCTTTTTCAACAGCAGATCTCCCCGTCGCACACGAGTTGGTTTTTGGGCCATTTGAAGCTCATGTTGTTTTCGTTTTCGAAGTCGTTTTGATCAACTCTCGGAGCGAAGCGCGACCCGCGCTTCCGAAGACTCGTTGTTTGCCGGCATCTTCGACTTCCTTGGCCTTCGGATTTTGGGCCTTCCGCGGACTTTCAGTAATGCGTTCGATCTGGGTATTGCCTTTTCTCAACAAGGGGTTGGTTTTCACTGTTGTCGTACTTGTCCTTGAGCTATTCTTACGCCATATGGCCTACCGCCCGCATCACAGAAGTTGTGATTTCCTTAAAGCACTGCGTTTCCATGATTGTGCTGCGGCGTGGCCAAGCTGAAGGTGTTGAAACGCTGCAATTGTATCAATGGCTTCAACGGCTGTACTGGCTTCAGCGTCTTTCTTGATCATGTGGCTGTGGGTCAAAACGAATGGTACCATTTTGGGGTAGGTGCACCACCGATTTTAGTCTATTTTAGTTGGGATTGGGATGTGCACTGGGGGTGATGGGTTTTGACCCATGGCCATGTGAGCAACGGATAATTCTACTGCTGAATTGCGAGGAGCCTGGCCAACTTGCCTACAGATGCTTTTCGGGGGGAGCCGGAATCTTGTGTGGGGCTCCAGTCAAGATTAGTTAGACCATGGTCAGGTCTTTGTTGAATTTGAGCTCAAAATAGAAAACCGACCTTTCACTAGTTTAGCCAGGAACCACAAGGAAACTAACCATCTTCTGGGGTACCCTATTTGTAGAAACGCCCACATCCTCCCCGGCCCCCCCCCCCCCCCCCCAGGAAAAAACCAAACAAACAACCATATATAAACATGATAACAAATAAACCGGAGAAAACGCGCTTTCGCTCGTGCTTCCGCGCTTTCTTTAGGAGAGGTCCGCGTGGAGACTGACGTGAACTCCTATGAGGCGTGAAATTTACAAGAGCGGGGAGGGGGGGTCGTTTTTCTTTAAGTCACGGTTTTTGCGTAGGTGTTGTTTGTTTTGTTGGTTTGCTGGTTTGTTGCTTGTTTGCTGCTTGTTTTTTTTTTTTTTTTTTTTGTGTGTGTGTGTGTGTGTTAGTTTTTGGTTTGTTGGTGCTTGTAGAGTTTTAAAAGAGAAACCAATGGCGACCGATCCTTTTCAGGGTTCCGTTAGTTTGGGACGAACCTGTATGAGAATCTGCACTTGTAACAAGCTCACCAAGAAGGGGGGAGGACATGGGTTTAGTGCCAATCTAGTTTCTGATGCTTGGTTTTTTACACACCCTCGTTTTGCCGGGGATGATATAATCGTTGGCGCCTACAAGGGTTGAGAGTTTGACTCCTTTTTCTGCGCCTGTGCACACCTCTGTTGAAAAAATCCCGGCGCTTTGGCTTCGGGTCGGTCCACAATGGGTTTGGGGCTAGAACAACCAATGCCCTCTTTTGCTCCCCCCCGCCCTTTTTGGCGGTTGATCAATATTCCTGGCCCCTTTTCCCATGGAACATATCAAATATTTTTAGTGGTTTCCCAACCGATGGTCATCTCATGGACCTTTTGGGTGGAAGCCCCCACTGGTCACCCAATGTTCTAGGGGGGCCTTTCCCATTCTTTCCAGGGATCCTTCTTTCTAGAAAACCTCTGGAAACCCAGGGAAAACGGCCGGTTTTTGGAAAGAACGATGGTTGAAAAGAATGGGTTTTCGGCTGGGTCGGTGCGTCATTTTGATCGAAGCGCCAGGCCTCCGTCACGCACCTGGACACTTTCTATGTGGCCAAAGTGGACGCCACTGGTCTGGAGCCTGGCAAGGAGACGGTTCTCAAAAACGCCTAAGGTGACCCTTTTGGCCTTTTGGTGGCCTCTTTAGGTCTTTTGGTTTTCCTGTGGATTCTTTTTCTGGTCCTCCTTTTTGATGGTTTCCTCTTTGATTTTCCATGGTTGTTGTTTTTGTTGGTTCTCCTTTTCGATGTAGCCCTCCATTAACTGTTGGTGTGCTCTTGGTTTCCCGTAGAGCCAATCAAGAAGTGGTTCGCCCCAAGCAAGCAACCTCCCTTGCGCTTTCCGACTGACTGAGAGACGCGATGCAGACCTGTTTAAACGAGGCGCGCTGCGGATTTCCCAGACATTGCAGAATCGACCTTGTGCCGCGGGCAATATCTAGGGCATCTACTGCATGTCTGTGTCGTTTTTTTGGGGGAGTCACACAAAGGTTCACGTTGGTTTCCTGTTGGTTTCTTCCTACAAGCAACCCCAAAAGGGGGTAGCCACAAAAAAGACACGCCCATACAAGTATGATTTCCTGAAACCTTTCCCAAGGAGATTCCCAGTCTCCCAGTGGATTCCACCAGTTTCTTGGTGCTTGTTCGCCTGGGGGATTGCCCTTTAAAAACAACCACTGCTGAGCATGGGATTTGGCCTCCTGATCTCAGACACAACTCCGAGTGCCGCCCAACTGTAGAAGAGATTAGGACTCGAGTGCATTTCCCGCATCAACATGCCTACCTACCTACCTACCGACCTACCGACCCACCTAGCTAACTGCATTATGTACAGAATACGCCAGGTCCCAACTCCGGCCATGATACCCTTGAATGAACACCGTCAGATGGATGTACTTAGAAGGGTAATCAACTCTGATCGATCTGGAGGGGTCTTCCTGATTTCCAGAATTAGCAGCTCAAGTGTTGGTTCTAGTCAACCACCACTTACTGCATCACTACATGTTGAACCCACCATCACGCCCCCCAGAGTTGTTGGCTGTGGACACCTAGCATGTGTGAACGTGGTTGGTTTCCATTCCCTCAGCCTGCGAACTGACTAAGTCGGCAAGAGAGGTAGCGGGGAATCGGGCATAGGAGCGGGAATCAAACATCAAACAGCAGTGTTCCCAACACCCTGCCCAAGGAATCCTTTACCTCAATTGCACTAGCCATGGACAAGAGTCAAAAGGATCTAATCATGAAAGACAGAGGTCCTTCTTGTTGTTTTTTGTTGGTCGGGGTGGGGGCGGGGGTGATATGCAACATCGCTTTTGGGCCAAAAGCGAGTTTTTGCTTTCGCAGGGTGGTGTTCATCGAAACCCCAGGAATCTTTTGGGGATGCCCCTGCGCCTTTTTGAAGGGAAACCACAGGGTAGCGACTCATTTTTTACCGCTTTGTTTCAACCAAATGTTGAACAGCTATTTGTTTCATACGGGTCATTCACGCAAAGGGCCGAGAGAATGGCACGGGGAAATACGGCCACTTCTCATAGGGAATCCACATGGCCATGGGTCAAAACCTATTACCCCCAGTGCACACATCCCAATCCCCACTAAAATCGACTAAAATGGGTGGTGCACCTACCAACCAAAATGGTACCATTGGTTTTGACCCACAGCCACATACTATTTTGAGACAAGCCCCCAGGCAACCCAGTGTCGCCAGAGGGACATTTTTTCGCAAAAGCCGCCAGGAGTATCTGCTGTGCTTGGACCTGGACGGCCACGAGGGGCCCCAACGCTACGGCGACACGGGCCTGCGCGTGCTGCTCGGCATCGCCTCACCTAGCGGAGTGTGAGATGTTTGGACTGGTCCCTACGCGTATCAAACCAGGAAAACATTGACTTGTGCAATGTTTGTAATAAGTGTTTGCACATTATCAAGACCGCATATATGATTCTCCAAGTAAGTACGCACTTCCATGCATGCATTGCATGCATGCAATGCATGGGAACAGAAAAGAGCGTCAACAAAACACCTTGTTTTTACAGCCCTTTTGTTTGAGCCCCGTTTGTTCCTCTTAGTTTGAGGGACAACTAAAACAGTCTTCTGTTTGCGACCCGGCCCCGGGTTTGGGGGCTCCGGGGTCTTCAGCCACACCCCCCAAAACATGGGCAGAGTGAGCACGGACACTCATACGTGCCAGTGCCATGCTCATGGTTCCCTTACTAGCCTTTACATTAGTTGTCTGGAATCACCCCAAGCCTCTCACTTGGACCATGTGGAAGGAATCCCAAGAGATGTTTTGGTTTCCTTACACCCCAGGAGCAGAGTCGCAAGACAAGGAACCCGTGTCTTTTTTGGTTGTTTTTGGCGAACATCGATGGCGAGTCCTGGTTGACCTGGCTGTTTCATGTACCAGACCCATCTCATTTCCCAAAAGGACTTCCTATGAACCCGGGGTTTTCTCACGTAGCTGGGATGAGGTTCGTGACCCCGGTGACCTCCGTGCACCTCACGGGCAGCTACCCAAGCCACCGCGCGGTGCCGCAAAGCGCCTTCACCTTCCAGGCTTCGGCCCCGCAAGTGAGCAGATGGAAGCCAAAAACCCCTACCCTCGTTTCAAGCCGAAGGGCTTGCGCCAGGTTTCCCCTCATTCGAGTTCTTGTTTCAATCACGGAAGCTGGAAAAACGGATTCTTGCAAGGTGAAGTTGAGAAAAGAGGATTTCGGCTGAATTTTAAAAGGCTCCAGTCCTCTTGAAAAGATCTGTCTACTTTGGGTGGGCTTGAACATCACAATTGGATGGCCAGTTTCAAGGTGAGCTTTCTGGGGGAGGGGTGAGATGGCAAGCCTGTGAAACATCGCCCAGCGACCCGAACGGGGGTGATATATGTGCGTGTCTGAAAAAGGGGAAGCCCTCTAAACGGCTGGTTTCCCTTGGCTTCCCTTTGACGCGCAACAAATGGTACCCTCAAAACAGCCACCAAGTGTTTACGTGTATACAGTATGCATATAGATGTAGACATGCGATATGTCAAAATTGGTGAAACCAGTACTTCAGACCCGGGCCAAGCTCTCAACATACGTCCTGTCTCGGGCGTTTGAGGTGTTTTGCACGGGAAACCTCTGGGCAAGTGAGACTTCAACTTCCTGTAGCAATCTTCAACCCTCAATTCTGTTGCTAGCAGATGAATGGCAGCTCAATCATGAATCCTTGATCCGTCTCTGATCCTCGAGTTTGCAATCCTTTTTGCAATCATAGATGTCCTTTTTGGTTGATTTGGGTGAAATCTAGAGGGCCCTGGTTTACCTGGTGGTTCAATCAACTACCAGGGCCACCTACTTTCAAGCAAAAAGGACACCTATGTGTGCAATCCCTTCCAATCAGATTTCTGGAGCGGCTTGCTGTCAAGCTCTTCAGGTGGCCTGCGCAGATGGCAGCTGCCTGCCCTTCGCCACTCGGACAGGATCGGCACGGAGCCTGCGGAGACCGCTTCCATCCACTTCCTCTTTTCTGAAGAGGGGGGGCTCAACATGGCTGTGGGTCAAAACCAATGGTACCATTTTGGTTGGTAGGTGAATTCACCACCCATTTTAGAACCTATTTTAGTGGATTGGGATGTTCACTGGGGGTACGGAATTTTGACCCATGGCCACATCAATCAGCCTCCCAAAGCAATGCCAAAAGCACAAAAGGCCGTGATGGATGCACTTGGCAGATGAAGTCACTGGAGGCGGTGCGGGGATCTAGGATGGAGACCCTCTTTATTCAAAACCCTACCTTTAAGCTCGCACCCTTTGTCAGGATCGATCAACAGCGCAGCCTGATCAACAGCCATGTTGTTATATTGCACGATACGCAGGGTGTTCGGCTTCAGATTGCCTTGTCGGGCAAGAACATGGGTCGTTTCATGCTATTGTTTTAGCCTGTGCAGGGTTGGTTGGGCCCTTTGTTCCCCATCGCCAAAAGGGGGTGGCCAAACATGTTGAGACACATTTCCACTGCTAGGACGCCTCCAAATGGTTTTGGCCAACATGTGGGAAAATGGTGGGCCCGCTTTTACTCGATATTTGCAGGGAACTCACAAGGAGAGCACTGAACCGCAACCACGCGAAAACCAGAAGGAATCCCACCATTTAACGAAATTGACCCCTATTCTGAGGCAAACTTAAGTAGTGAGAGCCCCCTCCGCAAGGCGCGGACCACGGAGTCCCCGGTTTGGGCAGCTTCGTCTGAGGCCTGGCTGTGGCTGGCGGAGTCTTGCGGCTGGCGCCAGGGCAGAAACGCGCTGCAGGTGTCCCCCACGAACCAGGCGAAGCGGGTTCCTTTCCGCAGGGGGGCAACCGGGGAAAGGGGCGCTGGGGCCACGGAATTCCCTTGGTCTTGAGAATCAGCATTTTGGCCCAGAGGAAAGTTTGTCAGTGGCGATGTCGTGGTTTTTTTCATTCCCAACAGCAGGCAGCTCTTGGGTTTCTATCTCCAGGCCAGGGGGCGGTACCAGCTTGCAGCCTGGAGCCGCCTTAATTCCCTGGAACGGGGGTAAACCTGGGTTAGTTCCCCAGAAAGATGGTCTCTTTGCCCAGCTTGGCTCCGGGGAGTCCGGGGATCGGGGCGGATTCCGAGTGTTGCACCAACCGGTCCCCGGCGACCTGGCATTGCCGAGCTCCAATCTGCGAGGTGCACAAGCGCGCCTCACGCTGTGGATATCACCTGAGCTGAGCATCTTACCTTTGTCGGAAGCGTAGGGAATCCACACCACAAATCCGAACCACCAGAGGTTTGATGATGGCAACCAAGCTGGTTTTGTTCACTGCAAGCAACCCAGAGCTTGAAGGGGTAGGTTCGCGATTTTTGGTGGAGAGGGTTGCCCTTCAAACTCAACTACCAAGACAAGGTGAGGTGCCCTTGTCTCCCCTGCAAATCCAACGAAAATGCGTCAAAATATGGACTTCGACCTTCAAACCAACCTAAAAAGGGTACATCCCCCCCCCTTCCCCCAAAAAGACAAACACCAAAAAACACACAAACACGCACCTGCCCCACCCGAAAACGGAAAACCAAGAACAACTATTCCCCACCTAGAGCAAAAATAAGAAGAACCAAAAGCACACAAACTATTCCCCACCCGGAAACACAAAGAGAAAAACAAATAAGCTCGGGTGATATCCCCAACAGCATGCGGTGCTCTTTTCATTGCTCCCACCACCCCGCAGCCCTCGCAGAACCTCGTGAAGCCCTGGTGGAACCCTCGTGGAACCCTCGTGGAACCGAACCTCAGGGCCGCCCCGGACCACCCCGGAGCCTATCTGGGCTGAGACCCCAAAGCTTTCAGCGGTTGGGGAAAAACAACTCTTCCCCACCCGGAAAAAATACAAATAAAAATAAACTACAAACAAAGAACAACACAAAACAAAAAACACCAAGAAAAGCAAAAGCCGCGCCTGCCCACCGGTCGCCGTTTTCGCCGTGATAGGCGTGGGCAGAGGTGGCATTGGACGCCTCCGGCTTCGAGTACGGCGCCACGCTGCGGCTCTGCAGCGACTGGGGCGCCGTGGGCGGAACGCGCAAAGGCAGCGACACAGGCGAGCGCTGTTGTCCGGCCGGGGGGGACGGGGGGTTGGTGTTGCTGGGTTTAGGTTTGTTTGGTTGGTTGGTTGGTTGTTTGTTTGTTTGTTTGCTTGGTCAAATCGTTGTGCGTGTGTGTGCGTGTGTGCGCGCGTTGGTTTTCTGGAAAGAGATATAGTAGAAGCATACGGTAGAATAATATGGCATTTTGGGACACGGCCATTTTCGGGGACCCCCAAATCAATTGGTTCACCCCACCCCTTCGCGCCGCCCAAAGCGCGCCACCCGCGCGGTAGGCTTCGCGGCCTTCGTGACGCCGGTGACGCGGGTGAGCCCCTTGGCCATCGAGGCCCAGGCGGGCCAAGTGCTGCACCTCGCCTGCGGCGGCTGCACCTTCGCCCGGGCGCACAGAGCGAGGAAGAGTTGGGGGTGGACGGTTGGGGGCCAGGGAGCAAAGGGAAATCAAGAAGATGACGGGTCGGAATAGTGGGAGTGCTTTTGGGGTGTTCCGTTTCTGGTGTCCCTGACTTTAAGCCTCAAAACGACACGGCCACAAAGAGGTTGTTTAAACAATGGCGTAAACTTATGGTTAAAGTTTCCCTTTGAGTCGGGGCGCTATTTGATTTGGGAGCATTCCTCGGAATAGGTTGAACCCTCTGGGTGGATTGACTTTCATTCCCCCAAGCCAGGAGCGGGGCGTGTCCTCTTTCAGGCAACGCCCAACCAGTTCCACCTTTAAACGGTAGCTTAACGAGAAACCATGAAGTGCCCGCCTGAAGGGATTTTGGGCCAAGGGCTGTTGCTGCTGAGCCCCCCAACTCGCACAAGGCGCGTTACATAGCCTATTTCATACGGGGCCGTCCTACGAAATGTGATACAGGGTCCCCAACACATTTTTGGGGAATCTGAGTTTGGGGAACCCCGCATTTGTGTGTTCCTTTTCGTTAATTTGCAGGGCTTCCCTATTTGTGGTTGCCTTCTCCTCGTAGACAGCCGTGCAGAAACAGCTTTTCCCCAACCCCAAAAAGGGTACTCTCTAAAAAAAAGAAAAGTTCCGAAGCTCTTAGGCGACCACTTTGCACCTGGCCACCAGCTGCAGTGGATCCGCCCTCACCGTCCCGGCGCGGCTGGCGCTCTCGCCGACGTCCTCCCTTTGGCGCCTCCGCCGAGAGGGCGAATGGGGGAAGGGTTTCTGCCAAACGACACCCAGCGTGAAGTACAGAGGTGTGTGTGTTTTTTGGAGGGCAATTGCAATATTTTCAGGTTGGTTTCAATGGAGACCAAAGGAACGCCACCCATGCATTGGGGCCTCCTATTGCGACACATGCGTAGACTTTATATCGTGAATCGACTTGCGGGCGTCGGCTTTGCGGCCTTGGGCCGGCGTGGAGAGTGGTACACGACATGGGCCAAGCAACTGGCGACAGTGTCAAGACGGGAAGTGTCCCACTCTGGTCCAAAGGAACAAGGCGGTGTTTGGAAATCAACCGGGCGAATGTGCCGTGTGGAAAGTGCGTAAGCTGGTTTCTCCTCCTTTTTGCTGGTTTCCAAGACAAATGCAGAGATCTCATAGGGTTGCTGCGCTTGGCAAGCTGCAGGGATCCCTCCGGTCTTTGGGCTTCCTCCTGGCTGTCAGCTTGTGCTTTTTTTTGGCCTGGTTTCCCAAACCCCAACAGGACCGAGCAGGTGAAGCTCTCACGTCCTTTGGTCTTTTGGGCAGCTGAGATGTTGCACCCGTTCCGCGTGTCGTAAACTTGAAGGACGGCCACGCTGGACGCGTCCTGGCTGCCGGCCGGCAGTTCTTTGGAGCTTTGCGCCGACTTGGACGGCTCCCTGACGCGCCTCTCCCCAGGCGTTTTTTTTTTTTTTTGCGGGGGATGGGTGGCTGCAGCCGGGCATTTGCTGTTTCCATCATTTTTTCGGGAGAGGATGTCCCCCTTGAAACAACCAACAATAACGTTCTGCGGGTAGTTGCGTTTTTCCCCTATTGTGTTTCCCATGGAATTTCTGGAGATTAGGGACTTGGAGTTGGGAGATGACGGTGACCGTCTTTGGCGTTTTGTGGTTCGTGCTTCTTCAACGGTCAAGTCCAGGTTGTTCGGTCACGGTCACTTTGCGTGTTCCCCCTTTTTAGGACAGTCCCTCGTCTTCAAAATACTCGTGGGGTGAATCGTGCGAAAAAAGAGGCGTTTCCCTTTGAGGGTTTTCAACTCATTGGGCTTTCTTTCATGTGTGTGGCCCTGATTTTTGTTGGAGGTCCTTTGGATTCGTCCAATTTTGACATGACTCGTTGGGCTGGCGCTGGCCGGCTGCCTGAACAGCAGGCATAAGGCGACTTGGAGGTGCTGAACAAAACGCCCGATGGAGGAACTTGGCGCCTACACGGAGAGCCTCATGGGGTTCGGAAGATGGGTAAACATGCAATTTTGTTTGTGCAGTTTAGAATAGCCAGAGAGTCTTAAGAAGAACCATAGCCACCATCTGGAAGGCTAATCTACTTCATTTGAGTTCTCTTTGGATCTCTACTGCAACCGGGATGCATTTCAGCAAAATATACGTTCTCGCTACCCACCCAGCAGACCTATCTTTTGGTTAGAAGCTTGTCTCAGACGGGTAGCTCTACCGTAGCGATGCGGGAATGGACCGTCTTAAGCTTCTGCAAGGGATACTGGCTACCAGCATACACATCACCCCCTAAAATATCAGGAGAAATTAAGGGGGAGACAAGCCAAATGTAGTGCCAAAATTTACAGAATATCAGACTTATTTCCATTTGTTTTCCCCTTTTGTTTTAGAAGGCAATCTATCATGACTAGAACTATTTTCTCATGTTATTCAGGGAACTTCAGCAAATGGAAGACAATATAGGCTGTGGGTCAAACATAGGTGCCCAAAATGGAGCCCTGGTAAATGGAAGCATGGACCAAAACCTGCGGTCCCCTGGTTTAATTTTGACCCACACCCATCTCCCGGACAGTCCTCAAATGCCTCAAGTCGCTTGCCCGAGCCGCCAGGCGACACCGGCTTCCGCATCTATGTCAAGGGCTGGACCGGGGCCGCCTCACAGGCGATCCGGGCGGCGGACGCGCAGCAGGCGGGGCCCGCTCCAACGCGGTACCATGGGGTGGCTTAAGGGACATCGAAAGGGAAACGCCGATTTTTGGGAGGGGTCCCTCTAGTTTGACGCATATCCAAGAAAGGGAGGCTCCGACCCAACTGGTCCACTGATTGAAGTTATACCCAAGGGAAACCCGGAAAGTGTCCCAAGCACATGTCTTGTTTGCTTCTGAAAGTGAAGACTATGAACTTTCAAAACCCAGGCGTTCTCCGACCCTCAATACCCAAACCACCTGCTAAAACATTTGCCTTGGGGGTTGCTGAAGCATCTGAGATTCGGTAGGCAACTGTTTAGTATCAAAGAAATGGTGCCAAAGTATTTGGATTTGGACCCCCTTTAAACTGATTTTCCTTTCGGTTTCCCTTGACACCCATCTCGAGAACACACAGACCCATTCGGCTCAGAATTGTTGGTTTCGCTCAACGGGTCCCCAACTTTGCGTTTTTGATGTTTCCATGTTTTAGTTTACATAACGGAGCCCTCCTAGAGTTTCCGATGATCCAGTGCTCAGTTTGTTCCAATCCACCTTCCAAGCGTTAGGTTCCCTTTCATATTGAGTTTTAAAATATCACTTGGGTCGATCTGGTACGTAAAGGGGGAAGTATGGGATCCCCTTCAAATGCCGGGTTTGCTCTCTTGCAAAGGAGATTTCTTATCTTTCCGCGCTTGCAAGAAAGCCCCTTGTGCTCAAATATCCTTTGTGTTTCTAGTCATTTGGGTGTGCATTTGGGGCGGCATCGAGAATCAGGGCCCCTGTTGGGCAGGGTCACGCCCAAGACTTTGCCACTTTCCGTTGCCACTGCCATGCTGTTTCCCAGTCGAAGGCTTGGCTTGGGCATTGTGCGCCTTGCACTGCTTCTTGGCTTTCGGCTGCAGCCATCAAGATCAATCAATAATTGGGCTGAGATTCCAGTTCTGGGACTCTACTCGTAGGATGGCTCGCGTACTCCTTGTTCTGCTGGCAGCTGCCGTGGCTGATGAGTGCCCTTTGGAAGGCGAGGAGACCCTTCTGATGCAGCTCCAGGGAAAAAAGGAGAGCGTGGAGTATGAGGCTGACCAGGACGGTCCACGTCGTGATCGACGAGATAGCCGCTACTCGTACAACAGTTATCGCCACTACAGCCCATCCCCGCCAGCATCGACAACTGAACCATCAGACCCCTCGACAACAACTGCAGCACCAGCGCCCCCGCCGGTGCTGAAATGCGAGGATGCTGAGCCCCAAGCTCCGCGCAATGTCACGTGCGGCTTTGTTGGAGAGAAGAAGGCCAGAGTCAAACCTTTGGATACCGATGCCGTTTTCAAGTTCATCCAGGCCAACCTCCACTTTCACTTGGGGGCGGAGCACCTCAGTGCTGGTGAATATGATCTTGACTCTCCACCACCAGGTGTTGAAAAGGCCTCAAGCGTTGCGCCTGGAAAGTTCTGCGGCCTTTGCGACATCCCGGCCCAGCAGCTTCAGCCTTTTGACTTCGAGCACTGCAAGAATGTCTCCGTGGGCAACACCTATGAATTCCACTGGGTCTTCTCGACCGGTGCTCCGCTGGTCGGTTTGCGTGACGATGGTGAGGAGGGCCAGCTCGGCATCACCGATGGCTTGGGCGGCGCCCTCAACCGCACTATCAACCCAAAGGTCATCGTGCGTGGCCAGGCTTGCCGCATCATCAACAATGCCTCACTCGACACAGAGGAAAAGATCGACGCAGACTATGCAGACTTCCTCACGCAGTGGCGCCAGCCACCCTTGGGGCAGGGAGTTCGATACATGGGTTCCACAACTGGCAACAGCTTCGATGACGAAGTTTGTTCACCGATCGAAGTGAATTGGCATGTGGACACCAAGTGCTGCACATTGTCGGCTCAGGCCTTCGATCGGACTTGCAAAGCAATGTACGATGAGGGCTTGCGCGAGGACCTCAAGCCGAAAGGTTCTCGGGCCCCAGTGTCTGCAGCAAATTCGGCAACGGTGATCTACCCCCTCAGTGAGCCAGCCTGCAGCTGAGAGACCACTGCGCTCCCAATTTTCCCAGGTTGGCCACATTGAGCACCGTGCGTTCTGATCGCTGCATGTTTTCCACATGACGTGAGGACACGTCAGGCTTGCAGCGGCTCGATTGATTTTGATATGTTATTCTCATTTTGCATAGTATAGCTTTCACGGTGTAGACTTTGCCTGTGTCATAGACTCTTAGACTATCAGACTGGTGATGGCAAGGAGGCCGAGCCAGCATGCTTGAAAAGTTGCTTGAACAGTTCAGATGTCCCGCAGATGGTCTTCATACTGTCAGAGGCAACGCACGAGAAGTGGTCTTGTAAGCAATGGAGCTTCTTGAGCATGGGTGACTTTTCCCAGCAATGGTTTCGCCTGAAAATTCCCCTGGAAACCCATGTTTTCCCCCCCAAAAACCAAGCAGCAACGGTTGCAACCATGGTTTCAAGGTGGTGGGTTTCTCGACATGGCGGTTGTCAAACATCGGGTCAGTCTGAAGGCGCAACCCTTCGTAGGCTACAAGTTCCTATTGGCTCGGTGCTTTAAACGGTCAACCCGAGAACTGCCAGACCTTGGCGCTGCGTTGTGCCCCCTTTTCGCGGGGGGTTCAAACAGATCCAAGGGCCCTGGTTGTTTGACAACTCTGGTTTAGTTAACAAGGATTTCACAGGGCCCTGTACAGACTCTGGTTATTTTAAGTTGGCATGTACACGTTCAAGACGAGAACCCCCGGGCCCCCCCGACTCGGGAACGGCCCCCCCCGACTCCGGCTAGCTGGCTGGAGGTGCTGGTCAGTTGCCAGAACTGCGGCGCGGTGACGTACGCCGCCCGCGCCTACGTGGCAGAGCAGTGCTCGGAGGCTCAAGTTCGCCGCTGGAAACATTGTAACGGGGTCAAATGAGGGACGCCTTCCAAGAATGGGGAACTCCAAAATTAGGGGGGATCTGGAAACGTCGAAGAAGTTCCGGGGTTCTTTGTATGTCCTTTCAAATTGACCCAAACATGTCGTTTGAATCACCCAAGCAGAGCGAGCCGGCTTTGTCTGCAAATAGAGGGAACTCCACACATCTGCGGGTTTTAGAACAGAGGAAAGCCACCCGAAAGGGCTCTGTTGAAGAACTTGGGGATTGCAGCTCTGGTTTTCGGCCAGTCAAATGGCGGAAAAGACCAAAGCGCCGTTCAGTGAGGCGGTCATTCTCCAAAACTTTTGGTCCATGCCAAAGGCGAGAGGATTTGGTTGCCTCACGTCAGATGATCGGAGATCAGCAACTGACCCTGCCCCAAAGTGACGACGGGGGGCGGGGGATGTGGGTCTGTCTCTTTTTAGGGTACCCCCTTTGTTTTTTTGTTTTTTTCAAGGGAAACCAGCAAGAAAGCCGAAATCCATTTTTGTTGGGGAGGCGGCCATTCTTTTGTTTTGGTCCATGCCAAAGGCCTCACGTCAGATGACCGGAGATGGGGTACCCCCAAAAAAGACGAGCCGCCCATCATGCGAACCAAACCAAGCAATGTGTGCGTGCCTTGAAGCGCGGCGCAGGTTCGGCCGCACGTGGCCTTGGCGGAGACCGGCACCGCTGCCTTCTTGGTGGATGGGCGGTCGCTGACCAAGGGGGTGACCGCAAGGCCGGGAGCTCAGTTCCCCCCTGGTCACCGGTAGTTTCCTTTTGGTTTCACCTGGGTGAATTATAACGACCTCACACGACCTCACCCCAAATGGTGGTTTATGCGGGGAATTGCCCCCCAACCACCTTATTTCAGGTTGGTGAAATAGCTCGTGGCTCAAGCCTCCCAGTGGCCGAGCTGGGACGGCAGCGTTACATTGGACACTACGTCAACAAAACTCACACTGCAAACATTCACTTCCACCTGCCTCCTACCCGGCCCTTTTGCTTTGGCTTTGGGCGGCATCCCGTCCCCACGTGAAAAACTTGAGCCAAACAAACTAGCAGGTCGCCAGCCATGGTACTGAAGGTTCCCAGTCGGGTGGGAACCTCGTTAGTGATTGTGGTGGAGGCCTTTATCCATGGGATGATGCTTGGACACGCGCTCCTTCTGAATAGGGTGTTTGTCACTGGTGACTGGATAAATGCCAAGTGTTCTGTGCTGATGGTTGGTGGAGGGGGGCTGTCGTCCTGGGGATGGATGAGGAGGCTTTTGCAAGCCTGTGCATGGCTTATTATGAGGGCAGCTTGGAACGAGCACTTGCACTCTGTGCCGGAAGTGAGGCGATGGGACATGGTTTGGCATATGCAGGCATCATGCCTATCCTGGAAGTCGAGTGGATGCCCATGCTCCAGGTGCTGCGCCTACAGGGCCCACAGATGGTCATTGAGGGTGACAGTTTATGCCCCAAGGTTCTGCTACAGATCTTACAGCAACCCCAGACGCTGCTGTTTTGGTAATATCCAGCAGGCAGTGTTCTCAGCTTGAAGATTGTGGTGGCGGCTGTGATCACAGAGCCCAAATCCTTTCGGCAACCCTCATGAACTTGTACCTCCGTGCCATCCAGGTGGTCATCGTGGAGTGTGTCACAGGAGTTGGCAGTGATGCAGTGGAATATTTTGGAGTCATGGGCCTACCTGAATGGTTCCAGATCCGTGAGCAGCACTTGCAGCTCAGTCGAGCTTGGGTCAATGGTTAAATCCTGGGTTGGAGGCTGGATTTCATGCTGGTCTACTCTGCTACGGGTTTTTATTTGCGTGCAATTCATTGGAACGCGCCTGTGCATACGGTACCGAGTTCTTGTGGGGCGTCGTGCCCCATAGCTGGGCAGCAGGTGGATGCATTGAGGCTCTGGTGGTGATGGTGATCCCTGGGTTTGGCTGGGTAGCACATATGGTGGTTATCCTTTGTGCGCCTGGTTGTCGGGGCGTCTGGAGCAGTGCATCCTGGACCGGCGGCTTGCTACGATGTGCTGGTAGCTATACCTTTGTTTTTTTGATGTGCCCTAGCACTTTGTGCTCACCTTTGATTGGTGATGGCGGCCATCACACTGTGTGCCTGTGTGGACAGCGGTTTTTATCGTGCGGGGTGCAAATACCCCCATGGCCTGGTCTTGCAGGTGCATTGGAATTGCAGTTGCATGGGTAGTGGCTCCGAGGTTTCTCCTTGAGCTTGCATGTGTGTCTTACAAGGAGTGACGTCCTCCGTGGAGGACATCACCCGTAGCTGAGGCACTGTGCTGTCAGGTGGTTGTGTCCCTCTTCACAGGGGTGAACATAGGTTCCGGCTGCATTCTGCTAGCGCCGAGTGCAGTAGACATGGCCGAGATAAGAGCAAAGAGGTTGATGAAATATAGTAATGTTGACCCCGGATTCCTGGTTTTAGTGGGGATTTAGACCGCTTTTGGAGGGGAACACCCCCATATTAATAAACATGGGTTTATTGATCCGGGGTCAACATTAGGTCACCGGTAATGTTGCTTTTGGTTTGCAAGAAGTGGTTCCCTTCCCACGTGGCTGGGTACCCGATTTACACCTTGTGGTTCAGCGAATGCCGAGCTTGAAGTCCGCAAACCAACCCAAAACACCTGTATGATTTTAGATAAGGTTTCTACAAACACCCAAGCCCAATCCAGGCTTAAAACCAAACTGACAACAAGCGAATTCGTTGAAGCCTCCAAGCAGCATGGCCTTTGGGGGGGGGGGACCGATGGCTCCGCGGGCGTCGGCGTCGCTCTTTCGAGGCTCTGCGCCAGCCTCGGAAGCAGCGGCTTCGTGGACACCGCGCTGGAGATTTTTGTGAGTCCCTTCCAAGAGATCCTGCCCACCAGGCGCCAGCCTTTTTTTTGGTGAGGAGCCTGGCAACCGCCCGTGGGGTTCTTTGGGGTGTCTTTTCTTTGTTCTTGTCTTCTTTTTTTTTGGGGGGGGGTTATGGGGTGTCATCTTTTTGTTGGGGAGGAACCCCTGCATGCTCGTGATTAGATGCTTTTGGATGCTCAAAACTCAGCTTTTGGGTTGCCATGTTAGGCGAGTTAAGTCCATCCCGGGGAACCTGTGGGGAAGACACACTGGTCAAAAAAGGGTCAGCCCTTTGGTTTTGAGGGGGGGTGGCTCAGTTGTTCAGTGGCACCCTTTTCCCCTCTTTTTTGGTGGCTGCCCCACTAAAAATGGTCTTCCCCAAAAAGGGTTCCTTTTTTTTCCAGGGTCACTGAACAACTGAGGTGGGGTCGACCTTTAGATTTTTCGGAAGGCCTCTTTGCGCCTTTTACACCCGATGCGCTCCGGCCCCTCGGGACGAAGCTCCGGGGGTTGTGGCAACCATCCGAGCTCAGATGTGCGGCCCTCCTGACATCACCCTGGACCCATCTGAATGCCGACAAGGAAAGCCAAGCACGCATCTTGTTCAACTATATGTGGCACACTCAACTGTCGCAAGAACATCGTCATGGATCCATGATGGATGGATTCCAGATTCCAGACAGTTTGAAGATGAAGCCAACGTACACGTTAGACTTTCTCAGATGGCCTCTTGCTGGTGCTCCATGCATAGAACTCTTCCAAGGTGGCCCCAAACCATGTAGGGAAGCTGCCAATCCCCGCAAAATTCCGTGTGAATCACATTGGTCTGGACTGTTTTTTAGGGAAACAACCCTGTACAGGTCCAACATAGTTGGACCCAACCTGTTTTCTGCAAGCAAAATGCAAAACATGGTTCATTTTTTGTTTTTTGCTAAACAACTCTATTTTGTGTATTGGTTTCCCTGGTTTTATCCCGGTTGTACCCCTGCACCCCGGTTTTTGGGGTGGCCGCTGGGTCCGGCTCAGGCTGCCGCTGGGCATGGGGCAGCTGCGCCTCTACTGCGACCACTTCAGCTGCCCGCGCGGGGCTGAGGGGCTGGGGCTGGAGCCCAGGTGCGCCCAGAACCAGGGCTGCCCCTTTGGGGCCGTATGGCCCGAAAGAATCGACCCAAGGTTGCTGGAAAAACCATTGAGATGCATAGGTGTCCTTTTTGGTTGTGGTGGAAAGTATATGGCGCTGACCTGGTTGTTTCATCATCTGCCAGGGCCATCTAGCTTCCCAAAAGCAAAAGGGCCTATGTTTTGATAGCCGATGGGAGGGGCTTGGATAACGACGTGTTTGGGTGAACGGGTCCAAGTTGATTGGTGTCCTTCCCCATTCTTTCCATTGAGTGTTTGTCGCTGAGGACAGAGACCACGCTGGTGCGCATCGCAGAGTCATGCGTGGAGGACGAGGCGTATGCCGCGGGGGGAGTTTTTGCCTTTTGCACAACCTGTCCTTTACATGCTCGGAATGAAGCAAGCCTTCTCACTTCTTGAGTTCATGGACTTCATACTTTTTTTTGGGACCATTTGAGTGATCAACGAACCGTTCAGCGAACAGTTCAGACTGTTTCTTGGCCTAGGAAGTGAGGAGTTTGCTTTTTCGCCAGGGGACTTAGTTCTTAAAACCGGTGCCCCTCAACCTTTAGTTCGAGCCAGTTGCAAGCCTGGGTCCGGCAATGTGGGCCAGCCGCGAGAGCGAGAAGCTGCAGAAACCAGCAGCTGTGAGGTGTGGGCTCAGTTCAGCCCGAGTGAAGTTCTATCAGGGCTTGAATACTTTAGAACGGGGTTGTGGGGTACGTGAAACTAAAATAAGTCATGTTCAGAAGAGCTAATTGGTTGTAACCCTTGTTATTGAGCCTCGATGGAATTATTTATCTTTGTTCCTTCCGGCTGGGTTTTAATGTGATTTTCTTATATACCTGGCAGTATCGCGACCTGAAGCAGCGAGCTAGCCACGCCGCATCTCCGACACGGGTGCAGATGCCCGCGAAGAAAGGACACAGCACAAGCACTAGCACGAACCCTGAAAGCACAAACGTTGTGAAGGGCACTTTTTCTTGGAGCACCGACCCGCCTCTGGGTTTTTTCAATTTTGGGCTTAACGCGGGACATGTTCTGCCGTGTGTTTGAGGAGACCTGTTGGACCCAAAAAGGGTTGAACCCAGTTTGCCAACTCTTCAAGTGACCTGTTCTGTATATTTCAACAACCAAATTGCCATCAAGAGTCATCTCTCTTACAATTTTACAAGCACCGAGGCCTACAGTAAGCAACAGACGGCCTTGAACATGCGACTGACCAACCGGACAACAACAAACCATGCCCCGCCGTTTCAGGCTCCCCTTCCGACATACTATGTGCCACTTGCGGCCTCCCTTAGTAAGGATGTATAGGCACGTATAGGCTAACTAGGTCAGGCCGCCTTTTTGTGGTTGTAGAAGGATGCCACTATGTTTGGATTAAACCCCCCTTTGGTTGCCCCATTTCAGAGGGACGGTGCCCATTTTGCTTGCACACACACACACACACACATCCATGTGGCTGTGGGTCAAAATTACGAATCCAACATGGAACCCTGCCAAATGGAACCAAGCACAAAAACCTGCGGTCCAATTCCAGGTTCTTTAATTTTGACCCATACCCATGTGGGTTGGTCTAAAAATGGGGGGGGGGGTGGGGCAAAATGGCGGTTTCCCCCCTTTCAGCCGCTGCGCCGCGCAGCGCAGGGCGCGGCCATCGCGGAGGCGCAGGCTGAGGCGGCCGACGCCGCAGACTCGCTGGTGGCCACCTTGGATACCTCGGGCTTGACGGCGGGGGGCCACTACCGCGTGTGCGTCCAGGCGCCGGGGCTCAAAGAGGGAATCCTTCACCCGGGGTCAGGATTTTGACGGTTTCTGGGAGTTGTCAAAGTCAGAAAATGTTGTGTCCCTTCAACCCACTACTTCGGGGGTGACTTTGATCATGGTAAAATAATGAGGCCAGTTCACAGGGCGGGCACAACACACACCCCGGTGGTCAAAAGACCTCGTGTGGTGGGTACGGATGCTCACAGACCCCTGATTTTTTTGGACAGACAGCCATGGGCGTGCAGGTTGCTTTGAGCTTTGGTGTCGCTTGGGCTTGTTGCTGGATGTCCATGACTGGGGAAATTGCCTTGGATACCCTCCGAAAGTTGACAGACACATGAGTACTTGGTGGTTTCATGAAGGAGTTTCTTGGGTTCAACTTGAAGGTGAAGGCAGGTCAGAATGGCTGCCTCATACCGAGCAGATTTCTGAGTGCCAGGTGGGCAATAAGCAGATGGGCGACACCGGGCGGATCATTTACCTGAGCAATGCATCTCAGTTGAGATATAGGTATGGGTCCAAAAGTAAACAACCAGGGGACAGTCTTTGGTTCCACTTACCAGGGTTCCATTTTGGGTACACATTTTTGAGCCACGGCCATATGAGTCACGAGCGACGGAGAGTGTCCGAAGGATTTTGATGCTCAGCTGTGGACAGAGCAAGTTGAGTTTGAGATTCCCATCCTCTGTACTGGAATGGTGCAAACCGGAAGGATACGATGGGGATGAGCACTCCAGTGGATCGTGCCTTTGATTCGCTGTTTTGCTTGCAAGGGTGTGGACACAAGCAACCTGTTTGAGCATTCCAGCAACTGACTGTTCTGTCTCATGCAGCCGGCTGAGGTTTCGGACGTGACGCCAGGCTGGGTTGCCAAGCGATCTGTGACGGTCTTTCCCGCAGGGGCAGCGCTCCCCAAGTTTTGTGGTGGGCTTGCTTACGATGAGACGCATATGTTCATTGAGCAGCACGCAGTTCATAGACTTGTTGCTGGCCCAAATTCGGGCGCATTTCCCAACAAGTATATGATATGTGTTATTTTTCCATTATGGGTGAGTTGATCCTTCCTGTCAAAGCCACCAGGAAAAGGGTTCCATAGGACGCAGATGGACGCAGCACGGAGCTTTTGCGCAGGGAGCTAGAGGCACAAGCGCCCTGATCGCCAGGCGCGCTGCGGGCGGCGCCGGGTCAGCAGATCTGCCTCAGCTGCCCGCAGTGCACGTCCTCGTCCTTGCTGCGGGTGCCTTTGGCGCAGTGGGGGAGACTCCAGTATTGCCATAGAGCCTGTTTGCGGGGGGGTCCTGGAAAACCATGTTCCGATTTGTCGTGACGCCTTGTGACACTTGTGGGAGGGTAACTTGGGCCTTTTTGGTGCTTTAAGGTTTGGTATGTTTGGTGATTTGTCCTAGGTTTGCTCGTCCAAACGAGCACGGGAAGCCGAGCTTCAACCCACAAGGCTTCAGCTTCGGGGTTGGTTTCGAGGTCGCCTCAGCGTGTTCGAGCTCTCTGGAGGCCTGCTTACCTTGGCAGAGCCTTGGCTCTGAGGTCGGACGTTGGGAAGCAAACCTGAATCCCTGAAGGGCCAAAGCAGTTGTTTTTTGGGGGAAGGGAGTTGCAAGCTTCTGTTTCTTTTTTTGGTGGGCCAAGTTTTGGGGGAGGGTAGAGTAGATCTCTGTTGCAGTGCAACCAGCAGATCCCCTTCACTGTAAAATTGTTGCTGCAGAACCCAGACTTCCCCGAGAGGAAGCTGGATGAGTTGTGAATGTTGCTCCCATTTGCCACCCTGCATGCTGTGGTGGAGTTCCCCGTGACGAGGGGACGCACAGTATCGTGAGTCTGCGTTACAATGGCCTTTGAAAGAATCGGAGTCCAGTTGTTTAGTGGACTTTCAGATGGGCCACAGCAGGCACCGGATGGCAAGTGGGCGTTGGTTTCGCGCATGGCCAATAGTGAGCTAGCTCCGCCTACCACTGCCCAGAGGACAAAATGGTTTCTTCGATTGGCGTTTTCTTTGTGCATGATCACTTGAGGCCGTTTGGGGCAATTCATGCCTGTGTCAGATGCCTGGGATGGAGGTGAAAGAGGAATGGTTGCATCACCATGTCCCGACAGGGGTGATGCAAAGGAACCGGGCGGGATTGCACAACATCCCAGTGGCACCAGCATGCAAAAAGCTGCAGGTCCACGTCCCCCGGCAGGGGTTGCATGCCTTTTTCGGGTAGGAGTAGTTGCAACAAAGTTGTGGGCGTGTCTCCGCCGACCGGCCGAGCACGCGCGACATGACGTAAAAGTCGTAAAAGTTGTTCAGTGGAGCCCTTTTCCAGGTTTTTGGCCAATGCCCTGTTCTTGAAGGGAAGACGCAAGCAAACAAGCATGTTTTGGAGGTTCCTCTTTGTGGACAGCAAATAAGTGCGTACAATTCATTAAACATACTTTCCCAGGCACCTGTCCAGGCCCAGTCCTAGATTTCTTACGGGGTACCTAGCAACACAGGCCAGCCCATTCTCCTCAACCACATGGAGAGAGCATTCGGCTCAAGCCTGCGCACTCCCACACGGTTGAATGGAGAGACCACCATGGAGCATAGACTTCGCAGGTTTCAGCAAGCTCGCGCAGCATGCGAGAAGTTGGTCGCTGAGAAGTACTGCGACGTGGCCATTGTGGGGCCAGAAGCGCATCGGCTGCCCTTCATCCGAGCCCTGCTTGCCAACCTCTCGGAGCCGTTGGGAGCGGCGTTGTACGGAAACTTCAAGGAGGCCAACGCGCGGGAGATCACGGTGCAGGATGTGACGCCGGAAGGCTTTGACGTCCTCATCCGGAGCTCTTGCAATCTTGATCCGAGGATGACTCCAGAAAGGGCAATCCACGCGATCAACGCTGCCAGACTGTATTTGGTGGATTGGCTCGAAGCATACTGCCTGGCTTACCTGCAGGGGATCGAGGACATCACATCGCTTTTGCGGACAATGTCGCTTGCGGCAAAGCTGTGCGTCGAGCTTCCAACAACGGTGCAGGCCAAATATTGGAGCACAAGTGATCGAGTCACCTGCTTTCATTGATTTACATGGATCCGTCGTAGCTCAGCTGATCAAGCTGGAGGAGTTTGAGGTGGGCGAACAGCAACTGTGGAGCCGGTTGGTCGAGTGGTCAGCAAGTGCTGTGCAGCGGCCAGAGCTGCTGGGGCCGTTTGCAGAGGCGGAGCCAGCTGGAGATGCCAAACGCCGCAAGCCGGAAGAGCCAAACGGCCTTGGGCCCCATGAGTTTGTTCAGCAGGAGGCGGTTTTGCGGCTCATGTCCGAGCACATTCGATTTGGCGCCATGGACAAGAAATTCTTTTTTGACAAAGCGAGGCCGTGCTTGACACGTGAGGCCAGTGAGGCAGTTTTCAAATACTTCTTGCTGGGCGAAAGACCCGGGAGTGCTCCCGTCTCCAATCGGCTTGGGCTGGTTGGTGTAGAAGAGAGATTGTCCATAAAGGTACGTCCGAGCCGTGATCCGAAGATTTCAGCCCTGGAGACTGGCAGGGGAATGTGGAGGCCATCAGCAGGCATCAGCTTCTTGTACGTGAATCTGGAGCAGAAGATCCAGATTACCAGGGTGGAGTTGCTGCTTGAAGCGGCAGATGTGACTCCGGAATTCCAGCTATCGATTCCATGCACCAGCTCAACGGCAAGTCATGTAAGATGTTTGGCCCCCATAGGTTCCCCTGAGATTGACGAGTTTCGGGTTATTTGCAAGAGCACCACACGCACTCCATCACAGCAGGCCATGCCCGCGATGAGAAAGATCACTGTGTTCGGCAGACGGGCCGACAAGGCATTTCGAAAGCAGCGCGCCAGCCAAATGGCGGAGAAGCTGATCAAGGAAGTTCACCACGAGAGTGTGGAGAGTGCAGCGTGAGTCAGCGACGCAAGTGCTGTCCGCGTTGGGAAAAAATGTCATCCATCTCATTTCATGGCAGTTCTTTTTGTTCAGATCATGTGGCAGTGGGTCAAAACCAATGGTACTATTTTGGGGTGGTGCACCCATTTTAGTCTATTTTCGTGGGGATTGGGATGTTCACTCGGGGTACGGGACTTTGACCCATGGCCATGTGTTTGATTCTCCTGCAAAATCAGCCAACCCGAACAAAACAGTGTCCGTTTATTCTCCTCAAGAAAGGGCAGGAAAGCAGCATTTTGGGGGTGCTGTAACTTGATTTGTCCAAGGAGTCCGGCAACTTGGATGTATCGCGGGTGGCGATACTTTGCGAGGCGGCCAAGCAACCCCCAGACAGACTGTACCCTTCCAATTGCTTACGAATATTTTGTATTGTCCCTTGTTGGTTTTAAAGGGAATCTATCACCACTGGACATATTTTTTCTTTCCCGGGGGCTTAAGCAAATGGAAGTGCCTCTGAGACCAGAAGTTCCAAGCATGGGGATTTGGCCTCTGAGGACGGTCCGAGAGATCAACTACACCTTCGAGGCAAGTCCGGGCCTGACAGGAGTGGTGCACCCAGATCTTCAGATCACCAAGAGCTACGACCCGTACCCAGGGGTCTTGGAGGCTGTGCCCAGGTAGCATGGAGAGGTATCCCGCCTTGTGGGCGTCCTGACAGGAGGTTCCGCTACACATGTTTGAATTTTGTGGGTGTCATGTGAATTTGCAGTCCAAACATTCCGGGGAGTTTGGTGCTTTTGACTGTTTTGGATCTTGTCGACCTAGTGCTTTCATTTGCAAGCGGATATACAAGATGGGGGGGGGGTCTGGCAGAAACATTCACCCCAACTGTTAGGCTATCATCCACTGGCTGCACAAGGGGGGGGGGGGGCTGGAAGAAACATCAACCCCAAGTGTTGTTTGTGCAACATGACACCTAGGTTCAGGTAGCATTCATTGGTGGTTCGGAATGGTGGTTTGGGGATTTGAACCACTGGTTCTTGAGGACAAAAGGAAACCCCCCCATAACCTCCAAACCACCAATCTACACCAATTACAGGGAAGCTGAGGTTTCGATGTTCGATTGATTCGTGTTTTTCCAACAACAGGTTGCAGTTTTGTTTTTCTTGTTTATTGCCGGCCTAGGCGGACAACTACACCAACGCCAGCTACTCGCTGCCCTGTGCAAGGGCGCTGCGTGACCAGAGCGGCACGCCAGCCATGCCGCTGATGCCAGACAGGACGTCAATGGTGGCCCCGGGGGAAATCTGGAGAGTTCCTAAAATATGCTTGAATCAGCTTTAGAGGATGTGTATGTATATATGTTATGTATGTTTGCATTTATATATATATATATATATATAGATATAAACGGGAACATTTGCATGAGTGTGCACGTTCTTGAGGGAAGCTCGATATATGTATATACGTATACATAATATGTGTGTGTACCTTGTTTGAGGGAGCCTTTTTGGGGCGTGCTGTAGAGTGAAACCAGCGGGGTGTCAAACCACGGGGCTCCTGCTGGTTTATTTGAATTTAGGAATGTACCACTTCCACGACTTGGATAAGCCATGCTGCGAAGTGGAGAAACAACAAATCCATCCAGTTGATATGGGTCTCAGTTGTTCAGTGGCACCCTTTTTCCCTTTTTTAGTGGCTGCCCCACTAAAAATGGTCTTCCCCAAAAAGGGTGCCCTTTTTTCCAGGGTCACTGAACAACTGAGGGCTAGTTGATCAAGTCTTCGCGGGCTTTCATGCATCCTGGCTGGTGCCCTGCCTGGCGTGGCGGTCCATGCGGCACCTGTCGCGGCCTCGCTTGCCGCTTGCAGTGGCCCAGGAGGGGGTGGTGTGCCACCCTGGACGGCACCGGGCTGAAGGTGGGCAGCTACAGCCTCTGCCGCTCCAGCGGCCTAGGGACCCGTCGACCGTCGACCGTCGGGTTGGCGCCGAAGTTCGGGGAGAGGCGATCCGAATCAGAAGCCCAGGGTTTCCACGCCATGCCTCCAAAAGGGGCGGTTTCAAGACAAACCCCCATGTTGTTTTGCAACTGTTCAAGGGGAGATCCAGTGAGCCCTGAAAACTCACAGGCTGTGTGTCAGCTCCTGGACTTTTGGGACCCGGCAGAAGGTTCTTCAGACTGTGTTGGTCAATCCACTCAAGTGAGACAACTGGATGCCAAATCAAGGAACCTCGAAGGGGGTGAGCACTGTTTAGTCTTGCTTTCTCGGACGCTATGTAGCATTCAGAACATGGACTCACTACATTTTAGTCTTGTCGACAGCTCCTCCCATTGCCCCAACCAGGAAGCTGAAGCCGCTGTCTTTGGACGATTTTCTTCGGGTGAATGGGGAGCCACTCTTCCAGTCACTTACAAGGCCACTTATTCAAGTCGGGGCCGCAAGAACCCGGCTGCCAACCAGGGCTGCTTGAGGAAGTTCTGCTGTTGTCATAAGTAGCTGCAGGAATTTCCGCAAGAAGTCAAGCTAGACCCGAATGGTTACAGGGGCCCAAGTTTGCTTCCTGTAGATTCTCCTTGAGCTGGCCCACTGGCTTATTCAACCATCATGAGAATCGTCCTTCTATATTCACCTTTTTGTGCGGAGTCCGGCGTGACCGCAGGCAATCTTGAGCTGTCCCTTTTTGCATGGCTCGAACATCACCTTTGAGGCCATTGCATGGCTTCACCTCTTTGGTATGGTGATGTTTTAGAGGGACATACTGTGGATCGACAAAATCCCGCACCAGGTTGAAAACATGGGAAACTGTTGGTTGGCATTCGCACGGAGGTCGTGCCTCCCGCTCTCGGCTGGCGCAAAACGGATTTCGTCCACAGTATCAGCTGGGCCCAAGGGCTCCCTTTAAAGAGGAAACCAAAAACAAAAACTAAACCCTAAGCCCAGAGTTACCAAAATCATTTTTTTAACACGCCCTACGGACTTTCAAATAGGCCCTATTGACAGTTAAGAGGCCAAGGCCCAAAAGTCGCCGTACCCATCTATTTACCCACCCCCTTGCGCCGAAGAAATCGCCGAGGCTTGGACATGGACGGCGCTGGGCCGTTGAAATCTGGCGCTGTCCGGGAGGTCTTCTCGGCCCCCAGCGGCATGCTGGAAAACGGGGCCCAGCCGTCCACCCTGGTGCCCGAGGGTTTGCAACTCGGATGGGCTTGCCATTATTCAGGGGTCCCTATATACATATATATATATATTATACGTATCCCTTGTAAGGGGAAACACGGGTTTGTCTCAAAATTCGGCCCCCAAAAGTTGTGGGCTTCCTTTTGGCTTTTCGTTTAAAGCCCACCAAAAAGGAGTTCAGTCCTCTCATTGCTGCTGTGGCTGGGTCCTTTCGAGCGGCTCGCGAAGCCAGGGGCATCCAAAAGGGGGTCCGAACCCCACTCCAAGTCGTTCTAATTCACTCAGATGGGCTAGCATGTTGCATTAGTGTTGCGAAGTCTTTCATATCTAGTTATGCCCAACATGGGCAAGATGGCCGCCAAAATCCCGAAATGCTCGACTGCCATCATGTCGCTTTGTATTGGATCTAGCATTTAAGCTGATCCTTCTGGTTCACCATCCGATGTGCATGCTGCGGGAGGTGTCAGGTTCCTTCCTTTGCGTGGCTGCAACGTTTGTTTGCTTTGCACTTCTAGTAATTATCGTGGCAGGAGCGCGGTGTTCCCTCTGATGGCCAGACATGTACAACTTCCATCACTTTAATGTACCAGCTTGAAAATCTGGACTCATGAATCGCTGCATAGGCTCCTGCTTGACACATTGGAGCGAGTTCGCCTGTGCTAGGATTTGTGGTCGACGGCCCTGTGGCACATGCTGACTGTCCTTAACGGATGTGCCAATCCAGGGAAGTGAACCGTTCCGAACCAGATGGAAGTCAAGTGCTGTAAACTTGCTGAAGCCTCTACAAACCCTCGCTTGTGGCTTCCTTTTTGGGAATCCCAAGGTTCATTCTCTCATTTTCTGCTGAGCACCAGGCATTAGACATGTTGATCCAAAAGTCACACGGAGTGGTTGCTTGGATGGGCACCTCGAGCGGGGCCTCTGCAGGCAATGGATCCGTGTCGGCTGCGGGAACGCGGCATGCCTCTTGCTTTGCCGACAGTTTATCGGGTTCGGATTTGTTGAAACGTCGGCTGTAATCCAACTAACCGTAGGGCACCAGCGCCTTTTTCAGGTTCTGAACAAACAGCCTTTGATTCTTTCTGGGGGTCGCAAAAAGTCCCAACTTGTGCTACTTCCCCATTCCGCGCTTGCTGACCACTCCACGTTCAGTCCATGTCCCAGTTGTCAGTAGTACCCCTTTTTCCTGTTTTTGGGGAAGGGCTCCCCTTTAAAGTCAAGCAACCAAAAAAGGATGCCCATTTTTCCTTTGGCCACTGGACATCTGAGTGTTTATGTGGTCCATGTTTACTGTAATACGTCCTTTCTGTCTTCCCTGCATAGTCCTTTGCTGGCCAGCACCCGTGTTGAGTGATGTTCGAACCGGTCACAGTCAGACTGCTAGCGCACGAACACGAAAGACAGGCATGTGCTAGCGGGGGCGGATACTAGGGTACGCCTGGGAGACAATTGCAGGATTGCTCCCCCAACTTAGAAATGGGAGTTCGCCCGGTGCACCTGTTTCAGTTCGTCTGATAATTTTGATAGTTTGCCCGGTGTGTTTGGCGAATTGCCGCATCCCTGCCCAACCTCGCACTTTGCATGGGAGTTGTCAAAACGGGAGTTCCTTGCGCCTGGGTGGACGGACCTTCATGCAGGTCGCGGGCGTTCTCCCCCAGTTGGCTTCGGTAAAGGGTCACTGGCGAGCATGCGACTTGCTCCAAGATGCATGCTTAACTTCCTGACAGAACCACAAGTGGACTGTTTACTCCGGAAGTTCCTTGGAATTGTGTTCTTTGATTGTGCTAGGTGCGGCGCAGGTGAGCTTGTGTTGGCAGTTGCTGGCTCCCCAGTTCATGCTGGGGGCCATACTGGTGCTGGCAGGTGTTCATTTGTGTGGATGCGCTATGAGAAACGAGTGGGTTTGATGCCCAGGTCTAGGAGTTGGTCGGGGTGCTTAGGTTGATATGGTGATGGGGTGTCACATAAGAAACCTTAGTGATTGGAGCGGGGGTCTTTGGCGAGCGGTTTGCAGGATCCCTGTGGAGCTGAAACCCGAGACATCGCAGCAACTTAGAACCTCTCCAGAACATCTCGGAACTCGGCTAAGACCCCATAGCTGTCGTTGTTGGGGAAGAACACAAGCACGTTTCTCCCCCGCCCCCCAGAGATGTCTATTGCTGGCTGGGATCGGTAAGTCGTGTACAAACACGATTCTTCCCCCAGGACACTTGGTTGTTGCGTCCTTTAGAAACAAGCTTCAAACATATCTTCTGCCAAACGACACGTTTGCTAGCGGGAGCCGTGGCCTTGCTCGACATGAATGTCTTTGGGGTAGGTGGTTGGGTCCCACCTTTGTGCTCGCCTGAGGCTCAGAGCTGACCACAGCCTACTTGGCTCTCAGCGGCTCAGTTGATGGGGCCAGGGGATTTCGGCTTTTTTCCGGGTGGGGTTTCCGCGGGGCCAGGGGGGGATTTTGTTTTTTTTCTTATTTTTTTCCGGGGTGGGGGGGGGTGGGGTTTCTCGAAACACTATTTTAGAGGCAACCCGGAAGGACATCGACCATCTTGAGGGCTCCCCTATGTTGAGAAACTACCAGGTGTCCTGTTTGGATCGAGCATAGACGGGTTTCACTACTTCGGTGCGGCTCTCGTCGTTTCCCAGCCTTTGCAAACAACCAACAAGCAAGACCTTCTTCAAGCATAGCCAAGAAGAGAAGGTAGGTCGAAAAAACACATCCAGCAACAAGAAAGACCGCGTCTCTCCAACAGCGGATACCACCCCACAACGACATCAAGCTGTTCTTTCCGCCTCACTAGGGAGACCCAAGTTCCGAAAAATGTCCTTGGGCTTCTTCCCTATGTGGGACCCACGAGGTTTCCCTGTAGCTGGCGGCTCGCCTTTGAGGGGACTGAGACCCACTCGCCGGCTCGAGGCTGCGAAAGCGGCGAGGGCGACGAGGCCCCGCGGCGGTACCTGCGGCGCGTGGCCTCCAAGGCGGACGCGTGGCTGGTGCCGGCCAATGCCTCGCGCCTCACACCAGGCCGGGGGGGGGGGGTGGGGGCGGCCGCGGGCGGCCGGGGGGTGGATGGCTGGGGTGGGGCTTTGGTGGACCCCCCTGTGTTGGGTTTGGATGGAACAAAGCGCAGTGGGTGCCTAGAATAAAAGCAAAGCGTCACTTGCATCGGGTTTTTTTGTAAAGTCCCCCAATTTGGAAGAAGGAGTATCAGAGTGCCAAAGAGGACCACCAGAATGAGGTGGAAACGGGATGACCGGGTTTCGAACTCGCAAGCTGGCGAGTTGTCAACAGGCGTCGGGGGTGGCTTCCTGGAGGGCGGGTTTTCAACCCGGGAGGGCGGGTTTTCAACCCTTGGACGAAGGCCTGGGAATTTGCAGGATTCTTCGCCCGAGTGTTGGCTCCATTCCCCTTCAGCAATTGAAGGCACCGAGAAAGGTTCATTCCGTGAAACCTCCTTCTTGCGTTCCCATCTTTTCCTGTTCCTGTGCTCGATCCCTTTGTCCTATGTGGGTGTGTCTTTTTGGGGTACCCCTTTTGCTTGTAGAAGCCAAAGGAAAGCAGGCCCATGTTGCTTTACACTTCGACTACCTGGATCTTTGCTAACCTACAATATGATGAAATAGCAGGGAGAAGATATATATATATATAGCTCTGGGGTGAAGCTGCGGGGCTCCCACCTCTTGAGACAACTCAGTTGTTCAGTGGCACCCCTTTTACCTTTTTGTTTGGTGGTTTCCCACTACAAAATGTCGACGTTTAAAGGGGCTACCCTTTTCTGCAAGGGTCACCGGGCAACGGCAAGCCCAGTGGGGCAACTTATCGCCAGCATCACATGTGCCATGGTCGAACTAGCCCTTTACCTCGGGGTTGGTAGGCGGTTTTAGAAACAACCCATGCGAAGGGTCTTCGTACGCCCTTGCTCGGTTTTGGCTGGCATGGTCATCCATCTCGTGTTTTGTTTTTTGTTTGTTTGTTTGTTTGTTTGGCTGGTTGGTTGTTGTTGTTTTGTTTCTTTGTCAACTTTTGTTTGTTTTTCTTTGGTGGGTGGGTGGGTGGGTGGGTGGGTGGGTGGGTGGGTGGGTGGGTGGGTGGGTGGGTGGGTGGGTGGGTGGGTAGACACATGTAGACAACCAACGCCACGTTCTCACTAGAGACGGCGCCACACTGACCCACGGCGGCTGTAGGCGCGCACTACAAGATCTGCATCGACCTGGACGGGCCGGCCGATGCCTTTGGTCCTGGCGACTCCGGCCTTGAGGCAAGGAGAAGCGATCCGACGGGGTGCGATTCAGGGGAGGTGGCTGCGTTTTTCCCCAAAATGGCGGGTTGTTCCTTTGGTTTAAGTGTCCCTTAACAACCAGAAGTTGTTCTGCCCAAAATGGTGGGTTTTCCTTTTACAACCAACAAATGGTGACTAAGTCTAAGTTTCCCTGTGCAACCTCAACAAACGGCACCATACGGCACCCTCATCCTTGACAGACCCATATGGGTGTGGCTTTTTGAGGACCTCGCTTTTGGTTGGTTTAAAGTAGGACAATTGACGCGTTTTGGGGTTCCCTCAATTTTGGAAGTAATGGAGTAGGTGCAACGATGGTTCGCTTTGGTACCACAGGACGGCGTATTTATCACAGGCATGAAGGGTTCTAGCAACCAAAGTCCTGTCTGGGCAAGTTCTAGCAACCGCAGGAGTAGCGGCATTTTTAAGGTAACAAATTCTGTCTTGAGCCGGCCCAACGAGAACAGTTCTCCGCCAGGGTCGCTGGTTACGTGACCGTCGATTGAAGTCCATTTTCTTCCCCCTGCCGTCTTTTCAGAAACCACCAAATCATTTGCCCGGTGGTTTGGCCGATGTTCTTTCAATCAGACAGACGGACGTTTGCATGGTTGGGAAACATTTGACTTTTTGCTTTCTGTGGTTAGTGGTTGAAATCCCCACTTAACTGCTAAGATTTAAGCTTTTGTGAGGTCTACGTGAACCCCTTGGTGCCTTTGGTGCCGCTGGCGATCACCACTGGCACTTCGCGGCTCTCGGTGAGCTGCGCGAGGTGCACATCAGCAGCCGCTTGAGCTGCCGAAGAGTCACCCCCAAGCACTGCTGTTGGACAGCACGTGGGGATTTGGGATATGGTGGAAAAAGCAGTTGGGGAGCTTGGTGCTATTTGTTGTTTCTGCTTTTGGTGTTGTCGGGATCCAAAGGTTTTTGGTTGTCCAAGCCTGGCCATGTTAGGCTTCCACGCGCAGCAAAATCATATCAGACGTGGACAAACAGAAGAGCTATGCTTCTGTTTGACGGCATGATGTGGCCATGGGTCAAAACCAATGGCACCATTTTGGGATAGATGAATTCACCACCCATTTGAGAACCTATTTTAGTGGTTGGATTGAATCGGATGTTCACTGGAATTCCGATTTGGGTTTTGACCCATGGCCATGTGATTTGCTGGGGTAGCCTCGCGTCTTTCAGCCACACCCCGCCGCGTTCTTTTGGAACGCAAGGCCACCGCCTTCCTGGGAGCTTCCGGCTGTGAGCTCGGCTCCAGTGGCTCCGCAGTGACGCTGAAGCAGGCGGCTCAGTGGAATCCGCGGCTGTTCCTTAGAGCCACGTGCTCAAAACCGATTCGGGTGGATGATCCGGTTTGTAAGGGACAAATAGCCCCTTGCCATAAATAGCGAATCGGATATCCGCCTTCTGAATCCTTGAGGGTGATGTGGGCGTGGTTCCGCTCTCTAAGTTTGTACTCCGGGCACCCCTGGTTTCGCTTTTGGTTTGTACCCTGCCACACCCATATAGACATGGTCAAAATTAAACCACCAGGGGACAGCTTTCCATTTACCAGCGTTTCCAAAACGGGTACCTATTTTTGACCCACAGCCATATGGTGCACACAGGTCCCCACTCCAGGCACCCGGACCGCTCGCCAGGACGGTGGTTGGAGCTTGGAAGTGCTCGGCCGCACCCTGCAGGACCGCCTCCCGAGTTCTTCCCAGTCGAAGACCGGTGATCTGTTTTTTTCCTCCGGGAAAAGGAAAGAAATCGACTCGTGACGTGCTTGTGTACTTAGTTAAAAGGCTACCAGCTGGTTCCACCTTGGTCATTGTATGTATACATATATATATATATATGTATAAGTCTGTGTGTTTGGTTTTTGAGGGAACTCTGTTTGGGTTAGTCCTTTGGTGGGCCTCAACATCGCTTGTCTCACCCTTTTAAGTGACTTTCCTTTGGGTGGGTTGATGTTCAAAGGTGAATTGTAAGGAGCCCTGTCCCGCGTCGTGGCTACCTAGATCCGTTTTTGAGCGGCTTATGTTATGGGTGCCCTTTGCGACAACGGGGGTAGTGCCTAAGCAGGGAAGAAGTGTAGACGCCCTTTGGGGGGGGAGGTCTTTCTACTCTGGGCGGTTGTAGGGCATGAGCGGTTTTGGGCATCAATCAAATCCTGTGACACCCAAGGGATTTTCCTTTAAGACCACCAAATCTTTCTCTTTGGGGGGGGGGGTCCGTTTTGCGTTCCATTTTTTTGTTGGCAGGGGGCCCCGTTTTGCCGCCCAAGAAGCGGGCAACAGCTGACCGCAGGTCGGGCAGTCCTACGTCCTCTGCGTGGACTTGGACGGCTCGGGGCCGCTTCGCCCCGGCGCCGCGGGGGCGGTCTACGTGTCGCCGCTGTCGGCGCCGCCGCCTGAGACGGCGGAGCTGGGCGTGGCGCGCCTGGTCTTCGAGTGCGCGGCCTGCCAAGCGGAGCCTCGGGTGGAATGCGAGCCATCCGGTTTGGCCCAGATTGGGGGAGGGGTGATCAATATTCAAGTACTCAGACGCTCCACATCAATTTAGGGCCCTCAAACAGCCATCCTGCGGGGTGTGTATCGGAGGGGTCGGGTCTTGCATCGAAAGCCCCAGGAGCCTCTTGGTAGAGCTGCCGGTTTAGTGGGGAAACTCATCGTTTTTGAAACTGTCCTCCAACGTAACGGACTTTCCGAGAAACCAACCCCGAAATGCCAAAAAGCCATGAAACCCCGTTCTTTTACCTGGTGGGCTGGCCACTGCTATGACTCACTTTTCTGAAATTGCTAGGGTTTCCTGGAGACCTGCAGAGTGATTCCGGGACCATCAGCGCCCAGACCTTTTTCTCCATGGAGATCCGCTGGAGTTCGGGTTGGGGAGATGAGCCACCTGCTGGGTGTCATCAGTGGTTTCACCAACGGAAACGAGAAATGCGGCTCCATTATTTCGCAGTTGTCAAAAAAGGGCAACTGGACATCAGCTGGGACCCTGAACAAAAGGTGTCGGGACCCAAATGAGGTTCACTGCTTTTTCGACCCGCTAAGGATCAAATTACTTAGTTTTCTTCAATTTTGACATTCCTTTCTTGGTTTACCCTCTTTTCAATGGAAGTGGACGCTTTCCCAAAAGTCTTCAAATCCCTGTCAGCTCTCATGACTGCCCAGAGGGTAACTTGGGACCTTGGCTATGTGGGCTATCGCTGGATAAGCCCAGGAGCCAAGGACAAGCCCTTCTTGGGGGCCCCCCCCCTTGACCGTCCACGGTCCACTTTGCGAGGACACCACCGTACACCTCTCCGCGGACTGCCAGGCGAGGCTCCGAGTCCGGGAAAAACGGACCCCGACGCCACAGGTTCTCGCTTGCCTGTGGACAAGTGGGTTTTGGGGCGTCACGATCTATGGGAAATAAGAACCACGGTGGTACCACCGAAAGTGTTGTTGATTCAAAGTGAAGTCCAATGTAGTACAACGCCCTTCCTATGTCTCCTTCAAATGGGTTCTGCTTATTCAAGGAAAAGGGAAGCTTGGGCGAGCAGCAAAAAGGGCCTTTCAACAACATAGTCCGAGGGGCTTTAGACTTGTGATCGGGAACCCCTTCCGGAGGATTGCGATCAATACCCCTTCTCGTTGGTGAAACAACTGCACCCTCTTGCGCAGAACATCCTTCACATTTTTTGGGAGGCCTTTCCATATTGCACCAGGTTGATTCACTTCGGATTTCCCACGAACCGGCCCGTGCATCGCCGCCAGGAGCCCCTCACGTACCCCTACCCCGCTGGCGCCGTGGTGTCCTCCACGGACCGCACGGCCGCGGCCACGTTGGCGAGGGAGCGGGACTCGCGAACCGCCTGGGCCGCGGAGATTCAGACGCAGCACCTGGCGGCGGGCGCGCGGCGCCGTGGATGAATTTTTTGTTTGGAGCCCGAGATGCAGCTGGCATGGACATGGTTTCAACAAGGGACAAGTGGTGGGCATTCAGTTTTGGTGGGGATTCCTGTATACCAGTTATTTTGGAGGTTGTTTTCCATAGCTTCAAGTCATATGAATCATATGAATCCTGAATAAGAATGAAGCGACCCGATTGGGAAACTCCACGAGTTTGGATCGATTCAGCAGGCTCCGAAGGATCCCACCATAGCTGACAGCAGGGGTCCAAAATCGATTCTGCGATGGAAAGGGCCAATCGTTTTGCTGATGGCTTTTCGGCACCACCCAAAACAGGCTCCTTTGGGTTGCAACCCCAGGGCTCCACAGTCTGGTGGGTCTCCAATTTTGGGCCTCGACTTGGCAACTGCCGAACCCGGATAGAAAACAACCAAGAAAGCACCCTGGACGAATAAGATTTTGCTCGATTTGTTCCATGGGGGTGTCCCATGTCAGGGCAAATTTTGCACTTTTTGCCAGATCTGCAAGGTGTGTCAATCCTCGGCTGACATCTCTACCCGCAGAGATTGATGAACTGAGTAAGGCGTCCTGCCCCCCCGCGGTATCCATCATGCCGCCCCCCCCCCCCCCCGCTTTGAGTGGTCGAAGGAAGTCAATGTTCCTCCACTCTGCCCCTATTTTTGGAACCCTGGTCAGCGACGAGATCAACACATCATGGCACACATCAACACGTGGGTGGTTCAACCAACATAGAGCCGGCGTACAACAAGTTGGTCTGTGAGTGTTCCTCCGAAAAGCCATCCCAAGGGATCGTATGTCTATACGCATATTGCCGCACTCACAGAGGCATCTCTGGGTAGAACGAGCTCAACCCTGAAGGTCCAGAACCTTAAATTCAGAGAGGTTAATTATAGTCATTTGTGCAGGTGGCATGTACAAAGGCACATTTAGTTGTGCAGGCAGCATGTACGAAGACATATGTTTTGTTTGTTTGTGTACATATGTGTGTATATATATATATATAGAAACATATTCACATGTATTATGATATACATCACGGACAAAATCACTGGTGCCCATGGCTGTTCAACTGGTTCCGTGAACCTCCATGGCGAGGTACCATTTATGTATGGACCTGGACGGGCAAGGCAGCCTTCCTGTGGGCGACACGGGAGCTCTGGTCTACATGAACCCAGCGCCTTGGTAGCAACAGCTTCCTCAGCTGTTCAGTGGCACTTTGTGTCCCCTTTCTTTTGGTGGCTGCCCCACTAAAAATGGCCTTCCCCAAAAAGGGTTCCTTTTTTTCCAGGGTCGCTGAACAACTTAGTTTCTTTGGATGGCCTGCAAACTTTCCCATGGAACCCAGACAAGGAGCTCCACTCTACGAGATTCCTTTAAGCACAGAACGATGGCTCTTTGGCTACGCTGATTTGCGGGTCTCTCCCCAAGCGAAAGGTTGCTGGGTGGATCGACTCCTTATGGGGCTCTCTTGGAGATGTTGCGTTTATGGGCGTTGAGAAGTTGAATGACCAGCTGCACCAACTTGGGTTGCAGAGGGTCTCAAATGGAAGCTCAACCCTTCAAAGAAAGGGTACAGATCTCAAGAGTGTCCCTTGCTCCCGGGGATGATCATATTCCAAGGGTGGACAAAGATTGAGTTGTTTCGTTTCGTTTTCATTTACCACAGACCAAGCTCCTACTTTTGTGCCATTTTTGGAGACAACCTGATGGAAGTTAGGAGTCACTTTCAAGAAATATAGCACATGAACTCGTGAATCGGGAACCTTAAATGAGCGACGGTGGATGCCTTTGAAAAAAAGTGTTGCAAGTAAGGGAACAAGGGAAACCCTCCGATTTACAGCATGCTGGTTCTTCTTCGCATTGTTGATCAACTTGCTCAGGTAACCCCTACCTGGGATTCAAACCATCATTAACACAATGGGGGCTCATATAACCACCGTTGTTTACCTAAGGATTGTCATCCAACTTGGGTCCTTGCCTTTCTTTTGGGGGTTGAACCCTAGGGCCAAGGCGTTCGCAGCGGGAACCTACCCCGAAGCGACCCAAACCACCGTGACCCGCCGGTTGCGCCGGAGGTGTCCAGCCTGTCGCCCCTGGTGGCCCGCCCCGGGCTCCAGACCTTCCGCTTTGTGTGCGCCAAGTGCCAGGCAGCGGCGGCTTCTTTCGTTTCATCTATTATTATTTATACATTTGTTTCTTTTTTGGGGGGGGAGGGTGTCCTTTATTTATTTATGTTGTTTTTTTGGTGGGGGGGGTCCTTTATTTTTTTGTTTTCCTTTTTCTTTTTTTGAGGGGGGGGGGGGGTCGTGTTTTTTTTGGAGTCGTGTTTTTTTGTTAGTTTTTTGTTTTTTGCGGAGCTCCGAGCTTTCCGGATTTTTGCGGGAGCTCCAGATTTAAGGGAATCTATCACTGGACATATGCTTTATATCCTTTCTCTGGGGGCCCAACAGTTAAATGGAGGCTTAGGTTCAATGAAGGTCCCTCAGGTTTCCATCATGTCCCACGTCCCTTAGTTCAAATCGGACTGGTGGTGTTTGGGAGTCAGAAATCTAATCCTCTATGGAAGGCCATCCTTTCAACAAAAAGTCTATGCGCTTCTATTTGGGGCTGCATTTTGGTTGAGGGTAGTTTAAAGGGAACAAAAGAAGCACGATTCTTGGGGCCAACTTCCGGCTGTGTTGGATGGCCCACTTCGGACCTTCTGTTCAAGGGCCCCACGTCGGAATTTGGCTAAGTTTGTCTCAGGTTTCCCTTGTCAAGGACCCATGTTTCTACCCGGGTGCTACCCAGCGTTTCTCTATGTGGGTCCCCAATATGCCTTGGCCTGGTGAATGGAACCAAATACCAAACCTGCAGTCCAAGTCCTGGTTTACTTTTGACCCATACCCCTGCGTTTCTGCCTTAGCCCGGACCCCACGTTGCCATGGGTCAAAATCCCGTGCACCCAGTAAGCATCCCAATCCCCACTAAAATAAGTCCTAAACAATGGGTGGTGCATTCACCTACCCCAAAATGGGATCCCATTGGTTTTGACCCACAGCCATGTGCCTGCACTGATTTCAGGGGCCGGGGTCAGGTGGGTGTCGCCACGATGCACCTGGCCAGCGGCGCCTGCGAGTCGGCCTCAACGGAGGTGGCCAAAATCTTCGGCTCGGCGCCCTCACAGGCGGACACCGCGCGACAGGCGCGAGCCCGGGAAACACGCTTCAGTTGTTCAGTGGCACCAACTATTTTCCCCTTTTTTTTGGGTCTGCCCCACTAAAAAATGGCCTTCCCCAAAAAGGGTTCCCTTTTTTTTCAAGGGTCACTGAACAACTGAGACGCTGGTTTAGTTAGTTTGCTTAGAAATAGATGGCACTGGTTTAGATTGGCTTTATTTCATTTACCAGGGCCACCTATTTTACAAGAATGACCCCTATGCGCGCAATGCGAAGTGATGTGAAAGTGGTGGAAGGGGAACATGAATGTGGGCGCTTTGGAGTTGGTACTCTTTTTTGGCTTCTTTAAAGTTGGGTAAGCCTGTTTTGACACATACCCAAATGGGGTTCCTAGAAGACCAAGGCAACCTACGTTGTATGGCAACGGCTCTTCTCGCCACCATTCTGCCGCCAAGTTACCCACATCCCTTGTTTGATGTCAACCGGAGCCTGTCCTTTTGCCACCCACAGCTCACTGGCCGAGGTGTAGCTGATTTCTCTGCCAATTGAGTTTCCCGACATGTCCAACAGATCAGATTGAGGGGGCCCTTTTTTCAAAATTGTTTTAGAGAGATGGCACCACTTGCTGTTTGGGTTCCCTTCTTGAAGACACTCCCATTGTTGTGTTTTCCAGTAGGTCCAGTTTTAGTCAAGTTCCAGGTACTTTGGCAAAGGCGTGTGGCTTTGGTGAGACTTGCTTGGAGCCAGAGTCCCCGGCTGATGTTGGGTTCGGGCAGTCTCAGTTGCGGATCTCAGTTGCCCTTTCACCATCCGCATGGAGACTTTGGACTTACCCATCCGCATGGATGCACGGGAAGGTTGAAGGAACCTTGTCTTAGCTTCCCCAGTCCGGCTCCATGTGGGGACCCAGTTTCTCAAAGTGGCGGGAACCCCCAGCATTTTGAGGGTCCCCCTTTGAACATTCCCATGTTGCGGGTCCTCTCCAATTCTATGTCATACGAAACAGAGTACTTTTTGGTGGTCGCCCAGAGGGCGAAGGATGTCGGTGGCCGGGAGCTTCGCGATCCTCCGTTTTCTTCGGCCTCCAGGCGACGGTGGACACCTCTCCACTGGCCTTGGGACGCAGCTTCAACCTCTGCGTGGACGTCAGCCGCCCTGCAGCCGACAGGGCTTGGGGTCGCGCCCCAAAAAGCCCAAGAGATCGGCGGTTCGGGGCACCTTCGGAGTTCTGAAAAATTGGCCACTACCAGGGTGGGCACTTTTGGTTTCCCTTCAAACCAGCCCACAAAGGGGCCCCTCCAAAAAGACACAATTTTTAGCTCGGTTTCGCTTGTAGTGGGGACAAGACAAATGGAACTCACTGCCCCCCTTCCCCCAGAAGGCGGTGAGTGGTGCAGGGTCGTCTCTTTTGCAACTACAAGTAAATGACCCCCCCAACAAGGGTAGTAGATTCTTCTTGGAGGTAGGTAGGCCAATGTGAATAGTTCGTTGTTGTTTGACCAACATAATCCCTTTCGTTGAGGAGTTGCCTTCTTTGGTGGAAGTCGCCTTCCTTTCAGTTCAGAAATCAACAAATGTATATTTCTTTACGTGAATGCAATGGGCAGCTAGGGTGAGGGGGACTTCTTTTTTTTCGACTCCAGCCTGCTTGTTGGACCCGAAACCAAGGGATCAATCGGAGGCAAGACATGGGTGGGGTGGACAAGCAGGTTCCCCCCAAAGCTTCCATTTGCTTAAGTGCTTTGTTGTTTTCCCTTGTTGGTTTCAAAAGGAATTTATCACTACTGTACATATGTATTTTTATTTTTTTCCATGGGTCTTCACCAAATGGAAGAAAGAGGGATGCCTGGAGAGACCCCTCCCCCGGAAGCATTCGGTGGCTCAGGTGGGTTGCCAGTGCCGGTGGCATCGGTGGTACTGAGCCCAGTGGAGGAAGTGAGGCCCAAGATGCTGCGGCAGGAGGGGGGGGCATTGGTCTGCAGTAGCTCTGGTAAGCTCACTGGGAGGTAAGGCGGGCTTGCCATGACGCATGTCCTTTACTTGGGGGCCGTTGAGTTGGCAACGCAAGTTTTTGTAGACTCAGTGCTGGCGTCCTTTCCTTGTGTTCCTTACATTCCGTGTTTAGCGAAACTGTTCCAGAGGCCATTAAACCAAACCCATGGCAATCACATAACACGATTTGTTCGTTCACCTCCACAGTAAACAACCAGATTTGCCTCTCTTTTTTTGTGTGTGTGTGTCTGAGCAAAAGATGCCTTGGCCAGATTCATCTTCTTGGCGTTTCCCCCCAGGAAACAAGTCCCAATCGGTCCCACCCTGCGCGGGGCTCGAGGAGCTCGGCCAGCTGCTGCTTCACTGCCAAGGATGCTCCAGCGCCTGGCCGTTGCAGGATTTTCTTTTGCCATTCAAACAAAGACACCATAAAGGGCTCCCGAAGTCAAGGGGAAACACCCAGATGGCCCATGTGGCTTTCATATCTCAAAATGCTGGACTCATGTGTTTGTTTGTGTTTTCCCCTTGGTGTTCCTTCAACGCAACCCCGGAAAGGGTGCTCAAGAAGCTAGTAGGGAATCGACTTATGGGATTCTTTGGATAGGATTAGCATGCTCCTCCGGATCAATCCGACGTTGGCTCACAGATTTCGTGCTCTTGCACAGAATCAGCCCTAGAATTGATGGGTGTTGCCACCAATGATTGATTCGCTTTAGATTCCTGGGTAACACCATTCAACAAAGAGTCACCAAAAACTGGACACACATATTCTCGGTTGCCCGACGCTCGGCTGTTTTTGCCCACCATCCTGCAGCCAAATTGCCACTTCTCTTGTTGTTTGCAGGTAAAATGCACATGCTCTCAGAATGCATGACCGGCCATGGTCATTTCATCCCACAAACGCCATGGTACCAGCATCATACATGGAAATTCAAGGCGTCTAAATGAGTGATTTTATGGATTGATACCGAAACTTGCCCAAACTCGAGACCACTGTCACAACGTGAACAACATGCGATGAATTGTGCAATGCCTGAGGTGTTGTGAATGCGTGTTCCTAGAGTGTGCTTTCTTCCACGGTGTGGGGCTTCTTGTGAATGTGTGTTCGCTACAAGTGTGCTCACTATGACGAGCGCCTTGTGAATGTGCGTTTACTATGAGCTGAACTTGACAGTTTAGAGGGTAACCAAACATTTTGAATCTCACAGTTTAAATTCGAGGGGATGTGGCCGAAGGCATGACGGTGGTGCGGGTCGCTTCAAACTGCACCAGCGGAACGGCTACGGCGCTGGTGCTGGCGCCTCGTCTCCATGCGATTGTGACGTCACGTTTCCATAGAGAAGTCGTACCATCTGAGCGTGCCTTGTTTGAGGGTTGGGGTTGCTTCACAAGAACACCCTTGTTTGGATTCCCTGTTCAGTCTGCAGGCAATCGTGGCTTGACGCGATTGGCTCCTTGGGCGGCCCGCTTCTGTAGTTGGTGCAATAAGTGGGATGCGGCTTGACAGCCTCAGGTGCAGACAGTGTCGCTCATCGGAATGAGATCAGGTCCCGTGAGATCATCATGGCAGACGCGTTGGCCATTGGACCATCTTGGCTTTGTGGTCTCTGATTCAGCGGTTGCACGGGTGCAGAAGAACACAGTGCCTCAGGAACGAAGCAACGTATTGAACGAAGAAACCTTTGTTCCGTTCACTTCTTCAACAGGAGCACAAACCTACACACCTGATTCACTGCTTTTTGTTTTGATGTACTTCAGGGATCCGTTGTTTTTTTTTTTTTTCTTTTTCCTAGGGCTGGGTTGGTTTGTTGGTTGGTTGGTTGGCCGACGCTCCGTTCAACCAGCAGCAAACCCAACACACAAATCAGCTCCAAGCCAACCCCAAATCCACCCAAAGTCAACCCTCCCAACAGCCGCTTGGATGTCACCTTCGCTTCGCCTCAATCAACCCCGAAGCAGCCCAAGATCCACCCTCAGGACCCTCATCAAGATCTAAGCCAGGCTACACCCCCCCTAGCTGAAACCAGCCCCAGCGCTGGGGATGTTGCAAGCCCTGCGGAAAACCAGCCCTAGGAAAAAAACACCACTACCTTCAGCAGCCAGTTACCCTTATAGTAGATACCCAGCTATGTTCCGTTTAGCTTTTAACGGGCGGCAAGGTCTTGGCTGCCTATGCAGATCAATGGATACACTGGGTATTGCAAGGGAAGAAGTTGGAAACCCCAAGAGAATTCCCCATGGAATTGTTGGATAATTTACTTGCCCTGCTCCAGCGCATCCACCGTATAAGGGCCTAAATGATATGTATATCATTTGTTTGCCTTTTTTTTTTTCTGGCCTTTTTGTTTGTTTGTCAAAGTGTTTCGTTTGATCTTGTTGATTTGGTTCATTTCTGTTCTTTGGTGCATGTTGCTTGGATGTTAGGACTTTAACTTTTTTGCCAACTAATGGGTTTTCCATTAAACCACTAAAAGTTAAACTTTTAGCAGGGGAGCAGAAGGCAACCGAGTGTTGGTAGTGGATCCACTGGCACATTTCAAACATCCACCGTAAGCCAATGATTTGTCTCTGGGAAGCACCGGCAGAAGGGCGTCTCCCGTTAGGCCACCTCGGGGAAGCTGGCGGAGTCTGGGGTCATGACAAACGTGGCGCCCACACGCACCGCTACTGGGAAGCCCGGCACAAAGCTAATATGCATATGTGTGTATATATATATATATGTTTGTGTTCCTGTCGCCCGTCGTCCCCAGCCTCCCACTGAGCATGACCACTTGGGGGGGGGGGCCAAGGAAGACTGTTTTATAGCGAGCTCACCTCGGGGTATAACGAGCTCTCCATGATAAAGATTTGTTTTGCCTGTTTTGATACATTCCCAGAAGAGCACTGGCCAAATAATATGCATTTCCTCTTTTGACCATGGAAGAGCACAATAGGATTTTGGACATTTGGAAGACTTTCATCTTGAATCGGTGCAAGCAACCAGTCCACTTCCATTTCGGAAAGCCCCAAAAGGCATGTGCCTGTCAATGGTTGAACATTCCATCTCAGAGATGGTTTTGTATTTTGGCTCTTGGAAAGCGGGACATAGGTGTAGCACTTGGTCGCCTCTGCTTCAGCGAGCTCCCATTCCAACGGTGTTGGGGGCCTTTTGGGACCTAGAACGGTGAGACTTTTGGGTGGGTTTGTATGTGTGTGCGTTTGTTGAGGGTACCCCCCCCACTCACCGCCATCCAAGCAGGGGTCCGGAAGCACCCAAATTGGAGCCTTCAAGATCCATGGGGGGGATTTCGTGCCACGCCTGGGGCACTTGCCCTTGGCCAAGCCCAACTGGCCACTGACCTGTTCAACACCAGACCTTCGATATGTTCGATCTCATTCCAAGCTTTCGAGAGCTTTGTGCCGCGTGAGCTCGGGTCTGCGTCTTGGGAAAGCCACAGAAGGCCATGCAGGAGCGGTTTTTGGAGCTTTCGTCTTGGAACCTATGGCTTCGCATTTTTCGCAGTTCCTGTGGCAAGGAAAAGCTTTTGGACTTGGGTGTTTGATTGATTTTGGCTGAAAAAACCGAGAGGAAGCCACAGTTGAGCTGCTACGGCTCCGTTTCTCAGACCACAAACTCAGGTACTACCGCGCCTGGTGGACTTTGACGGTAGAGGGCGCCAGCCTTGCAGCAGGCTGGGTACCCACAGGTTGCCACGGAAGCCACCAGAGACGGTCAGGCTCCATGTGGGTCAGAGGGGAACTTCCGATTCTTCCCCGGGATCAATAGAATCCTTCTTTCCAGAAAACTCCAAAGATCAAAAGACATGTTTTTTCGGATTCAAACAAATGATGCTTGAGAAGAATGGAGAATCTGGCCCTAGAGGGTGTATCTGAGCAAAGGGTCTATTTTGAGGTGGTTCCGTTTGGCGACATTTTTTTCAGGGGGCAAACAAAAGTGGGTCCAATGGCCTCCTATGGCCCCTTTGGGGAGAGGTTGCAGGTTGAAGCGCAAAGCGCCAGGGTTCCCGCTGCAAAGTTTGAAGTCAGGAAGCGCCGACCTTGGGCCTTTTGGGGCCCAGAATTCATGGAGCGGGGACTCTACGTGTTTCGCAAGGGCACTTGAGCCACAATCGAAACCCTGGGAAGTGAAGGTTAGTAAGGGACAATCCCAACCATAGAATCGCTGCGACCGCCTTTTTCATTCTTTGCATGGTTTCTGGGTAGACCATTTCTGATACCAGGTTTTGATTATGACTCACTTTGTGTCTTGACGCGAGGTGTGCAGCACAAAGTCTGCGTGGACCTGGATGGCATGGCAGGCCGAAGCCTCAGTTGCCTCGGCGCAGGGGCCAAAGCCGATGTTGGGGATGTGTGGGTGTTTCTCGCAACATAGGGGTCCCGTTTAAAGGCTGGGTCGCTTTTGGTTTCCCCTTAAGAGACCACCCAAAGAAGTTTTGTCACCCACAGCCAAATCAGTCTGTTTTTAGTTGGTACCTTTTTGGTTGGATTCAAAGCGAACCAAAACAAAGCCAAAAGCCATCTTTCGGGGTCAAATAAAAGACGAGCCACCTAATTATAAGGGCAAATTAGGAGGAGCTCATCGATTTGGGGATGCAAGCTCACCCATCAAGCTACTTTACCACCTGGGCTTAGGCATCCAGATGTGTGGGCCCGGCAGCATCCGTGTTTTCTTTGGGCCCCTTAGGCATGGTCATTTGGATGCATACGTGATAGTCAGACATGTATATATATATATATATATATATTATATTCATGTGTAAGCATATATATTTATATACAGCACACGGATCTTGTCCCTACATCTCAACGAGCTCAGCTACAGCAGCGACATGAACCTGGCACGTGGCCCAAGCCTGTCTCCAGTGATTTGTTTGGCACTACTCATAGGCCCCTCGGGCCTCGGCGGTTTTGCCAGGCGCAAACCATGGCTTCCTGGACGTGGGGGAGCAGATCTATGTGAGCCCGCTGATGCTTGGGTGCGGTTGTTTGCTTTTCCGGACTGCGGGTGGCCCTTTTTGGAGTCTCCCGCAAATCAGCACGGAACCCTGAACCCCCTAATGTTGAAGTAGGGCGCAACCTCGAAAAAATAATGACCGGACCAAACCTGGGACCGACCAAACCTGAAGAGGATCCCTGTTCGAGGAAAACTGTATCCCAGCGGTCCCCTTTCAGGTTCCGCGTTTGGTTTTGTTGTAAAAAGGTATGCCCCCCCTACCCTTTTCCATCCAAAGAACCGTTCGGGAGGTGGTTTCTCGGAAGGGTCACTCCCCGATCCGATCCAACATGAGGTATCCAAGAAATGACCTCACTGCGTCCAGGTGCGACCACCATTCTGGGGAGCTCCCCCAGTCGGAGGCATCAAAAAATCATATATTGGTGAAATGATTATTCAACGTGAAAGATGAACTGGACCTTCAAGAAAGGAGCCGCAAAGAGGTCGCAACAACAGCAGTAACGGGTCTTTGCTCAGTCTCCAAACGGGTTACCCTTCCACTTCCATATTGCTGAGAGGGTGCGTGGTGGTCCTTTTGCGGTCTTTTTTTGAGGGCCGGTTTGCCATACCTCCGGACTTACTCCGGACTTCGGCAAAAGGTGGCGCAGGAGATTTGCCATGAGAGTTTCGCTTTTTGTTGTCCATATGAGTTGTCTCAAGAGGAAGCTGAAGGGGATGGATATGGGTCATGCCTTTTTTAGGAGACCCCCTGTCCAGAAAGAACAACACAATGCGGTTTCCATGTTGGTTTCTCTTTGAACCCACGAAAAAAGCATTGCCCTCAAAAGAGCGGACACACCCATACGTTTTGCTTTTCTTGCAGAGATCCGCTTTGTAGCTCACCCAGTGCCACGTGATTGTTTCTTAAGCCCAGGATGGAGCTCCAGGAGTCCAAAGTCTCCGGATCGCAGGTCTTGAACTTCCGGTGCAAGGCGAAGAGCCGAGCACCCGATCCCGGCCGAGTCGGCTCGTGTATGCCCTTTTGTGCCCAGAGGAATCCACTGCACTGGGTATCCGAGGCATGGTACCCTTTATCTGTTCATGGGCTTTCAAGACTTTTTGGGTTTGGAGCATTTTAGTGGCAAACAAGAAGTTTGGACTTGTCTTGGCCAGTCCGCTCAGGTGAGATATGGCTCCCTTGTTGGGGGGTCTCAAATGAGAATCAAGTAACACCGCCCAACATGAGCAAGGGGGTGTTCCCTATTGTGACACATGCCCCCCAAAACTCCAAATGAGCGCCCAAGACTGAGTCCCAAAAGGGCCATTTCAGGTGGTTCTACCTGTTCCGGCACGTTTGCCCAGACGGCTTTCGACAATTGAGTTTGAGATATGTGATTGGGTTATACAGAAGACTAGTTTGACATGTGCGTGCCCTTCACATTTTAGGACAATGATCTTGACAAATGTTTGCCTTTTGATTTTAGATGATTAAGCTTGCCATATGTTCGCCCTTTAGATTAGAGGATTGAGCTTGAAATATGTTGGCCCTTCAGGCTATTTGTCCTGATGTTGACAATTGACTCACCCCATGCCATTTCTCAATTTAGGACGTTGCTTCCTTTCTTCCAGGGGAACCTCCCTGATTAAACAGTGGGGAATGAATCCAGCAGCACTGTGCAAGCGTTGCTTGGATGCCCCGGTTTGCTGTCTGTGTCTGTGACCAAGGAGCCGGTAACTTGTGGAGATCTGGTCAACAGGTGACAGGACCCCCCATGGTTGTCCCACTTTGCAAGTAGCTCAGCATGTGTCCACAATCGCTATTACCAGTTCAGTTGCAGTTTTTGCGCTTAGTCAACCTGTGGCCAGGCACAAAAAAACAAAAACGACCCAGGTTTGGGAACACCCGACTTGGATTCTTACCGGATACCTTCACGACGTCCGGCGCTTCACGGCGTCGGGCGCAGGTGAAATGTGCCGGGCAGTTCGTGGGGAACCCCGTGCTGCTGCTGGCCACGGCCTGCGACACCACGGACTTCACGGGCACCACCAGGCGGTTTCCATGGAAGGTGAGTCGTAATCAAACAACTTTGGTGCATTTTGCCAAGGGATGTTAGGACTTTAACATGTTGCCAACTAGTGGGTTTCCCGTATTAAACCACTAAAAGTTAAGCTTTTAGCAAAAAAGCAAGCAAACAGAAAGCAACCGAGAAAACCTCGCCAACAAAGCGGTCTACCCAGAACCATATGGCTGTGGGTCAACACCAATGGTACCATTTTGGGTAGGTGCACCACCCATTTTAGAACCTATTTTAGTGGGGATTGGGATGTTCACTGGGGGTACGGGGTTTTGACCCATGGCCATATAAAGAATTACAAAGGCGGCTCCATTCATGCTTGGGACTATCCCCTGCTATTCTTGATCTACCCACGTTTTCATTGTGGCTCAGGTGATCAGGAAGATGTTGAAACCCACGTCGCTCCAAAACTGCAGCATGGAGCGGTTAAACAGGCAACAACAACACCTAAAATCCCGCAGGCATTTTGAGCTGGATGGCTGGGGTGTTTCGTTGCAGCGACTGCGACACTTGCACAGGCCCAGGTCGTGCATACGCACCCACGCTGTCTTAAGAGGTACTGGTAAAGGTGCAGCGCTTTTACCTTGATATGCCACTCATTTGAGTCGATTGTGCTTGTAAATGTCCAAATTTTGAAAGTGGTCATTAGACGATTGATAGGAATATTTCAACAACCATTATGTGGGATATTAAGGGCCCCATGACCATGACCCCAGATTCCTCTTTGTTGGCTGAGTGTCCAAAAGAAAAGGCGCGGGATTCTTACTAGACAATCCTTTGGTGGACATCTTTTAGACAGGGATTCGTCTCCACCATTTCGGAGTGTTCCCTGTCAAAATTCATAGCCATTTGTTAATCAACCCATTTCTTAGAACCCATTGGTTAGAGCCCATGTACCATCCATTTGGAACCCACTTGTTAGAGACTATTCAAGGGACGGTGAAAGGAGGTAGGTGCGTGGGAAAGGCAAGAGAGACACTGAGGAAGGAGATGGGTAATCTGGGAATAACCGGAGACTTCCCCAGAATTAGCTCCCTTTTTTAAATTATTTTTGGGTCCCTTTGTTTTCCACTAACCAGGCAAAAAAGATGATTTTCTGCTGGGGTCCTAGTTCCAGCCTAGGAAGGGAGAGTGATTCTCTTGGCAAACAATCATTGGCTTGTCACAGAGACTTACTTATCCACTTCCAGCCTCTCTTGCCTCTCCTCCGACTAGCATTTCTGGAAGGTTAGAGAGGTGGGTAGTGTCCCAAAGAAATAGACTATCAGACAAAAAATGCTGTGGACACTATTGTGCTTGGATACAGATCACTAAGGGGTAACTCTCTTTCGCATGGAATCCCTCCTGCAAGGATTTCAATGGAAGACCCAAGTTCGGGTTCCTCTTGGGTGTATCTTTTTTGAGGCATCGGAGGCGGTTCTCCAAAAAAAGGTGGTTCTCCAAAAAAAGCGACAGACCCAAAAGAGGCATGTGTCTTAAAATCAGGGGACCTCCAACAATTGGTTCCCCTGTGGCTTCCCCTGATTCCATGTCTCATTCCCTACCAATCGCACCCGCAAGTAGATCCTTAAATGACCCTGGGTAAGGAGATACCTTTTCTGTTTTGTTTTTTCTCCAGCCACTGGCCCAAAAAAGCGTCGGTTCAAACCGGAGGAAAACATATATCATGTTCTAGTGGTCTTTCCAAGTGGCCGAAAATGGGTAGCTTCAAACCGGCGAATAAACAAAAACGAAAAGAAAAGACGAGCGCCGCCCACGTCGCGGTCCTTGCATTCGCGGTTCGCGAGGGCGCAGCCCCTGCGCTCCACTGGCGCCGTTCCCATCCGCACGGCGGACGGGGGCTTGGCGCAGGCGGGGGGGTGGTACCAGGCGGCCACTCGGCGGAAGTTCTGCGGTGTCAACGAAAAACTACGACCCTCATGGGGTATGGGTGGTTTCCCTAGCGGTTTCCCTAGTGGTTTCAAAAACTACGACCTAGAGAGTCATCTTTTTTGGTGGTTTCCCTAGTGGTTTCAAAAACTACGACCTAGAGAGTCATCTTTTTTGGTGGTTTCCCTAGTGGTTTCAAAAGCTGCGATCTAGAGAGTCATCTTTTTTGGTGGTCGCCCTAGTGGTTTCCCTAGTGGTCAAAGGGCCGTTTGATCAACTCCCATATGGGTATGGGTCAAAATTAAGCCACCAGACGGTTTTAGTCCTTTCCATTCACCAGGGCAGGCCATTTCAGGTTATTCCAGTTTGACTCTCAGATGAAGGTTGATCAATATTCCCAGAACGGCCCCAGTTTTGACCATGGCAAACTTTCCCGGCCATTTGTGAGAGTCCTCTTTTTTGGCATGCAAAGGACCTTTTGATCAACCCCCATATGGGTATGGGTCAAAATTAAACCGCTGCTTTTAGTCCTTGGATCCATTTACCAGGGCAAGCCATTTGGGGCACTTTTTTTGGACACACACTGTGACCCTCAATGAGGACGATTTTTAGGGTTCCAAGGGTGCCCCGGTTTTGTTGCCCAAAATAGGGCCCTCATGACCCCACGGACCTAAGCAGACCTTTCAAGCCCTTGGAGGAAACTGAGGAAACCGGGGGTCCGATCGAAGTGATTTGTTTGGGGGGTTCTCAAAGTTTCTGCGGCTTGTTCCCTTTAAGCCACCATTTCGAGGGCTGTTTGGAACATTTCACTTTGATGGACCCGGTTTGCTGGTCATTTGGAGAAGCGCTCCAAAACTCAAGACAGAAATATGGGGGCTTGACCAGGGCTGTGCAAAATTACAAGTAACATTTGCCAGGCTGCAGACCCCAATGCTGTGAGCTTTTTGAGGGGTGCCAGGATTTATGAAGCTTTGGTGCCAGGACTTTTGAAGGGGTGTGTCTCAAAATGAGTTCGACCACTCCCACTGGCTGTTTTGTTTGGTTTTTTTCAGAATGGCTGCCTGTTCGCAAGTGGGTTTGTCTCAAAACAGGGGAACGCTCCAAGCAGGTCCGTAAGCCATCCCAAAAAGGGTACCAGAAACAAGACACCCCAAAAAGGGTACCCACAAACAAGGCACAGCCAGGGCCTTTCCCAGAATGTGGGCCCTGTGGATGGTTAAGGAAGTGCGAGAGAAAACCGAGCAGTTGAGGCCCAACCGATTCGAAGACATATTCCAGAAATCGTCTGCGGCGCCTTGCGATTCTTCGGATGTCGCTTGCTTAAGGTTGTCGACGCATCCCAGCTGACCACTGGCAAGGAGTACCGTGTGTGATGCTTGGACCGCATTTGTTGTATGGCCTGGTTTGGTATGCGGAATGCAACAGCTAGGCAGAAGAAGCATGATTATCCCATGAGCATAGGGTATACGGTTTAGTAGCACACGCCCCTGATTGGGGGACCCTCCCAATGGGGTGGCTTTTGCTTCGGTTTCCCTTTTCACCAGCCCCCGACCAGGGCTCTGGCTGACTCGACTGAGGCTTGGACATGGACGGAACCCTCAGAGATATGGCGCTGGGCGACACTGGCTTTTCGGTGACAGCGATGTAGCTCTGACGATGCTCCGCTGCCCGGCCAGAGACTTCCAAGATGTCCCCTTGAAACACCACCCAAGGCACAGTCGCCCTAAAATTGATATGGGTGTTTTTTCATTCAGGGGGGAACCCCCCTCAAAAAAGAAGCGGTTGTCCATTTGGTTTCCCATTGAAACCACCAAAAAAGAAGGTAGCCTCAAATAAGGACGATTTGTACGGACGCAAGAGGTGTTCAAGTGCAAACGGTACACGGAGTGGATAGCGTAGCATGTGGGTCTATTTTTTCCCGTTTATGCAGGCATCCGACCACCTAACATGTACCCTGGTTTGGAGAAGCACCCATGTCTTCAAGTTCCTGACCACTGCCATGATGCAAAGCGTTCGACACCGAGGTCCCTCAGCTTGTACAAAGGTATCGTGGCTATGCTCCGATCTCGTGAGGGGTCAGGGTGCGGCAGACCATGGACTGAGTTGAAAATCGTGGACCCACAAACCCAGCCAGCTGTAGAGGAATCTCCTTGGGGACTTATGATCGGTCCGCCCACTCGAGTGGGGGGGGGGACCAGAATGGTCCTTGGAAGTGCCGCACGTACCTGGCCCATCTCTCCGTAGCTAGGGTGGCGGCTTAAGGCCCCAGACCCAAGAGGCACCGATGCCGACGGGTTGCTTGCACATGACGAGTTTGTGTGCTGTGCCTAATAAATGAGGGAGTTTAGATTCAGCTTGCCTTTTCAACCACCCAAACGGGCTTCCCTCAACAAAAGCGCCCATGAAAGACAACCCGAGAGTCTAGACAAGGATAGGGGTCCACAAGGAAGCCGTGGCCATGACCCACATATTGAGTTTTGGACGACTTATTCGTGACATAGAGGCGCCGTCCAAGATTTGCTGCCTTTGGCAATCAGGAAGGCGATTTCGGATACAGACACGCCCCCAAGTTTGCAGCGAAATCCGAATCGTGGTGCTAAGGAATACAGTGTTTGGTAGCGAGGGGATATGTCTAGCTTGTGTGAGCTGTTCTGTTGGCACATTTGGATGCAACTGGCAGGGTGGGACGCAACTGTGAGTTGAGCTTTTCTTATGTAAGTGACATTTGGCCGCAACATGTTTAGCTTTTCAGAAGTACACACTCCGGAGGATTCGTTTGCAATGAGTTCTGCATGTTTTTCCTTTGACGAAAGCTAGAGCTCGTTGCTCACATGTTATTTGATTGTTCCTGAGTCGCCATGGGTCACCAACAACGGAACAAGGCAGGCGAGCCAAAAGGGCATTGGTGTCCTCTGCCAGACTCAGCGCCCGCAAGAGGGGCGCTGTGCCGCGTGCCGCGCGTGCCGGGAATGCCCCGGAAAAAGGGGAGGTGGGGGTGGGGGTGTGTTCGTCAAGGAGAAGCCAAGGGCCCCAGGTATGTGATGTGTGATCACCTTATGTATGTGTGTGTGTGTGTTTGTTGTAGAGGGTATGAAATTCAGGTTGGTTTAAAGGGCAACCACGGGCAACCACTGCTTTGTGGTTGCCCTATGTTTGTATGAGCACACACACACACATTTTATCCAAGGTTGTAGCACCCCCCTGGAACATAGCTCTTAAGGACAAGCCACAAATTCGAGGACACGAGGGGTAAAGACCTAAGCAAGGCTGAACTGTCATATGGCCAAATGTACCCCCAGTGAACAATAGACCAAAATGGATGGTGCACCTACCCCAACATGGGATCCCATTGGTTTTGACTTATAGCCATATGTCTTCGGGGCTTGGGATCTCAGTGGGAGAGTCGCGCGAGAATCGCCAGGGAAGGTCACCGACTCGGAGGCCGCCCGCAAGTTCGAGGAGCCAGGCCCTGAGACGACTCCAACGGAGCTCGGGACAGCGAGCTCATGTGGGGGTTGATTAATGTTACATTCTTGGCCCCCAAATGACCATGGGTAGCATTTTCCCATTTAGTGGGAAATATCGTCTAGCTCGTGTGAGCCACTTGCTCAGAACCGATTCGGGTAGACGAAGGTTAGGGGATAATCCCAACAAGAAATGGCTGCGGCCACCTTTCTTAATTCTTTTCCTATAGACCATTTTGAGTTTCTCATATGAAAATCCCTGACCTGGGGATTTCGGAATTCCGATGTTGGAAGCTGAAAGGTGTGGGAGGACTGAGTCGCTTCTTTTGGGTCACCTATCAGGTCGGAATGCTGGCATAATGTTGATCCAGCAGTCAAGAAACAAACCTTCAAGAATAGTTTCAGGTAGGCTTCAGAGCTATGGATGTGTGTATGGCAGCAATGTTATCTTGAATAAGAAAGGCTGTATCTAGTATGAGGTTCAGAGGTGATCATTCACTTGCGGGGGTTAACACGCTCTATGAATTATTCATCCGGGATGAACATGCCAATTTCGCACCCCTTTCTAGATGGCGCCAGCATAACCAACGGACATCATGGCCAGTTGTAGGGCTTACTGGGCCCCCTCATGTTTGGTGCAAGCGGGAATTCCCTTCCCGCCTTGGGAGATGCGCCGAGGGTAACGGTACATATCGTATACCTTCCCCAGAATTAGCTCCCCTTGTTGTTTTTTGCTTTTTGGGGTCCTGTGAAGTTTCCTCCAGAAACCTTTGTGGATAAACCACCCTTGTGCATAGGGGTGGGCCTCGAGATCAAAACAGCTGCGCCCCTCATTTCGTTCGCACTTGTCGGTGCGGTGGCATGGTCTGGAAACCTCGTGCGTTCTGGACTTCTTGAAGTTGGCAGCGGAGCCCGAGATTCGGGCGATCGCGAAGATTCTAAAGCCGCTGCAGGCCCTGGAACTCAACCTGAACCAGAATGCCGGAGGCGGAAGGATCAGGTGGTGGAAAAGGTTCATCATCGGAGGTGAACACTGGACGGGCCGACAACTACGTGCCAATCTTCAATGGCAAGCAGCGCGACTACCGCGAATTCAGGAAGAGATGTGAAATCTACAAGAGAAAGATGGAGCTGGCTGGCAGAGGCCGTGAGACTTCATACAACTGGACATCACGTCCCTAGGTGAGGCTGATGGCTATGACAAGATGTTCGCTCGCCTGGACTGCGGATTCAAGTACGACCCCATGACGGAGCTGCCAGACGACTTTGAGAACTTCTTTGTCAAGCTCCAGCGGAGGCCAGAGCAGACCTTGCAGGAGTATTCGGCCGACTTCGCCAGAGCCCATCGGAAGCTGAGGTCATCACACAAGGTGGAGCTGCCGGAGAAGGTGCTGGCCTGGTGGTTCATCAGAAAGAGTGGCATCACGCGGGAACAACGTCAGATGGTGCTCACAACCATGGGCACCGAGAAGATGACCGTGGAGGCCGCCCAGGAAGCCATGTTCTTCATCGTCGGCCAGGACTCCAAGTCAGAGAATTCGGGAAGATGGCACCGAGGACCCAGGAAGGAGATCTTCTACGCTGGTGAAAGCTGGGGTCCGGAAGAACCTGTGGATGAAGACTTCCCGAGCAACTACTTGGATGTGCACTTCCTGAGCGAGGACGAGGGCTGGTTGGACTTCGACCAGGACTATTACGACCAACCTGCCGAGGACTACGGTGAGGCGGTGGAGGTCTACGACGTTGACGAGTATGACGATGTGTACTCGGCCTACGTTGATGCGAAGAACAAGATGAATCAGATGAGAACGGCCAGAGGCTTCTTCCCCGTGGTCGCGATGATTGGCGGCGGCGGCAGCTATGGCAAGAAGGATGGCCGCAAGGGTAGTGGAAAGAAGTTCAAGGGCAGACCCAAAGGACCAGGACCAGGAGGAGGAGGAAAGGGCAAGCAGATGCCGAAGCCAGGACCGAGCTCACCTTCTGGAAAGGCCCGTGGACGTGCTGCTCTTGGGAAACAACTATGCCTTCGATGTGGCCAACCTGGACACTGGGCACGGAACTGTCCTCAGAGTGGCAACGGCGAGAAGCGGAAGCGGCTCGATGTCGATGCCGAGGACATCAACATGGTCGAGAACGTGGATGCTCAGGTATACAGCTTGGATGATGGAGATTCTGAAGGCGAAGACAGTGCGGTGCAAGATGGCGGTGCAGGTGCTCTCCTCGGATCGAGGCTCCAGGTGAGGAAGTACATCAAGTACCTGGTGGAGAAGGGTGTTGACATGGCGGAGGTGGAGGTGTATCCATGCACCAAAGGCTTTCGCTATGGCAATAGCCAGTTGGAGGAGACCAAGACCTGCGTGGTGGTGCCGACCTACATGGGTGGGAAGAAACGCAAGATGCTGGTCTACGTCATTGGTGGAACAGCCCCCATCCTGGTTGGATGCCCCGTGCTAGAGAAGATGGGCATCGCGGTGGACTACGGCAAGAACATGATGAGATGGCCGGATCGTGAATGGCATGCGATAAAAGTGGGACCGAAAGGTGAACACTCGCTGCATCTTGCAGAGGACATCAAGGCTCATCCCCGAAGACGCCGAAGGTCATGTGGACTTCAAGAGCAACCTTGGAGTGCAGGCGCTACTGGTGGTTGAGGAGGACAACCTGGAAGAGTCTTACGCGGTTGAGTCTGGGACCGTTCCAATGGACATGGACGACGTCGTGGATGAAGGAGTGTCCGAGGAGCCGAGCCAACAGAATGCTGTTGGGCTTGATGCCGGTGGCTTGGAGTCATCGAAGACCCCCGTGACCGAGAAGGCAACGAACGCGGAATCCAAGAAGGTGAAGTTCGTTGGGGTATGCATGGACGAGAATTCATTATTGAAGACGAGGAAGCTAACTACGCCTATGCTTCGGAAGATGATCAGAGAAGCCGAGGAGGTTGTGTCCAGCAGGAACAAGATACTGCGGATGGCAAGGACATGCGAGAAAGGCAAGCTAATCCGTAAGATCTGGGAGCTCTTCGTTGGCGAAGGCCGCACCAGCAAGTTCTTCGACAAGATGAACGGTGTGGAATCGAGGGTTTTCTCGATTCAGAATGGTTGGAACTTCGAGGACAAGGGCTGCCAGAAGAAGTTCATGGAGCTGGTGAAGCGGGAAGAGCCAGACGAGATCCTGATGGCACCGATGTGTCGATTGTGGTCGCCCATGCAAGAGCTATATGCCTGCCGTGGTGTGGGAGAATCAGCAGTTGGTCAAGAATCGCACCGAGAACCATGACAATGTGCTGATGTTTGTGAGAGAGGTCTACCTGGAGCAGTACCAGAATGCCCGAGAAGCAACGCTGGAACATCCCTGGTTGAGCAGAGCATGGAAGACGAAAGCGTGGCGTGACCTGCCAGGACACATGGCCTACGTGGACCAATGCATGTACGGTCTAAAGACGCCAGATGAGTGGGGTGTGATGGTTCCCTCCAAGAAGCCGACCTGCTTTTGGACGACCAAGAAGTCTTTGGCAGATGGACTTGCGAAATGGTGCAGTGGTGATCATCAGCACCAACCACTTGAAGGACATGCCCCTGGCTAAAAGATGGCGGAGAACTACCCCCGGATGCTTGCGAAAAGGCTGACAGACCTGATGGCTGTTGCCCCGGTGGTAGATGACGTGATGGCTGGAGAGGATGCTGAAGAGCTCAAGGACGAGAAAGATGTGATCAAAGCCGATGATGAGCAGGCAGATGCTCAGAAGAGAGAGGATGAGTCGATCAAGAAGAATCGACGGCTGCGAGCAGAAGTTGGACCGCAAGCCTTCAACTACGTGAAGCGGCTACACAAGAACCTTGGTCATCCTGCCCCCGATGTGCTTTGTCAAATGCTCAACGAGGCGCAGGCGACCGATACGGTGCTGAAGGCGGCGAAGAACTACCTCTGTCCAAGCTGTGTGGCTCGGACTAAGCCTGGTGGAGTGCCTCCCGCATCTGGACTGACGGCCAACGCTCAACAAGGGGCTGAGGTTTGCCAAGGCGACAGCTGGGGTGCATCTGAAGTTCCCAAGCATGGTGAAGAACCTGGACGAGCTGTGCTTTGTGGCGTTTTCCGACGCGGCTTTTGGCATTCGTCGGGACTTTAGCTCGCAAGGTGGCTACATCCTGGTGGCGGCAAACAAGAAGTTGCTGGAGGGTGAGTGCATGCGATACACAACCCTGGCTTGGAGGTCATTCAAGCTGGATAGGGTGTGCCGGAGTTCGCTTTCCGCAGAAAGCCAAGCATGTGCGACGGCGACGGACGAGCTGATGATCACCAAGCTCTTCTACTCTCTCATGCTCGATCCTGACCAAGATCTGAGATCTGGCGAGACGGTGAAGAAGGCGGGTCAGAGTGCGGTGGTGATTGATGCTCGGGCGTTATACGACGCGACCAAGCGGGACACGATCAAGAACGCTGTGGACAAGCGGGCTGCTGTGGAAACCCTGTGCATTAAGGAGGCGCTTGAGTTCACCGGCAGCGAGATCAGGTGGGTGAGCTCAGAGAGACAGCTGGCGGATGGGCTGACAAAGCTGTCAGCAAGGCAGTCACTGGCCGATGCGCTGGGCGGTGGCTACATTCAACTGGTCTTTGACGAGACCTTCACAGCGGCGAAGAAGAAGACCCACAAGGAGCGGAGTCAGCAAAGCCAGGTAGTGCGCGGAAGCGCCGTGGCGAACTATGTGAAGGCCATGATCATGGCCAATGCGGCAGAGTGTGCAGAAGGAAAGTCAGACGAGGACGATGATGACTTCGACTGGCTCATCATCTACGGTGGCATCATGGTGGTGGTTGTGATGAGTGTGCTTATCACCATTTTGGCGATGAAGCTCATCAAGGCAGAGAAGAAGAGCATGCGAGACATGGAGACGCAGACCGAACGGTGGGAGCTTGAGAATGTGAAGAGTGAGAATGCCTTCCTGAGAGGAAGATGCCAGACCCTGGAAAGGCAGGGAGTCGTCACTCGGGCACCTCGCCAAATGGAGAGAAATTCCACCGGTCGGGATGCGGGCATGTAAAGCAGCGAAGCCGAATCCTGGACGCGTGCAGAGACTGCATCGGCGGCTAGGTTTTCTACCTTTTTGGGCGTGTGAAGTTTCCTCCAGAAACCTTTGTGGATAAACCACCCTTGTGCATAGGGGTGGGCCTCGAGATCAAAACAGCTGCGCCCCTCATTTCGTTCGCACTTGTCGGTGCGGTGGCATGGTCTGGAAACCTCTGTGCGTTCTGGACTTCTTGAAGGGGTCCATTTCCACTAACCAGGCAAGAAATATATATTTTTTGCTGGGGTCCTAATTCCAGCCTAGATACAAGCGCCATGTAGCTGCCGTACAAAGGGTATTGTTCCTGGGGTGGTAGGGGAACCCTGATAGACTGTTGACTGGTTGTGACAGGTACCAACAACTGTTGAAAGGGGGAAGCCACCAGGATTCGGGTTGGTCTGTCCAGCGTTTCGCTTGGATTTCTCAGTTTTAGGACCTGGACATGCTTGATTCGCATTAAGTGTTCCTGAAGCACCCGTACGGGAATCCGCGCGAACGGCCCCAGCACGCGCTATTCGCCTTGCAAACTCGGGTACTTTAGAGCAACCATCCGGATGTGGATCTGACGCGGGGGACCGCTCTATGGTAAGAAGCATGAACAGGAACACATATCAATGTTGCTATCACTTCGGTGTTGTGAGTACAACACAATGTGTGTTAATGTACAACTCCACATACAAAATAGCTTCCTTGAACAACATCACAGGGATTGGTGTGTGTTTTCTTTTGAAGGGTCTGCCTTGAATCCAGAAAACGGGGGGGGGGGGGGTAGCGCTTTGAGCATTGCCTCCCCTTGCTGCGCGTCATGTGATGTGGTTGGCAAATGCTGGAAACGCTGTAGAGACGAAGGCGAAACCTTTGAAGCGCTTGGACTCCTTCCGAACCGGCGCCTCTTTTGGGTGGGAAAAAAGTCAAGTGCGGGGTTGTTTTGTTTGCTTGCTTGCTTGCCTGTTTGTTTGTTTGTTTGTTTGTTTGCTTGTCTGCTTGCTTGCTTGCTTGCTTGTTTGTTTGTTTGTTTGTTTGCTTGTTTGCTTGCTTGCTTGCTTGCTTGCTTGCTTGCTTGTTTGTGTGTTTGTTTGCTTGCTTGCTTGCTTGCTTGTTTGTTTGCTTGTTTGCTTGTTTGTTTGCTTGCTTGTTTGGCTGCTTGCTTGCTTGCTTGCTTGCTTGCTTGCTTGCTTGCTTGCTTGCTTGCTTGCTTGCTTGCTTGCTTGTTTGTTTGTTTGTTTGTTTGCTTGTTTGCTTGCTTGCTTGCTTGCTTGCTTGCTTGCTTGCTTGCTTGCTTGCTTGCTTGCTTGCTTGCTTGCTTGTTTGTGTGTTTGTTTGCTTGCTTGCTTGCTTGCTTGCTTGCTTGCTTGTTTGTGTGTTTGTTTGCTTGCTTGCTTGCTTGCTTGTTTGTTTGCTTGTTTGCTTGTTTGTTTGCTTGCTTGTTTGGCTGCTTGCTTGCTTGCTTGCTTGCTTGCTTGCTTGCTTGCTTGCTTGCTTGCTTGCTTGCTTGCTTGCTTGCTTGTTTGTTTGTTTGTTTGCTTGCTTGCTTGCTTGCTTGTTTGTGTGTTTGTTTGCTTGTTTGCTTGCTTGCTTGCTTGCTTGCTTGCTTGCTTGCTTGCTTGCTTGCTTGCTTGCTTGTTTGTGTGTTTGTTTGCTTGTTTGCTTGCTTGCTTGTTTGTTTTCTTGTTTGCTTGTTTGTTTGTTTGCTTGCTTGTTTGGCTGCTTGCTTGCTTGCTTGCTTGCTTGCTTGCTTGCTTGCTTGCTTGCTTGCTTGCTTGCTTGCTTGTTTGTGTGTTTGTTTGCTTGTTTGCTTGCTTGCTTGCCTGCTTGCTTGCTTGCTTGCTTGCTTGTTTGTGTGTTGGTTTGCTTGTTTGCTTGCTTGCTTGTTTGTTTGCTTGTTTGCTTGTTTGTTTGTTTGCTTGCTTGTTTGGCTTGCTTGCTTGCTTGCTTGCTTGCTTGCTTGCTTGCTTGCTTGCTTGCTTGCTTGCTTGCTTGCTTGCTTGCTTGCTTGCTTGCTTGCTTGCTTGCTTGCTTGCTTGCTTGCTTGCTTGCTTGTTTGGTTGCCTGTTTTTTAGGTGGAAAAGAGCGGCATGCGGGAAGGAGACACCTCTGTTCTTTTAGGTGCCTCCTCGATTTCGTTTCTTTCCAACAGAAGGTGTCCGTCCATTCCGAAGTTTTTATCATTCGGCACAGAAACGGCGACACTTCCACGACAGAGCCAGCTCCGGCGTTTGGAAATTCCACTATGTTTTTGCTTTCAATTTGGCAGGTACCGGCTTTTAGGACCCTAGGTCTCCCAGTAGTGCCCTTTCTCACCCCTTTTTTGGTTGGGAGGGTTCCCCTACTAAAATAGACTGCAGAAAAAAGGGTACCCGTATTCTAACCTTTTTAGTGGAGGACCTAGGACAGATATGTTCTGCCCGGAGTTGAACAGATGTTGCTAAGGTTCGTTGTTCGCCCTTTTGCCAAAAAAAACGCGTCACCTCCGGCTCCGGCGTTTCCCACGCCCGCGGCTTCGCTCCACGCGCTTTGCAGAGGTTGAAGGAGCAGATGCCGCGATTCCGCGCGCCGAGCTCGGGGCGCCGTCGAATTGTGAGGCCCGTTTCGAGTGCCAAGGGTGACAACGGAGTCGAATTTGCAGGAAGCTGGATCGGCCTGACCACAAGAAAGACCTGTTGCTAGATAATTGAACTCTGGGGTAACGTTAGGATGTCTTTTCAATCTGATTGCAGCAAACAATACAACAATTCCAGAAGTGGGCCTAGATTCAGGATATGTACCTCTCGCTGTTGTGGAAAGGTGAGTTAATCCAAAGGGAATTGTTCTGCTCTATTCCAGACACTCCCCCATCTAACATTCGGTGTAGGCGCTGGGTGCACAACCATAAAGGGCTCCCCTATTGACAGCACAATTGTGTCTAAAACTTGATGGTTGTCCGAGGGCCACTGTGCCCCAGGGAGCTTTACAAACAGCTCCGTTTTCACATCAAATCCCTTACATGGTTTGCTTCCGGTTTTCGATCTAAGCACCATGGTTTGGTCCTCAACAGAGTAGCCTTTGAGAAATCGTTGGGGTGCGAATGGCCAAGCTCTTTGGGCAGGGAATCAAATTGCAAAGAGAGACAGTTCGCAGCTTCGCCGATGGGTAGGTCAAAGCAGCCCATCGGCTAAGTCCTCAAAGCCCAACTTCTCTGAGGCACAGCTGCTGTTGCAGCCGAGTGCACCTTTGCCCCAGACTTAGACGACCGGGCAACATGGACAGGTTTCGTCATTAGCGCTCAGCTCAGCGGGGTATTGATGACGTTGACATTCATGGTGTGTGGTGTGTGTTTCTGTGTGTGTGTGTGTGTGTGCGCGTGCGCTCGTGCCGTGCGTGCCGTGCGTGCGTGCGTGCGTGTCTGTGAGTAAGATGATGATGATGATGATCATGATGATAATTGATGATGATGATGATGATGATGATGATGATGATGATGATGATGATGATGATGATGATGATGATGATGATGATGATGATGATGATGATACGTGGTCCCAAAGGTTTGCTGAGCGTCAGTATTTGTTACTTGTCCAGCCGCCATGTCAAGCATAGCGAGTTGCCGGTTTTCACTTGCCCTGTGGGTGCCGCCGCTCCTTCATGTTATTTTTTGGAGAGTTGTCCGTTGAAACCAACCTGCCAACAAAACGCTTGGCAATTTGAGTGCTTTTGAATATACTAGTAACAGAGCAAAAGGAGAGCGGAAAGAACAGGCTCCTTGCAAGTACATTACAGGGATGGCAGCGTCGTCGTTCAGTGAGAGAGAGTGACAGAGGCAGTGAGAGAGAGAAGGAGAGGCTCGGGCCGGCAGGGACCCCCAAGCATTGCTTTGTGGACAGTACTTGGGATTTTGGACATGGGAAGAGGCAGTTGTTGGGTGCTGCTAAGGCATTTCACTGCGTTTTTTCTTGGCGCCTGAAAGCCGCAGTCTGAGGTTCATGGCGAAGATCAGCTTGGCCAACCATGAGCTCGGAGACCGGGCGGTGCGCACGCTGGTGGAGGCGGCCGTCGCTGGCGGGGCTTGGGGGGGGGGGCTGTGGAGGTTTGGGTGCTTTGGGTGCTCCCGGGAAAAATCCTCCCACCGAACAGGGAAAACAACAGAAGGTCAAGGTCACTTTCAAAGTCTCTTCTTCAGAAAGTGTGTGTGTGTGTGTGCGCGCGTGTCTGAGGTTCAATCCTGAGATCCAATCGAAGCATCACCCCTCAAGGCTTTGTTACAGCCCTGGAAAGAGAGAGTTTGTCAAAACCCATGCGCAGGGAACATGGTGGAAACCAGGCAACCAGAAATCCCATGCTCCCACAAAAGGGGGGGGGGTAGTTTCCAGTTGGTGTGTGGGGGTATTTCTGGAGGTTACCATTTTCAGCTTGGTTTTGCTGGGAAGCCAAGAGCGAAGTTGCTTTTCTTTGAGGTTGGTTTAAAGGGAGACCTTAAAAGGAAAGCCACCCTTTCGAGGTGTGAAGGAAAAGCCAGCCTTTTGGCACTGGACGCACACCCGCCTGCCATCCATCGAGCCTCGAGGCGCTCTTGGCTGGCTCGGTGCAGGTGGAGGTCGCCAGCGGCTCAGCTACCGCAGAATGATGCACAGGTTTGTGGCACCTTAGTGTGTTTTTTGGATTCCCCAGATAGCTGAAAGCTATAGGGGTTCTAACTTCTCACAAAGAGGGGAAAGTGATTTGCGAGATTAACGGCCAGGTCTGTGGCACCTTAGTTTGTTTGATTCTTTTGTTAAACGCAAAGAAAAACCAGCATGGCCTTGGTCGCCCCCAGCCGTCCGGTTCCTGAGCTTTTTAGGCTTTTAGTTGGTTTAGTGGGAGTTTCCATTTAACCCACTAAAAGTTAAACTTTTAGCAGAGGATCTGAGGACAGCCCAGTAGCCCATTGACATCTTATAAGTCATGCTACCCTGAATGTTGTTTGTATTGGGGAGGGTGTCGAATTGTTCCATAGCTACATTGAGAATGTATACCTCGACAATTCTGGGAGACGCAGTTTGAGGGCGACGGAACCTCCCGTGATATGAGCTAATGCGATAGTAGTATTTCTCTCCCAGGGTTTAGTGGACAACCTTACATTAGAGCAACGCTATTTTCGGGGTAATGATTACGGGCAGAGTCAAAAACCGGTTTTTGTGTGCTGTACGTCTACCCCAAAACCCACGAACCCTTCCTGGCCCCCGAACCCAATCGCCTACCCCCGGAAATCTCGCTCGCGGCCTAGGTGGAGCTGTACAAAAATCGCCTGGGCGACGCTTCGGCGCAGGTCTGGGCCTCTGAGTAACGAAGGGCAAGGGTTTTGAGAGTTTCCAGGGAGCCCCAATTGGTTTTGTTTGAAGTTTAAACAGATTGTGCGAAGAGTGCCAGATCTAACTCACCCACTGGTACAGCCAACATCGAAGCCCTGTGGGTTGATAGTGGATCCTTGAGGCGCTCTCCTTGCTGCTGGAGCACTCCCCGCGCCCCGGCGTGCCCGAGACCGAGATCGAAGGTTCAGAGAGCCCATGCGGCTCCTTTCGGTTTTCTCAGGTTTTTCGGTGGCGTAGTGGTTGGGTTTCCATGACAACCCACAAAGTTAGGCTTTTGGTGAGTCTGAGGGCAGCCCAGGAGATGGATCTTTTTGGTGAAACGCAGCATTGTCTACCCTCCCCCAGGCAATTCCATGGAAGCTTGGTTCCATTCACAGAGACCCCTCTGGGAGCTTCCATAGTCTGAGGGAGCGCAGGTCCAGGCAACTCAGCATAGGTGTCCTTCTCAGGTCAATCTGTTTGAATTGGTCTGAGTTCGGTTCCAATCAGTTGCCAGTGAACTCCCCCCCCATTTGTCCAAAAATACTCAGGATCACACTCCTCGCAGGGATGCACATGCTCCCACCAACAGGAGGACACACAGAGGCATTACAGAGGTACTTGGATTTCTGTTTCGCCTAGGGCTTAAATTTGAATGCCTGTATTGCAATATGGGTTCACGCCAAGGGGGCGCTGAGCAAGAACAGCAGGGGCGTGCTCAGGAGTTGACCGGGCTTTTGCCTAGCACCTTTCCAGTCAATTGAGCAAGCTGCTCTCTCGAATCAGCACGCGTTGAATGTTTCTTTGTGCCGCTATCCCGTCGAATTGGCAAGCTTTGCACTTTTCGCTGGCTTGTGCCTGTCGACTTAGCGCGCTTGCAACTTCTGCTGGCCCGTATCAACGTGTCAGCCAAGGTTGTAAAGTTTGAAATTGGTCTGGCCAGTCAACTCAACAGGTCTTTAAAGGGTAGTAAGTAGCTTGACTTGTTTGAATGCCCCCAAAATCGAACCACGAGGGGATGGCTTGTTTGTTTGTTCCTGACCGCGTATGTAACACGCAGGATAGAAGTACCCCCCAAGACCGTGTCTCACCGGGGGTGTTTGGGTTTCACATTATTCTGTCTTCAGCGGAGTTGATGGCAGGCTAAGCTTTAAACTCAATCGCTTGCAGCGCCCTAAGGCCGGCAGGGGCATTTGAGTTGGTCAGATTTTCGCGGGTTTAAGATAACTGTAGTGCCGCTTTCCTTGGCTAAGCGGGTGTTTACTGCTGGTTGGCTTCCAATTTTGGACCTCAAACATGTAGATTAGACCCTATGCTGCCGCAAAACGCTAGCACAGTGATAGCGCAACTTGCGGATACGCGCTAGCTCCTTCTGTTTTTCCAACCCCCAACCTGCGTATTGACTCCCGCTTCTTAGATAGTGGTTTCATGGGCATGGGTCCAAGCAGGTTGCGGGTCCAAGCAGTGGGCCCTGAGAAGTGTGGGGCACATCTTGGGTTGCTCACCTCAAATGACCAAACCGGGTATTGTTTTTGTTTTGCTTCGCACGAAGCCAGTTTCGAACCGATTTGAACATGGATCTTTGGATTGCATTTGGCCGAGCCGCTGAGCCGCTGAGGCATGGCTTTCATCTCTCCCACAACTACTTCACCCCGCTGGGCGTTGGGCGCGCAGCTCGTTTCGATCTTTAGTCGATGCAAAGGGGATGCCCTCAAGATCTCGCAGAGAGTTCTTGTTTAGAGCGCCACCCTTTTTGACAAATCGAGAATTTCTTTGGCTTCCTTTTTGGCCTTCCCTAGGCAAACGGGGGCGAGCCCTTCTCTTTCTGTTGCCGTGCCGGGTCTGTTGGCGGCTCTGGGGCACCGGCTACCAGGTTGCTCTTGTGATGACTTCATGTTAGAATACCCACAATCCCATTGTGATTATTTAAGCCACACACAGTTTTCGGCTTTTGCTTGCTTGTCAAGTGGCCGGAACCAAACGAACAGCCTGAGCCAGCGGCTAGAAGCGCCGTGTTGCTTGGGAGCAGCTTGCCCATCGGTGACCAGAGGCTTTCCCCTGAAGCAGCACCCTTTTAGAGCCCTTTCAGGATGCCTGCTGCTTGGTTGCCGGTTGCTTTTCGCCTTTATGCCAGGCTTCACTCATTATTGCAATCTATGTTTGACCACCCCCCACCCCCCCACACCCACACACACATCCACACCCACGCATACACACACACACACCCATACACACACACAAAAAGAAAAGAAAAGCAAGAGTCCAGATAGAACAAGTCCCCTTGCGCAGGCTGCTCCTGTCAGCAGCGACCAAGAGCGGATTCTACCCTGCGAGGCAATGGCACCGTCAGACGCTTCCCCCTCCTTTTTGGATCCCACGGCCATCCTGGTGAGCAAGAACTCGTAAACACAAAAAAAGGAGCGTGGCCTCACTCCCTTGCCGGACTTTACTTACTTTTTGGGAACCAGCAGACAAAGACGTGCGACCTTCATCTTGCAGACAAGGACGGTAGGTCTTTGTCTGCCGTCCTGGTCACGTGCTGGGCAAGACCATTTTATTGGCAAGCAAGAAGTTCGTCTTTGCCAATCCAGGAAGTGCGTAACTGGGAGCTGACAGCCTCAGGGTTTCCTGCTTTTGGTCGCCCGCAGGGCAGAATGGGAAAAACGGTTTTCGGCACTCAGGTTTCCGTCAAATTGTTGTCCCTTCGTTTGGGCAAATGAGGTATGATTCGTGGAACCTTTCGGTTGTGGGTACTTTAAAAATGAATCGCCACTGCGGAGGGAAGCTTTTGGCCACTTTGAGTCAACTCAGTTGTTCAGTGGCTCCCTTTTGCCTTTTTTTTTGTGGCTGCCCCACTAAAAGTTGTCTTTCCCAAAAAGGGTTCCCTTTTTTCCCAGGGTCACTGAACAACTGAGTCAATCAACACATTTACTCAAGACAGCACTTGCTTGTCCTTTTGCCGCGCAGGCGCCGCTGGCGAGGCAGGGATGGCCGACCGTAAGCAACAGGATGACCTGCAAAATGATCTACTGTGGATGGACGAAATCCTGCATCACCCAAGAAACCCTGGAATGATGATCCCCCTGTAAATACCAACCAACAATGGTTTCGAATGATTTCAAAGTGGTGCGAACAGAATTCGTCCATCCACAGAAGGGATCACAAATTGTTCCAGCTAAAGGGTGCCTAGAGGCGGACGAATTACGCACATGTTTCTCTTGTTGTTTCTCTTGTTTATGTCTAAATTGGTCTGTCGATTTTTGGGGAACCCTTTTTTGCTGGTTTCAAATGGAAACCACTGGAAACACCACCATTTTGGAGGTCCCCCCAAAAACACACACACACACACCACACACACACACCCACACGCACACGCACACGCACACGCACACGCACACGCACACGCGCACGCGCCCACGCGCACGCGCACGCGCACGCGCACGCGCACGCGCACGCGCACGCACACGCACACGCACACGCAGACGCGCACGCACACGCACACACACAGACACACAGACACACAGACACACAGACACACACACACACACAGACACACACACACACACCAAGACACACAGACACCCAGACACCCAGACACCCAGACACGCAGACACGCAGACACGCAGACACGCAGACACGCAGACACGCAGACACGCAGACACGCAGACGCAGACACGCAGACACGCAGACACGCAGACACGCAGACACGACAGACACGCAGACACGCACAGACACGCAGACACGCAGACACGCAGACACGCAGACACGCAGACACGCAGACACGCAGACACGCAGACACGCAGACACGCAGACACGCAGACACGCAGACACGCAGACACGCAGACAAGCAGACACGCAGACACGCAGACACGCAGACACGCAGACACGCAGACACGCAGACACGCAGACACGCAGTAACGCAGACACGCAGACACGCAGACACGCAGACACGCAGACACGCAGACACGCAGACACGCAGACACGCAGACACGCAGACACGCAGACACGCAGAAACGCAGACACGCAGACACGCAGACACGCAGACACGCAGACACGCAGACACGCAGACACGCAGACACGCAGACACGCAGACACGCAGACACGCAGACACGCAGACACGCAGACAACCAGACACGCAGACACGCAGACACGCAGACACGCAGACACGCAGACACGCAGACACGCAGACACGCAGACACGCAGACACGCAGACACAGACACGC